ACCTTAGCACATAAGGAATTGCATGACCCCCCAAGAGGGGAAGAAGAAAAGAGGAAACAAAAAACCTCCTTATTCCTTTCTTTTCTTTCTTTAATTCTTTTGCCCGTCCTTATCACTCAAAGCGTACACACTCGAAAAACTCAAGTCCTTTTCGTTAAAGCTTTAATTCCACTTCATTCCTCTTTACTTTCGTATTTTGGGTGCTACAACTAAGGTTATTCTTCTAAAAGCAAGTAAAAAAATGAATTCAAAATAATAATATGCTTTACAATAATCTTTTTTTAAAAATGTAACAAGTCAGAAAAAGTTTGCCTCTCGGTCATGGCCTCATAATTTGAAGTCGAAGAGTGATCTTAATTCGTTTAGTTGATCGATATTTTACACTACAAACAATAACACATGAGTATAATACTAAAAAAATTATCAATGATATGAATTGCATAATCCGACTAGGGTGCAAGGAAATGAAAGATCACAAGAATTGAATGACATCCTAGTGATTAGGTTGCTGTCTTTCTTAATAATAGATTAGGTTGATTCCCACCAAAAATTGTAAGAAGGGTTTTATCCATATTTAAGTGTGGTCCACTAAGGTGGATTAAAAAAAAAAGGAAATGAAAGATCTCCAAAGTGGATTAAACGAATGTATACATAAAAATTAAGCACTAAAAAATACTCCCCTTTCCACAACGCCGTCTTTGTGATTAAACATTCTAAATTGAAAGTGCAGTTTCATTGCATTCCCCCAGATTTTCCCATCTCATGTTCCTGACGCATCATAGAAATTTCTCTTTAATTTCAACAAAGCCATTTTATAATTTTGGGTTTTCTGTCTCGAGGAGATTAAAGTAAACAACAGAAATCTTTGCTATGAGATATGACGCATTGTGATTTGTGGTATTCTCTTAATTTTCATTTCATGTTTTTGGTGTACTATCAAAATACATATTGAATAAATGGTAGTATATTTTTGATCTCAAAATTAGAATCATATTGTTTGTTCCCACCATAGAAGTCAAATAATTCAGAAGAGTTGAAGATGACATTACTCCAAAATCCAAAATCCTGGTCCAGTTGGAGTACCAACTGGCCAACCACATGGAAAGTGGACTCAAAATTATAATGCATTAACGCATAATATAAATTCTATCCATCGATCAACATATACAGCTCGGCCCTATCATCATCATACATGTTACATCCAGAATTTTAGCTTGCTCGTGAACTACATACCGCAAGCCATTAAGCCAATATTAATAATTAAAATCATCACTAAATATATCACTACATAATTCCTACGGAAAAATCTGTATTCATGTGCAGGGTCATATGATTTCACATGCATCAATTTTTGCCAGACGAGCTAATTAAGATGCTTATCTCCCATTCCATTTGGATCTATCGAATTGCAATCTTGATGAATATAATTACCCGATCGAGGAAATTCAGGATCATTGTCACAGGTATATGAATAATTCTAAGAGTGAAGCTTTTTTTTTTCTTTTCTTTTTTTGAAAGTGAAATTATAGTTAGAATGCGTTAGCCATGTGTTTTTAGTTTCTTCTATATTTCGCCCACTACGACTCAAGAAAAATTTAATAAAGTTTTGATTCTTTTGAATTGGGACCCAAACCCCAATTTCGGTGGTTTATGGCATTCGTCAAATCCCCCTTCGAAATTTTGAGAATTAGATACCTAAAAAAAATACCAACACAAATGCAAATGCAAGACCGTATATATATGTTTTTTTTTCTGGAAATTTCGATGTCATTAACAAAAACATACGTTTACAAGGCAAAAAACGGTATCTATCTATAGTATTATACTAAGAGAGAAACCAAATAGAGGAAATCAAACTTCTCCTCCCGTTGACACATAAGACAAAATCTTATGTGTAATTTTTTTATAAGTTGACATAAAAATATTTACAACTATTACACTAACAGTCCTTTGAATTTTCAGTAAATAAAGTTTCATCAAATCGTAATTAAATTCTATCAATTAATTGGGGGCTAAACTTTCACTTTTAAATCCGGTAAAACAAAAAAAAAAACGGAATATTTTTTTTAAAAAAAATCAACATTCATGATTTCGTTCCATTTGGTGTCATAAAGAAAATGTAACATTGATTTGATTTTATTATAATTATTGCTGATTGATTTGAATAAATTTACTGATTGACTTAAATAAAGCTCCAATTATGGTTGATGACCTTACTTAAAAAAACTATAGCCAATGACCTTACCTAAAAAAATAATCAAAATTAATGTTAAATCTTTTTTAATCGGAAAGTTGAAATCATAATATCAACATTAATGTAATTTCGAGTTTTTTGCACCAAAAAAAAAAATTAACTCAAACATATTAAATATGTTAAATATTTCAATATACATATATAATCCTGATTTTTTATTAATTAGGTTGTAAATTAGACACAAAAAAAAGGAACATTTTTTTTAAAAAAATCAACATTAATGGTTTCTTTCCATTTGGTGTCATAAAGAAAAGGTAACATTGATTTGATTTTATTATAATTATTACTGATTGATTTGAATAAATTTTTTGATTGACTTAAATAAAGCTCCAATTATGGTTGATGGCCTTACCAAAAAAACTATGGCCAATGACCTTACCCAAAAAAATAATCAAAATTAATGCTAAAATTTTTTTTAATCGGAAAGTTGAAATCATAATATCAACATTAATGTTGATTCGAGTTTTTTGCACCAAAAAAAAAAAAAAAAACTCAAACATATTAAATATGTTAAATATCTTAACATTTTGAATTAGGTTGTAAATTAGACTAAAATATCTTAAAATCAAACATATTAAATATGTTAAATATCTTAAAATTTTGAATTAGGATTATCTTAACATATAATCCTAATTTTTTATTAATTAGGTTGTAAATTAGACTAAAATATCTTAACATTTTGAATTTTAAAATTCGATTTGAATTATGATAAGCATTAATCACGTTTAATTTTAGCGTTTCATTAAAAATTGAAATCTCTAAACTTCAGGGATTTTATTCGGTCAGTATATATATATATATATATATATATATTTGTAACAAAATTTAAATTATTTTTAAGGCGTGGCAAGTAATGCATTATCAACTACATATGCTTAGACGTAGAAGGTGAAGGAAGAGTACAATATATTTGATTTACTACAGCCCATTTGGAAACAGAATCGTCGTTTATAGTATCAGTGGATAAAATGAGTCCTTCAAACATGTCAATTTCCTGAAACTAATATATCATAATCTCTTCCAATTATTTTAATTCTACAAAAATAAAAAATATTTCTTTGATACACATTATTTTTATCTTTGTACATAATTTATTTATCCCGCACATCGTGTGGGTAACATCTAGTACTGTATATGTCAGTATTCTTTTAAATCGAAACTTAAAAATTCTTTGGTAGCCTATAAACCCGTCGAAGTCGAAGAAGATTAGCTCCTGTAAATGAGGATAAACATTCGAGTTAATCGATAAGATTTAAAAAGAAAAGAAACAGAAAAAGAAACTTATTTGTCACGTAGGGTTTTCTTTTTTCTTTTTCTTTTTTTTTCCCCTGAAATTGATATTGGCATCGACACAAAATACACACGCTAAGATGCGGGATAGAGATGTATCCACCTGAAACTTTCCCAATCAATCAGTAATCCCATCCCAAAACCTCAATCTTATCGGAATCTTTTTCAGTTTAGCAAGTATCCCGGTTTTACTACGTTTAGTTACATTTGATAAAATAATCAGTGAATTCTGACAATGAGTGACATTTAATAACCAATTAACCACGGCTACCATGAAAGGAATTGGCCGATTGCCAACCGCTATTTCCAGATATACAATATTACTGCTGCTTATAAACCAACAATTAGATGGCGCGTTTTGAATACGATTGTCTAACTAAATACATTTAATATGTGCCCCTAAATGATTCGGTGCCGAGTACGAAAACAATAAACATATTGTCACGAAGCATTGAGACGATCGAATTTTTCGGAATATACAACTCTTACATCCGTACGAAAAGATTATGAACATTGCCTCGGTTAAAATTTCAATTTTTGGAGTCAATTTACAATGTTTGCAAGTGCTCACACATATACTGTACTACTATTTCACTAGTCAAGTATTATAAAATATGTCCATGTGTAATAATAAACCTATAAACTAGTAGTATTTTGTGATTGTTATTTCATTTTTTTTTTAAAAAAAATCTACTATAGTGGACTCCAGTCAAATGTGAGTAAAACTCCCCCTTAAAACTCTTGGTGGCAATTGAACTCTTATTTATTATTAGAAATGATAATAACCTAACCACAAAACTGACATTTAATTCTCGTGTGTGCTATTTCATGTTATTACTCGTTTCAATAAATTAGTGATGTTTTTATAGGATATCGCTAAACTTGTTCTGATATAGCAAGTTGCAAATTTAGTTCCATAGCGAAAGAGGGAAAGAGTACCGAATCAACAAGAGGGGGATCGATCAAATTTCGAAGAAACAAATTGCCTTATAAATGCCAGAACATATACACTAAAAATTAACAAGACGGAGCTGGGCCGAAATTGAATCATAAAAAATAAAAATCTCAAAAAATGTGGTGGATATTTCATCTCAAAAATAGAAAATAAAATCGCGGGTCAGTGGAGTCAGATGGCTCAACCGCACCCGACAATCACCCGACCGCAGAGAATGGTTACTATTTATGGCTCTTTGTTCAGCTCATCTGGCACTAAAAAAACCTTCCATTTCCCAAGGTTACCCCTCTTTTGGTTTGGGTCCCACAAATGCGGGGTTTCCCCTCACCAGCTGCGCAAGTTAGCGATACTCCATCAATCAGAGTACACGTACTACCAGTCTCAATCAAAACCCGGATTGAAATTCCAAATCAGTCCTCAATTCTTATCCAAAAAGAAAACGCGGATATGGGATAGTGCGTCAGGGTTAATTCCGAGAATTCGTTATGGCATTTCGAATATAAAATGCGCTCGAATTGCCTCTCTCAACTTTAGTTGCGAAGCCAAACGCCACTTACACAATACAATAACCATTTCTTGCTCCGTTGATTCAAAAGAGAAAAGCCCGGAAAGGGTTGGCTGATTTCCAGAGCGAAATCACTAAACTAACCCCGCTTCCTGAATTTCTCGCCTAGCTATTCTGAGCATAGTTTCGGTTTCATTGGAATTTCGTTGCGGCAGCAGAGTATTTTTGATAAAGGCTTTCTGCTGCAGTTGAAAAACTCGCCGGCGGGAATATATCGGCGGAGCTGGGTGAAGTAAAAATTGGCGTGATGGGGTTTTGCATATGTCCACTGGAGACTCCGGCAAGGTTGCTGTGGAGCACCAGTTTCTTCCGCCACAAGCTCATGCTTTTCTAATCCTTCCGCCCCCTGTTTTTAACCTTCCTTCAATCAAGAAACAAAAAACTCTACTAAAACCATCAGTTTCGTCTCTCCAACCTTACTATTAGTGTGAGACGGTGACTGACGTGTCACGCCGGAGGTATAAAAATCAAAAGTTTCTAAACTGTATATTTTTTATATATATAAAGTGGGATGGATTCCGGGCGTCTTTTCTTCGACCCGCCGTGCCACGGCAACATGTTATTTCTCGGCAGTGGTGATCCCGCCTTTAGAGGTAAAATTAATATTACTACTAATATTAATATACTGCCTTCCGTTTACTTCGCTGTTTGTTGCTAGTTGACTTTATTTTTTCAGCAATCAATATAGTATCTTGTCAGAGTTGCTGATTTGTTTGCTGATCTTCATATTTTTTAATCATGTTATCGTCATCAATTCATCATTACTCGGAAAAGGTTATTTTTAGAATTTTTATTTCGTGTATGGTTTTGTTAACTCCGTTTTCACAATACACCATGTATTTGTTGTAAGGATTGAATTGAGCACTAAAATTTTGGTGGTGCGTCTGCAAACATATTATTATGTATAGGAGCGAGATCGGTGCTGAACATGGAGGAAACCTCAAAGAGGCGACCTTTCTTCAGCTCCCCGGAAGAACTGTTTGACGAGGAATATTACGACGAGCAGCTGCCGGAGAAGAAACGCCGACTCACCGTTGAGCAGGTGACTAAACTACACTAGTTACTTTTTCTTTCTAGTTTTTTCATGGAAATTTCTCTGTTTTGGTATCAATGCTTTTTTTTTCCTTTTTAAACTAGCATAATCTAAAGGATTCCTTGTGTTAGCTTTATCCAGATATGTCGATTCTGAGTTGCTTACATGTTCAGAGTTCCTCTGAGATAGAGTTCCCTGGCATATTCACTTCCTTACTGTCCTTTATTTTATTCTATTTTATACCAAAGTGTGTTTGAATTCCGATTCCTTTGGCCCAAAACCCGGACCATATTTGTAGAACAGAATTTTTAATCTTTGGTTTTTCACTTTTCATTTAAGATTTGATTCTATGTGCTATAGTTGAAGAATATTACGTTGATAAGATTAAAGCTCTGTTCAATCATGAGAGGTATAAGGTCGATTACTAATATGATGATATTTGGGGACGGTATTATTGTTGTTGATCAAAGGTGCACTTGCTGGAGAAGAGCTTTGAGGCTGAGAACAAGCTGGAGCCGGAACGGAAGACCCAGCTGGCCAAGAAGCTGGGGCTGCAGCCCAGGCAGGTGGCTGTGTGGTTCCAAAACCGCCGTGCTCGCTGGAAGACCAAACAGCTTGAGAGGGACTATGATCAACTTAAATCTTCCTTTGATTCCCTTAGGTCTGACTATGACTCCGTAGTCAACGAGAATGAGAAGCTCAAAGCTGAGGTACAATACATCTAAATTCATCCGCATATTTTCCCAAACTGTAATACTCAATCTCTTCTTTGTCCAGTAACCTCGTTTTGTATTTTCCTCGAAAAATTATGCCTATCTTATTCGAAATAACATCTAAGTTCACTATTTCTTCTATCGGTAAGCTTTCAAGAAACTTGTATAGGCTATGTGATACAAATAACAAAATTAGTACTACTTGTAGTAGTGATATGACGGGTTACAATACTAATTTCACGAGGTGCATGCATATCATTAACTTTTGTGGTCCACATAAGTGAATTATTGTCATTGGTCACTTCTTACTTTGGATTATTTTCAAGAAATTTTTAGGGAAATTAAAAAGTTTGGTGCATCGGATCTCATTGATTTCATAAGGTTACCTGTGATGTGTACTGATTATGACGTTGTCCTTGGAGTCTTACTTAATAGATTCTTTTCCATTAGCACAAAAAAAAAAGTATACCTTTCAAGTTCACTAGTCGTTGTTGCTTACTTTCAATCAACCCAGATGAAATGATTGTCACTGAGCTACAATTTTGAACCCCACATTAGTTTTTATTCGCCAAAAGGCCAAAACGTAATATGCCAACTCGTGCATGCTGATCATGTACATTCAGTCGGTTCTATTCCTCTGTTTTCTACGCCGTGGAAATAACAAGAATTTGTTAGAAGGGTCATATATCCATAGGAGCTTAAATAAACTGTTGGTTCACAATTTCAGGTTCTTTCTTTGACTGAGAAGTTGCAGACCAAAGGGGTCGACGGAGAACCCCTGAAATCTGTTCCCCTTCCTGTGAATGAGCTCCATTCTTTGAGCTCATTGGTTACAGTGAAAGCCGAGGATCGCCAGAGTTCAGGAAGTGGTGGAAGTGCGGTGGTAGATGATCAGGACGGCCTTCAGCTCGGCGACAGTGGTGACTCCTACTTCCCGAATGATGACTACCCAGCTGGAATTGGTGCCACAGGCGCAGGGGATGGTTTACAATCAGAAGAAGACGACGGCAGCGACGATGGCCAGAATTACTTCTCCAGTGTGTTTGTGACTCCAGAGCAGCAGAATCGTGATCAGGAAGGAGGAGGCGAGCCAATGGGTTGGTGGGTCTGGTCTGAAGTTTATTGAAAATTTTCAACCCTTGTGCGTCCAATGCGCGGCCTGTTTCTCTACTGTCTTCTTCCTTGTTATGTACTAGTAATTTGAGCTATGTAATCTGAACTGTTCAGTGATCATTTACGACTTTGAAGATGAAGAAGGAAAAAGAAAAAAACTTCTGAATCTCTAAAGCAAGTACGATATTATAAACAAATTATGAAAATGCAATTATCTTATCAGTAAGTAGTAGGGCCGATGTGTGGTGACCTACGAATATATATGAATAATATACCATTAAAAATGCTTCTTGATCTTTCTTTTTCTTTTGTTTGATGCTTCTTTTTTTTTTTTTTCTTGTCAAGTTATGTGATCATGTCCAATGGATTCCAATAGCCATCTAAATAGTTTACAAAAGAAAAAAAAAAAAGAAAGGAAAAAGGCCATCTCTATACTAGAAATTAATCTTTTATTCTATGGTGGTGGAGGGCCTGGAGGCCTTTTTTAGAAACTTTTTTCTCTGTCATTTACCACACTAGTACTTTCAGATGGCAATGTAACACGGATATTTGCGCACTTACCAGATCAGTAATTGTGACAATCGTCCACCAACTTCAATATATAGTCCAAAAATCCAACGCAGCAAAATTATATAAATAAACTTTCAACATATTTGACGTCTGGTCTGTGGGCGTACCGCAATATGTGTAGATTCTGTCTCTGATTGATCGTTTTCTACTTATTTTTTTAGTACTGATTTAGTTTGTTGTTATACCAGGGATCAGTAACATAATCTATGGTTTGTGATGTCGACATGGACGGATAATATAACCACAATGACAAATGATCACATCAAAATGCCATTAAACTCAAAAGTAATTGGCCAGTCTTTGGCATTAGCCATAAACTATCAAGCATTGCGTATATAGTAGAGCTTTCATTGTGGAAGATTTCAAGCTGCCGTAGTATGCACTAGGCACTGCTAGTCTGCTACGCAGGGCGTTACTCGCTGTTTTAAAATGATTATTTTGATAGTGACAGATCATGCTCGATTTGCATTTATCTTGGATTTTTTATTTTTATTTTTTTCTTGTTGAAGAAGCTTAAAGAAATTAGAATCATGATGAGTATAATGGCGAACTGGTGGGTTCGCGTGAGTGTGATTGGAAATTCAGCTGTTTTGGAGACGCTTGGATTGGCACTGATATTCCGTAGGACATAGGAGACTGAAATAATTTGAGGTTTGGACATTGTGTGTGGTGATGAATGGTGACTCCAAGAGAAGCTACAGTTGGTAATGGGGACATAAGCCACAGTAGCAGCCAATTCCAACATCGGAGATTTGTTTATTTACTATCATCAATCCAACAGGCGTCGATCTGCCGAGACGCCTCCTCCACTTTCAGACCATCCGTCACCTCACCCTCTTCCACCACTCAAAAAAGCAATGTATAATTAAATAAATTAAAGTTCCCAAATATATATTTGATATTTCTGAGTGTACTGCCACTTGAATATCATTAGTTGAAAACTTTGCAATAAAATAGTGGCACAAGAACGAAAGATGCACATGAATCATGTGATGTTAATATTACTATTTACCAATTATCATAGTGTAGCTTATGCGAAATATTGGAAATAATAATAGCAGAGTAAATTAGCATATATAGAAATGTAACATGTGTAAAAATGGAAAGTTGTAATTCATTTATTCATTTTTACATCTATTGCCGGTAATTTTTTTAATGGATAGTTAAAAGATTTAAAATTACTTCAATATTAAATCGGGTTTCGGAACGGCAAGAAAAGTACCAGTAGGTTTTGTATGGCCATTTGTTGGATACATATGTAAGGAGAATGCAGTTTGTGGATACAAATGGGGATTTTTTTTTATTTTTTTCTATTTTTTTCATATTGCTTCGCCGTTGGTAACAGTGACTAATGCTCCTCGCTCATAGTAAGCACCTTGATGTGTGGGAGAGCTGGGAAAAGAATTTAAAATTGCTCAAATGTTTATGACGAAGTTCGAACCCTCAACCTATGGTTAAAGTTGGAGTAGTCCTTACTACTCCACCACAATTCCTTTTATTGAAATGGTGAGATGTTAAACCTGGATCCGTGTGGTCAGGATCCATTGGGCCGTAAGGGATTTGCAACTTTGCCATAATGAGGTCCACAAGGAGCCCATGAAGAATTCAATCATTTCCAGTCGTATTATCAGAAGTAGTACTTGCATTTAGTATGGAGTGTAGTCTCCAGTAATATGTATGGGTTTAATAATGAGGATTGATAAATTGAGAGCTACTCCCTCCGTCCATCACTTTACCCAAAAAATTTTGTCTCAAAATTATGTCTAATTTGACTTTCTATGGATCAAGTTACATATTTGTCCTTAGTAAAAAACATTATCCATAAAATCTTAGTGGTTAAACAATTACTTATGTAGGGATATATCTGGTTATTTAAGGTAAAATATAATTAAGTTTGATCAAAAATAAAATCTTTCATTTTAGTAAAACTGGACAATAATTATGGGACGGAGAGAGTATTTTTTTATGTTGAGAATAAAACTTTATATACTATCGATAGTACCCTCGTATTAAATTAAAACAGATTTATACCATGTTTATTTTTCTTATATTTTTCCGTTCTTTCCCAGCTGATCTTCTATCATCGCCGATAGATGAGGGATTTGAGGGTGCTTCCCGCTTCTTTTTGCAATCTATGGCGCCTTATCAACTTTCTGGTTTCAACGAGAGGGATTCTAGTTTCTTCAAACCTTTATTTTTTTATTGAATATAATTTACAAGTTCCTTGCGGCAGTCAGCGGGAACCAAATTGCTGCATTTTTTGAATCATAATTCATGTTTACTTCGGTTTCATTCGAATGTTCTTTACTGCAGTACATGTAATGGAAGTTTACCTTTTGTTTTTAGCTTCTATAAAGCTCATGTTAAGGAATCTGAATTTTTTTTTTTTCGCAAAGTGGCGCACTTTATAGCCCGGTTGCGAAGATATACGTAGGTAAGGAAAGAGGTAGAAATTTAAGGAAAAATTAATGGGGTAAATTACTTAAAATTTCATATGAGGGCAATATAAGTAATCATTAAAGTTTTGCTCTCAAAATAAAATAACAGCTCTCAATTTATCAGCTCCCATTAATAATCTCTTTTGGAGGTTGGAAGTTGGAAGTGATAGTTTCCGGTTGGATATTGGCCGGGATGGTTACTTCAGAGTTCTGATTAGCGCAGCAGCGAGAGATCGAAGCTGCAGCGGGGGAAGGCACAAAAACAATGAAACATTAAACAGTCTGGCGGCCCATGTGCTTCCTGCTAATGATCCAGACCTACTACTACTACTACTATGCCTCAATTATGGAAAAAACATATACATTGGTGACATGTCTAGTCCAACACTCCAACTTGGTCACAACCTGTCCTCACAAATTATTACTTCTTTTTTTTTTCCTTAAGGAGTTTTATCTCCGGCTTTTCTTTTTCCGGTATAATTTTTATTTTGTTTGGATACTCTCTCGCTGTGTATGTTTTTTGTTGAGTCATGACTCTTTCTGTTGACAAAAAAAAAAAATTAATAATAATAATAAAATGCAATGTCAAATGGTACATCAATTTTTAGTAAATCTGGTTTCTTGCCACAATATTAGTGCAATGATGGGAGGTGAAATGAGTAAATAGAATAAATGTCCACATTAAATTTCAAGGACGAAAATGCGACATTATCTTTACAGTTAATGCCTTCAAATCAATCATACTAACCACAAGACATAGAAAACCAGCTATTGCCATGAATGATCCTGCATCAAATTCCAAAAAAAATTGCCTTCCCTTTCAGTGAAATCGTGCTCGCATCCATTATTACGGCGTTTACGATTTCAGTGAAAACGGAAAGCTGCAAAGTGGTACAATGTGGAGATAAAAGAGAGGGAAAAGGGCAAGATGGGAAAGAAATCAGAGGTAAGTGGATTTATGTCATTGACTCTTCCTAGGGGTCGGGAGTGGACTCATCGTAATGTACATTTTTCTTTTCTTAATTTTCCCTTTCATCCTGGCACACGGAGGTCACATGTCGTTTTAGCCGTGCTTGCCGGCCCAGGTCGGATACACACACTCACATAGTAAATTGCCTTCTCACAATTTCGCCGTCTCACATGTCACCGCCATTCGCCGGTTACAACTATCCGACAACTACTTAAAATCCCTCCCATTCTTCTTCCTCCTCCTCATCTCCTCCTCCTTAATTTTCTTTGTTTTTTTTTTTGCCCTTTAACTATATTTTTCTCCTATATACAATTTCTCACACACAGTCACGCACTTCTTCCACTGTCAGTCAATAGTAGACCTCCGTAACCACGACAATATCCCGATCACTTCGCTCGCTTCCTCATTTCTGGTAATTCCTCCCCCCCCCCCTTTTCTTTTTATCTACTGGAATTTTTAGTTATTATGTTTATCTGTCGGTGTCATTTTGCCCTAATGTTCTGTTTCATTTGACGGAATGAGAAGTAAGTAAAGTTCAGATTGAGATCTTGTTCTGTTGGTTGCTGTTTCTGTTTGTTGTTTATGTTGTTAGACCTAGTTGAATTTTTGTCTTCTGTGTTTTGTTTTGGTTGATTTCTAGCACTCGGTAGATCTAATGCGGCATGATCACTTGGTTGGCGTTTTGTTTCTGCGACAAAGTATCTTGAATTAGTTTTCAGTTGATTCCTGCTCCGCATTTGTCCTTGTATTTATGAAGCCAGCGGATCCTTTCTGTTGGGGATGGGGATCAGAATCACTTCCCTGTTAAGATATGGGATCTCTGGTGACAATTGTGAGTAGTTTTGTTTCCATATTTAGTAAAATTGAACTTATTCTCTAAACTTTTCCGGTCCAGATGTGGGAGGAATGTGCTGATTTTCAGATGTTAAACTTTTATCGCACTGAGTGTAGGCATCTACTCCATTGTCCTCTGAACTGCTAGTGAGAGTATTGAGATGTGATTGCCAGCAAAAACTTTCTTTTTTTTGGTGTTTCTTTTTCTGGTTTAAGCATAAATTTATTTTGGTGTTATTGAGTTCTATATGGTTCAATTTTTCTTTTCACACCCCAGTATTATTGTTTTGCTTCTTGATTATTGATACTATTCCTTTCTCCGTTACTTGATTCTGTGAGGTGCCTGAGCTTGAATCATGTCGGACTCGGCTTCTGAAAGTCTCAATGTGCATTCAGAATCTGAGAAAAATAATGAATGCTCAACCAATGGGAGCATCAAACCTCAGATTGAGCAAAAGGGTGAAACAGTGGCAAAGAGCGGAAGCGAAGTTCCTTGTTCCGTGGTTGAAAACCCCACAAGTGTCAATGGGGCTGCAAATTCTGTGCCCGAGGTGGGGAGTTCTGAAGTGGAGTACATAGAATCTGATCATCTGAACGATTTGGAAGATGTGGACTTGAGTCTGAAGGTATTCCTATTTTATGTTATTATCAGTAAAGAATATTGATTTTCTTGATGGGAGGCTGTGATTTGATGAATGGCAACATTTAATATTTGTTGCTTTGGTGTTCACCTTTGATAATTTTTCTTTATTTCAGACGCTGTTAACAGGTTTAGATTCGAAGGACTGGGTTTTGGTCTGTGAGGCACTCAACAAAGTTCGTAGGCTATGTATATTTCATAAGGACGCTATGCTCGACATTTTGTAAGTCCCAATGTTTGCTTTGATGACCACACTGCAATTTTATATTTGCTAGAAGTTCGTGTTTCACATGGAAAATTGTGAACTGCATGTAATAATATTTTGGTCTGTTCATGTATTGATAACGGTTCATTCTGGTAAACAGGGATAATGTGATCTCCCTAGTTGTCAAATCCCTGAAGAATCCTAGAAGTGCTGTTTGTAAAACTGCTCTAATGACGTGTGCTGATATTTTCAAAGCATATCGTGATGACTTGATTGATTTGTTGGATCCAATGGTAAACATTACTCTTTTAAGTTGGCCATTTATCTTTTGCTGTTACTAATTACTGTGTTTCCTCACTGTCATCATTATCTTATCCAACTTTAGCTTGTGCAACTTCTGCTCAAATCTTCTCAAGATAAAAAGTTTGTCTGCGAAGCAGCTGAGAAAGCTTTAATATCGATGACCACCTGGATTTCGCCTGTCTCATTGCTACCCAAATTGCAACCTTATCTCAAGAACAGAAATCCCCGAATTCGAGCAAAAGCTGCTATGTGCTTCTCCAGAAGTGCACCGAAACTGGTAAAATATATTCCTTTCACTCCCTATGATGTTGGAATTCCTTGTCTTCTCTTGCTTCTTTTTCATTGTGTCTGATCATAGAAAGGCATCACTCATTGTTAAGAATGTAGAAAATGGATGTATTTTGCTGTAATATAGAAAGACTCTCTAAATAGGCGAGTTTTTCCAAAAAGGGTCAAAGTAAGTGGTATCTGAATTGGCGTCTTTATGATGGTCATCTCAGATAAATGTCTTACGGTTTATTTTCTCAGGGTGTTGATGGGATTAAAGCATATGGAATTGACAAATTGATTGAAATAGCTATATCCCAGCTCAGTGGTCAGCTTCCAGAATCCAGGGAGGCTGCCAGAACTCTGTTGTTGGAGCTACAGACTGTATATGAGAAATCCCATGCCCCTAATGCAGACGATGTTTCTGATGGACCTGACACCACATCGTGGGAAGATTTCTGTCAGTCAAAACTCTCACCTTTGAATGCTCAAGCTGTCCTGCGTGTTACCAGTATTGTTCGGGAAGGTGTTGTTGGTTCTTAGCATGAAATCATTTTCAGTCGTTTCATTTCACTATTTTTGTTCCCGCTCTGAGAAGTCCCCATTGGTTCTTAGCACGCAAATCGTATCAGTTACTACTAGTTTCGTTATACCCCTTTCTTGGGTTCTTGCTCATATTTTACACTTGTATATACCGGAAAGCTGGTGATGGTCGATAAGGCAGTCCACATTTTAGTTGAGTTATATAGATCCGATAGTGATTGTTACTTTTGGTTTACCATGTAGTTCTAGTAATTGTAGAATGAATATTGTTGCTCGGAGTTGCCCGCGCCTGGGCTATTTTGGAATCACATGTATCATGCTGGACGATTGTTGACTGCTCAATTTGATTGTTGTCAAAACATGTGGCTACGACATAGGAGTACTTCATTTTCTCAAAAGGGCCTTCCAGGAACCATATACTGCATCCCATCTTTGCTTCAAACTGCTTGTGGTATACATGTTAGTGTTTATTAGGATAAGGCCAAACGTACTGGCAGTAATATGCTATACTGATTTTTTTTTTTTTTTTAACCTTTGCTTCATCGTTTCTTGGAACTGCGTATCTTTGCATGTATTCTATAACCTCGTCGAAATCTTGAAAAGGGTGCTTCTTGAATTTCTTCTGCTACTAGTTTACTGGTTCCTGCTGCTTGAGTTTGATCTCTTGGTTTAACAATTATTGTTTTTTTTTTTTTGGTAAACCTTTTCATATTGTTTCTTGTTTACGTTTTTGCCTTTTGGTGGTTGGGGTTGGGCCCTGTTGCGGCTCGAAGGTCATAATTAATCGCTAACCTTCTTAATCATCATTTCCTTTCGAATAAAGTTAGATGTTTTCTGATATGCTATGGTGAAATTTTATCGTATTTCCTTTTTTTTTTTTTAATAAAAGAATTTCCTTGGAACTTTTTTGAGAGATAAGAAGTTCTTTGCTTTGTTTCAATAAGGATATGATTTGAGAAAATAGTTTTTATTGGTTAAAGACAAATATGTAAACCAGAGCAACGGAACAAAATGACGCCCTTCCCCGACACCAGAAGTCTAAGATAAAAGGGAAAAGGTTCGTTCTTGATTGTTTTTATGTTAATTTATTAAGTACTGATTTTTTTTTCAGCTCTTCCACCCACTCCATAAGAGAAACTTAATCCGAATCCAACTGCTTTAGATTTGGTTCTGCTGTGGCCTTAGTACGAATGGATTCATTCGTCAGCAGCTTACGCCATTAGAGTTTATCTTTCATCATCATTAAGCTATGTCCTTGAATATTTTCTGTCTGATTTGAGCTAGGGAATAAACAAATGCATTTCTAGAAACTTATGTAGCCTGAAATTTGTGGATAAAAGTAAGGAAATGGCTTCTCCGAGATGAAGTTAAGTTCTGGGATTAGCTACGCTGGTGCTGGTGATGGCCATCGTCATATCCGTTTTATTGTTATTTGTGGGTATCGGAGTTCTGCTCATAATTCATATATGCATTGTTGGTAGAGCCCTGAGTCGAGGACTCAATGGCAGCAACAATAACAACAGAGGATTGGTGGCGGAAAGAGGGAGCCATGGAAGCACGAGCTTGTCCAGAAATGATTTGGAGAAGCTTCCCTGTTTTGATTTCAAGGCAAAAGAAATGAACACTAATCCTTTCAATTCCTCCAGTTCTGAAGACTGCGCTGTTTGCTTGGAGAACTTCAGGGCAGGTGAAAAGTGCCGTTTGTTGCCTATTTGTCGGCACAGTTTCCATTCAGATTGCGTCGATATATGGCTGTTGCGAAAGCCAGTTTGTCCAATCTGCAGAGCAACTGCTAATGTTCTACTGGCTACCATTGAAGATGGCAACAATCTTCAGGGTGAAGTTACGGCTGGAAATCAATCCATCGATTCCGTGCAGATGACTAGTGAGAGTGAGGATTCCGGCATGGCTTCAATTGAGTCGGCAGCGAGCCAAGCTACCGACCGAGAGCCTGGCAATGATCAACCGCTGACTACTGAGAGTTGAACCACAAACGCTGGGGCACCCAAGGCAGTCTTCTTTTTCCAAGAGCTTTTGCCCCAACGTGGGATCAGAAGATAAAATCGGTTCTATTGATGGTTCAGAAATGTACATATCTAACGAATATTGGAAATCTCGCTAACTTTTCACTTTCTGGGAGCATTGAAATTACAGGGTGTTGTTTACCATTGAAGTCAATAATGATTGTACGTATTTTTTATACGGTTGTCCTTTGTCTCAAAATTTTGCAGCTCGTTGTATGTTTGTTTTAAAAGTCAGAAAGAGCAAATTTCACTGGTTTCTTTCAATAAGGACATCTGAAAGATATTCAAATAATCATTCATGTGTCAAGGCTCAGCAGGCCAGCAACAAATCCTCATACAGGAACATATAGATATAAACTCTGAAATGCTTTTCAAAAAAAGAATAATTTTTTTTTTTCTGAAAATGCTCCCAATAGTATTGCAGGATGTGGAAATAAAAATGTTTACCACAAAATTCAACTCCTGATAAATATGAAACCCTGGAGCATATTTAGCGCATTAGCAATGGTTAGTCCTGGAGGTCTACAATGGCTCGATGATCCGCTAAATGATGTGAAATTCTGGCTTCAACATGATATCGTTGGTGTGTCTTACCAAAGTGATGTAACTACTGGCTCCGTTTGTTTCATTTTTCACTAGGTTTTTTCAGAATTAAATATTAATAATTGTCACATCCCATCATACTTTTTTATATTCTAATACATCTTCTTACATTTTCAATAGAAAAAATACCTAAAAACACACATTAAAAGAACGAAATAGCAGTACCTCACCTCCTTTATTGTAAAAAATAAAAATTAAAAAAAAAAAGGTTTACCCCATACTTATATTTTATCCCCTATTTAGGAATTGGTCCAAAAAATTTGATAGTGCCGGTGGGCTTTTGTTGTGGGTTGCCTTCGTCCATTACAGCTGGTACGTTTCTTGATAGCCCAATAGATCAGATATCTAGTATCTTAATGAGCAGAGCCCAACGATTAGCTCATTGATTGATATTATGGCGTATCTAAAATTCTGTTAATGGTGGAGAAAATGGTTGATCGATAATGGAGTAGAAATAGTCCACATTTATCTTTTCTATATATATACTGATATTTATCTTACATAATGGGAGAATTGCGAATTCACTCTGAACGAAAATAGACGGATACAATATTTGAGCTTTGATACAATCAGTATATAATGACTAAACATAGTGATTATTGAAAAAATATAAAAAAAAATTGCTAGATAAAAGAACACGGGCTTAATCAAGTAGAACCGGGTTGCCCTGCTTGATGCTCCCATCGTCGAAAACAAATGAGTGGGGCGAAGCCAGTACAACTGAATATGCGTTATAATCTCCTCCTACCACACCAAAAAACTGACACACATTATTTCTTATATTTCGCCTCATACCTAGAAAGTAGATGTGGGGCTTCTAAACAATAAAAATGTTAAGAAGCGTGGAAGATAGCCTTATTATTCTTTTTCTATGTAGCAATCATGCAGGAATTATTGTGATTTATATGACAGTAACGTTTTTGTGCGGGGAAAGTCAAATTCTCAATAATGTTGATGATCAAAATGAAATTAAAAACTTAGAATGTACGATACTTAAAAGGACTTCAAGTCAGTAAAACGAAGCGCTAAAATGAAATGTTCAGAGTGGTCCATCTAAACAATAATACTTCTTCCGTCCCAAAAAAAATTAATTCACATAGAGTTTTCAAATTTTTACTAAAAATAGTATAAAACTTAAAACTTAATATAAACAATTTTTGTGGGACGGAGAGAGTAAAAAAATAGAAACGCCTCATAATCGTAGAACCTTCTTCATTAGTATGCAATGATCAAATTAACAGTGGTGCCGCCCTCCCCACTCAGGTAAAAGCAAAACGTCAAACGGAGACGATCAATACGCCTTTCAAGTTTCAACGGTTTGGTTGTATGGGCAACTATCTCAGTCAAAGAAGATACATCCGTCATTTATATGGTTTGGTTATTTGTTGCCTGCGAGTCTGCGACTAAGTTAGACCAACGCCAAAATATTTCTAAGACGGATTTCTAGCCATCCCTCATCGGTATGATTACTTATTATTCTTTTTATCCCAAAAACATATTCCATCACGTCCCAAAATTATTATTCAGTTTGAATTTTTATTTCTGATACAAATTGAACTAAAACTAAAAATTCAAATTGGACAAAAATTTTGAAACAAAGAGAATAATATATATAATTTGTGAATTGTGTTATAAATAATACAATCCAAAAAATTATGGTGGGCAATTTTATTTTATTTATTGTGTGTAGGTAATACAATTATTTTACTTTTATCACAATAAGAGACGAAACGCTTAAAAGTAAAATGATAGATTACTAGAGTATATTCTCCAATCGAAAGTTTCGACCATTACAAATCTTCCAGTCCTTGCCCAGCTAATGCTACACGTTTGGTGGAGGGAATATTACTCTAGTCCTTATTATAAACTCTTTTGATTTATCCTAAATTTTAGATAATATATTGTTTTCATTGGAAAAAAAATCTTAAAAATATTTAATAATAATTAAGAGCATAGAACGAATATGAAAATATAATTTTAAATTTTTTAATTCAATTAAAAAAATATATTATGTGAAATTTAGAAGAAATCAAAATATTTTGTAATAAGAACCGGAGGGAGTATTATTTTTGCTAAACATTAACTGCTCTCTAGCCACATGAACCACCACCAAATACTGTCCATAAATTCGTATGAACCACCACGTACTGGTCCAAATGTTGATTTCAGATTTCGCACGCATATGTGTGTGAAGTAATAGGCTTTTAGGTCCGACAAAGCTCGAGAATGAGGTGGTGAATTGGTGATGGGGCGTGATTTGTTAAACTGGAGTTGTCATTTTCCTTCCCGGAGTGCCCATGGAGAATTACACTTACCTATACATACGACTGCTCGATGATAAAGTAGAGACTCCAAAACGAATAGCATTAGTCGGCTGACGACAAAAGCGATATGATGTGACCAGGGTCCAAAACAGGAGGAGATCAACAATTTGAACAAACCACATATATTGATATGAAATCAAAGAGAGGGTATGGAATCTAATACTACCACACAATCTGCAGTATAACGGATTAATTCTTCGTTTAGAAGTGTATTATTGTGGTGTAGGTTGTCGAAATCGTTGGATAGGACCTCCCTATACATGAATCCATATGCATGATCGATCAATTAATCGGGTTTTATCGAAGTGCCCAAACAAGCATCAACCACTGTTTCTTGCCCAGCTTTCAAATTTCATTATAAATGCGAAACAACATATTACAGACGCGCGGAAAGACCATCGTAATAAAAGCAAGGGCGCGATCGATCGGATGGGCCCCGCCAATAGAGTAACGTATTTGTATTTTTGGTGTCGTTGGGCTCTATAATTTGGTGATGAGTTTCGTCCCAAAAACAAAAGACTACGCTGCGTTAACCGCTCAAACTATCTGGAGAATGCAAGACGCAGTAAACATTTGTAATTCCGTTTTAAACTTTCATTTCTTAATATACAAAGTATACAAAAAAAGTAAAAAAAATTTTGACGCAACAATCCTTACGAGACATACTATAAAACACAACCTAAGCCTAGCTGTCGCTTATATTTATTTGATCAGTTTCTCGCCACAAATCAGGTAATATATTTTGTAGTATATCACGATACCACCAAGCTTATATATATCAACAATAGGTACATGTGGTGCGATGGCATTTATCGTGAATGAGGAATACGATATATGAAATCCTTAAATCACAATGTTGGTGACGTAATTATCAATTAGGATGAGATTGCAATTAACAATTTTTTGGGCCAAAGAGGAGTTTAATTAACATTTTTTATTACATAAAACATTTACGACTTTTAACCTATCCTATAAACACATAAATACATAGCATTTGGTGACTAACCATCTGCTCTGAGTCTCCTGACGGATCTGACCATGTTGTAGTATTTGGCTTGCTTTTCCGCATGGTCAAAGGTGGAATCAATTACTCCTATAATATGATTATATATTCCACATGGTAAATTACTTTAGTTCGTCCTTCAGTCAAATTCATGGACCCTACATTACTGAGACGTAGCAGGAGTTATTGCGATTCTTATTAATTTTTTTTTTTGTTTTTTTATATGAAAAAGAGTTAAAAGCGGTCTCCCAATCTCATAAAAATAGTCAAACATTTCAGTTTTAACTTATGCTATCTCTAATACGAAATACAAACCACCATTTTTTTTCCTGAGACTAAGCGAAGTACTATAGGGCTCGTGCCCTGTCAACTCATTTTGTATTTTCAACTCATTTTATCTCTTAAACATAAAACTCAATATAAAATAAACAATTGTCTAAACAACTTCTTGATTTACATTTTAAAATCAAATTTGCAATATTTTGTTAGTGTAGTGACCATCTTTTGAACTAAAAATTAGTTCCGTGACCATTTTTTGAAACTAAAAATTAGTTCAGTGACTAAATCTAAAACTTTGCACATTTTTTATCCATTGTTTAGTGATATTTTTGAAACTCTTTTTTTTTTACAGTGACTAAAGTTGACAATTTTCGATTGTTTAGTAATATTTTTTATAGTTGATATTTGAATAGAAAAATAACTTTTTGCTAAAGATACTATCCAACAATTTTTTCATCTCCCATTATGTTTTTCACTTAAAACACTTTTCACATTCAAGTTGAAAATGAAAATGAAATTGACATCTAAAAAAGCACTATATATTTTCTGTAGACTATAAACCGTAAATATATTACTCCCTTCGTTATAAAATTATTGTCCAATTAATTAGATTTTTATTTTTAGTAAATTAAACTAAAAATAAAAATTCATACTAACAATAATTATGGGACAGAGGAGTACTAATAACTAATAAATATATCTAATTCAAGAAGCAGTACGAGTAAATAGGGAAAGGAGAACTTCATTTGCATCAACATATCCTCAAACCTTTCCACCCCAGACAAAAAAAAAAAAAAAGATCGGGGTTTCACATTCAGAATTCAGATGGCTTCCAACGATCACCACAACCACCGCCACCATGTTGTATTGTTCCCGTTCATGTCCAAAGGCCACACAATACCAGTTCTCCACCTGGCTCGCCTTCTAGTCCGTCGCAACGCCACCGTAACCCTCTTCACTACCCCAGCCAACCAATCTTTCATCTCAGATTATCTCTCTGATTTGACCACCACCAGAACTTTCTCAATCCTGTCCCTCCCTTTCCCAGAAAACATCGGTGACGGAGTACCCCCGGGAACCGAGAGCACCGATAAGCTCCCGGAGATATCCCTCTGGGTCCCTTTCGCCAGGTCCACTCATCTCATGAAACCTCATTTCGAACAATCCCTGGAGTCTCTCCCTGGACCGCCGGTGACGTTTATGGTGACGGATGGATTTCTTCCCTGGACCTTAGACTCCGCCAACAAATACCGCGGCGGTATCCCCAGACTTGTTTATTACGGAATGGGCAACTTCGCTAACGCAGTTAGCCGTGACGTAAGCGAGGGTGGATACATTCACCGGTTCGACTCGGACGATGAACTGTTTCCGGTTCCTCACTTCCCTTGGGTTAAGGTCACCCGGAATGATTTCGACCAACCTTTCACGGACCGCAAACCCAGCGGTCTACATTTCGAGTTTATCATGGACTGCGTAGTGTCAGCCGTGAACAGCTTCGGTCAAATAGTCAACAGCTTCTACGAACTCGAACCGGCTTACGCAGATTTCGACCCGAGAACATGGTCGGTTGGCCCACTTTGTCTAATAGAGCATCCAAGGGGCGGAGAATCCGGGAGAAAAACTCCCCCGTGGATGGAATGGCTGGACGGAATGCTTGAGAAGGGAAAGCCGGTTCTGTACGTGGCGTTTGGATCACAGGCGGAGATATCCCGGGAACAATTCCGTGAGATTAAAACTGGGTTGGAGAAATCGGAAGCGAATTTCTTGTGGGTTGTGAGGAAAAACGAGACAGAGCTAGACGATGGTTTCGAAGTTGGAAGCCGTGGAATTGTGGTGAGAGAATGGGTTGACCAGAGGGAGATCCTGGGGCATCAGAGCGTTCAGGGGTTTTTAAGTCATTGCGGGTGGAATTCTGTGTTGGAGAGTATTTGTGCAAGAGTTCCGATTCTGGCGTGGCCCATGATGGCGGAGCAGCCGTTGAATGCCAGGTTTGTGGCGGAGGAGATTAAGGTGGGGATCCGGGTTCAGACATCCAACGGCTCGGTGAGGGGTTTCGTGACGGCGGAGGGTTTGGAGAAGAGCGTCAAAGAGCTGATGGAGGGAGAAACAGGGAAGGAGGCGAGGAAGAAGGTCAAGGAATTTGGGGATGCGGCCATGGAAGCCGTACAAGAAGGTGGGTCGTCATGGAAGGCGCTGGATGACCTGCTCACTCTGTTGCATGGCTCAGAAACACACTCGCGATGATGTTTGACTCTGTCAACCAAGTGGAACGAAAAGAAAATAAAATACACGCGGTGATATTTCACATTATTATTTTCATCATTTTGAGGATAAATAATCTCTTTTTTCTTTTTTAATACTACTACTTTTTAGTTTTTATCTATAGTTTAAGAGGTTTAAAATTTCAGCCAGTTGGTTGGTTTTTTTGGTTTTTGATACAGATTGATTGCGAAGATAAATTATACAATATGAAATTTGACTGATCGATCTATCTTATTTTGTTTTGGGTAGAAGAACACAGGGTTCTAATTTATATTTTGATGGACATTATCGTCATTCGTCAAGCATGCCAGATACTACGAGCTTTATAAGCAAAATCATACAGTAAACTTTTTCATTACGCCCGAATTATGGTTTGCATTACATCGTTCCTGCAGTCAATAAATGCCTGTCGCTTGTATACAAAAAGGCTACCGAGATGTTCCGTGGAATATTCAATTGTCCAACAAAGTGGCAAATTCGCAAAAGGGGGAGAAAACGATATTTGCGGCAGGGAAAAATCAAACTTTTAATAAATTCTAAAATCCTAAAAAAAAAAAAAAGAAGCCATTCGTCGTTCATCCTGGACGGTTTCAATCCCAGAAACTTCAAGGGACCGGTGCAACAAATCTAGAAACGACTCATAAATAAAATGCCTAAACTTGTCGTGGGGTTTAACCCGTCGCCTGTCTAATCGACAAATCTTATTGTAGACATCACCAATGTTTGGTCTGATATGATTACGTTTTCGACAACTATTTATGAGATAGTACATATTAAATTCCTTTCAAAAAAAAGAATAAAATATTAAACTACATTATTCATAGGTCTTTGCTTCGTATAATCAGATCAAATGAGTAGAGTAGTTGAGTACAGTCCACAGGTACATGTGTTAGAGGAAATATTTTAACGGGCGATTTTTCCAAATTCCTGCTGATTGACACCAAGTAGTATCAAATAACAGGCGTCGTTTTTGTAATTATCGTAAAAAACTCAAAAAAGAGCCTGCAATCAAATCTTACTTACAGAATGAGTACTTACAGTTTTTGGCTTTTTGCATGAGTACTACGTTTCATTTGCTAACCTGCCAGCAGCACATTAAGTTTACCTCTCTTTGGAGGTCTAACCATGTGTTGGTGTTTCCTTTCAAGCATCTGATCGACGCCTAAAAATGTGTGTACTTAGCAATTCTCCAGGAGCCGGAAACTGGAAGCTGAGCAGTATCATCTGCTTGTTGCTCGTGTTGTTCAGTGTTTTCCATACAGTATTTTCCCAACATTTGACTAATGGCTGCATTCTTAAGTCTGAAAACTTGCCCTCAATGGGTAAAACAGGTTGCGAAATTAACAGCAACTGGGGTGGTTTCTTCAATCATGGTTGCTGCGTAGGAGCCTTTGAAACCTAAATTTATCAATCAGGGATGCTAGCTAATAAAACAGGACAAATATTCCTGAGTTCTGCTGAGCAACGGATTTGCTTGAAAGTTGGTGCAAGCGGTTCGTCAGATGTAGACATGTTAAGCTGTGGAATTGAGAAGCTGACATCAAACCTCGGCGGCTGCTCAAACTTTTCAGTAAACGATGTTAATCATAGGTTTGGGAGTAGCATTAGGAAACTCACACAGCAATGTGATTTTTCCAATGCAGTTGAAAGATGGGAGCAATCATGTGGATCTTGTGGAAATAGCTGGAAAGAGATGGAAGTAAACCTATTATTGGATGAAGCTGATTCTGAGTTGTGTAGATTTTCAGTGTTGATTACCTCAATAAGTGAAAGGATAGAGGATGAAGAGTGGGTTGAAATGCTTTTCAACTGCTTAAGGAGACAACGTATTGATGATGGCAAGTATTTCACTAAAATTATTGTAACTATTAATTGTTTACAGCATCACCAAGCATGAAGTTCCATAAAAAGATGCTGCACTTTGTTCTTATTTAGCCCTGTCAATTTTCCCAAACTATAACAGGCGCATTTGACCTAATAAAAACTCATCCTGTCCCGAACCTGATTTTTTAGTAAGTACCTGCAGGTAGTGGAGCTGAAGAGACTGCAGAAAACAAAAGAGGAAAATCAGGTAAATTCCCTGTAGTTCATAAGATTTTGAATTCGGCAGGCTGATCTGTCTTTTGTTCTGATAGAAATGTGTTACTTGCATGATTAGGTATACGAATAAGCATCATGATAGCTGGTGTCATTTTCGGGTTTCTTGTTGTACTATCTCTCTCAATATGGATTTTCTCGCGATTAAACAACAATTCAGGAACTGGTATGGCTTTCGAATGCTTCACAGACACACTCAATAATAATGATTGTATAGCATGTGTTCCTGTATCAGCAAAATGACAGCTAAAATCATGTTTTGTTTCTCAGGAGGAAATTTTTATCTGCTGAAAGATTCCAGAAGCCTAAAAATACCAATCAAGGAAGTGTACTCTGCCACCAACAATTTACATCCATCGAACTGCATTGGTGAAGGGACAGCAAGTAATTAAGAAGAGACAATAATTACATTAGTTGATCTGCTACAACTGGCAAGCTTAATTCTCTTTTTTATCGCTAGAAGCTAGTAACTAAGATCAGCTAATCAATGACTCACAAGTATATGTATAATGTTATTGCATGTGAACATTTAGCCTAAGAATGTCAGTATTCCATCTCATTGTCAACTTTCATCAATCAGGAAAGGTATACAAAGGCGTGTTATGGAATAATCGCCAAGCCGCAATCAAACACGTGATCAATGATGGTGAGACATTTCTGAGGGAAGTAAGAAGCCTATCACACGTGAAATATCCGAATCTAGTGGTGCTGTTGGGATGTTGCAAGAAAAGAGGTGAATGCTTCCTCGTGTATGAACTTTGTCCGAATGGAAATCTGGGGGAATGGCTATTCGGTAAGTTTTCTTGTTATTATGTCCATATCATTTTCATGTACGCAGTACATCCATCAGTTTCATTTTGAAACGAAAACAGGCCGTGAAGATCAAGTCCTTTCATGGATTCAAAGGATTAAAATTGCTATTGACACTGCTCGCGGGCTATGTTTTCTGCATACATATTTTCAAGGATGCATTGTTCACCGGGACATCAAGGCAAGTTCATCATTTAGGAAACTCCTTTAAAATTATTGTTGATTTTAGAAAGCAAAAGACCTGATTCCTTATGCTTCATTTTGGCATTGCAGCCGACAAATATCCTGCTTGGGGCAAACTTTGAAGCTAAGCTTTCCGATTTTGGATTGTCCAAGATTATGAAGTTGGGTGAAATCCATGCCAGCTCTGAAGTGAGAGGAACTTTTGGTTATGTTGATCCTGAGTACCAGAGCAACCGAAGAGTCAATCGGCTGGCGACGTGTACAGCTTTGGAGTAGTTCTTCTGCAGCTGCTTTCTGGAAGAAAAGCCATAGACATTGATATGAAGGAACCTCAACGATTGGATAAAACTGTAAGGCAAAAGTTTTCCTTAATTGGTTAAATGAAACAACTGGCTCTCACATTCGGTATCGTTTTTGTGTTGGTGAAAAAAATCAAATCATTCGATCAGGCAAAATTGATCGCCAGAGAAGGCAAGAAATTCGAGTTTGCAGATCCAAGACTTGAGGGTGAGTATTCAACCCAAGCGTTTGTGCTCATATTTGAGCTGGCTTTGGCATGCATCTCACCATCGCAGAAGCTAAGGCCTCCCATGGACCAAGTTGTTGATGAGTTAGAAGAGGCTCTTCAATTGTCAACCATGGCCAGAGCATCTAGCCCTGTTGCTTGAAGGATCATAAGCTGTTTTAGCTCCAATTTGCTGGTAGAGACTAGAATTTGAAGGACATGTTAGTCATGCTTCACCATTCATTCAGCTTACAGCAGAAAATGGACCATGTACTGCTTCCTTTCCCGAAGCTCTTTATATGAGTAATCTTGTATGTCAACAGTTAAAACTTCCTAACACCTACTTAAATTTACAAAAAAGATCATATATTTATACACCTAACTAACGTATCATTAACATCTGTTGTTTGAACTAAACTAGTCCTTCCTCAATCTAGAGAGAAATCAGGCTCATCCGGCTTTAATAACGTGGGCATCTTTAGGCTTGAAGAAGAAGGATCAGGCGCCACAGGGACTTTGGGGATAGCCCCTCTTCTGGTGTTTGCTGCAAATTTCGAAGCCAATATTGTAGCTCCAAGTTGTTGACCATTGTTTCCATCAGCAGAATCCTCTTTATCTTCATCCTCAAACCCGTCGTATGCATAGTTGTTGTTGCTGTAATAAAGATCTTCTTGCAGAGCCAACTCTTTTGCTAGCTTCTTTCTTTTAAACCTTCTCCAAGCAACTTGAATATAGCAGGTTCCCCACGTCCTCCATTGAGAAGAGTAGTACCTAAACGCATGCTGCAGCGTCTTGCTATGAAGATGTTTGAATTGCATTGCAACGAATTTGAGTTCTTCAGCTCCGAGGGCAAAAGCTTCTACTTCAGTTAGTGTACGTACAGTTCTTGTTGAAGAGGGCAAGTTTAAGTTCGAGTTAGGAACCAAGGCCCACGTCAGTAATTCCTCCCCACAAAAGTCACCAGGTCTAAGTGTGATGGAGTTGAAAAATCCCGATCTTCCACCATTGGTCGTGGAGCTCTCAAGTTGACCCCTGATGATGAATAGCATCTCATTCACTGGATCTCCTTCTCGAAACATGTAGGTGCCTTCCGTGCTTAAAGATGAGACCAGTCGTTCGCATATGGCGTCAAGTAGTTGATCATCCATTTGCGCGAAGAAGGGGACCTAAAAAATTAGGCCAAATCTTCAGAATTTCTGTAAAATGGCCTAATAAATACCAACTAGTAATTTGTGTAACCAAATGTTGAAGATGAGACGCACATCCCAACATTCCATATACATTTTAGGTGTTAGAAAAGCCACAATGATCTAATTGAACTGGGTTCATTCCACCATTCATATGAATTCTTGATTTCTTCAACAGTTCCATTTCTACAGTATTAATGATTTACTTCCTAGTCTTTCCTCACCATAATACTTCCACCTTAATGTTATAACTTGCAAAACAGCCCTCAAAGGAACTTATAGGCTAGTTAGTCCTATGATAATGTCAACATGTACAGATCCTTAGTATCATGGAAGTAAGGAATACATACTCGTCGAACTAGGTTGAGGCAAAGGTGTCGCTGAATTTCACGACGTAGATCCAAAGGCAACGATTGCAGGATGGATTCTTCGTTGACCCCCCTTGTCACAAGCCATTTATACTGCACAAAACGGCGAACACGTTCTTGCAGTTCTGGAGGTAACTGTCGATGCCTCATCCATTCTTCTGTATCTCTTTTCTTAACCCTCCACTCTTCAAGTCTAACCGTCATAGATTGCAAATAGGTCTTCACTCACAAAATAAAATACAAGGAAATGAGTGTTTCTCATGAAATTTAAACCATTTACGACAAGAAAAGAAAAAAAAAGAAGCAATTTTCTTGTCAAGAATATATATAATCTCTCCAGCAAGCAGAAATGAACCTTGCAAAAATTAATACCTGCATGTCGCCAATCAACCTTGCAAACAAAACTAAACCACCAATACATAAGACAACGCAAAATGAAGTCTCTCCGAGATAGGTGCTGGTCCGTAAGTTTTGCCCATATGAACTGCAAGGAGGTATAGTAGATATATCAATGTGAGGACTACAAAAGGGAAAGCAAATTCAAAATTTCAGTGCTTGAAAGTGAAAGCTCTACTTTTTACTCCCTTATTTGAGAACCATGCAAATTCTCCACTTGTGCAAGGCCTTCGAGTTATGAATGCAAACAAATGCTAGATATATAGCAGATAACCATCGAGAATCAAGAGACTTTCAGTAACTATTTGAAAGGAAGTGAAACATTTTTTTACTACAATGATAATTAATTGGTGAACTAAAATACCATGAGACTTATATGTGATTTAAAATCGTTGCAATGGCCTAATGTAACAATGAAAGATCACAAAGGGGCAACCAAAAGCTGGAGAGGCGTGATTATATATGTACAGCAATCTGAACAATACAAACCTCAAATTTCTCAAACCCCACCAAAGGCAATAAAGATACTTCTCCTTGAATGACGATGAAGCAACTTCGCTGGTGAATGCATCCGCGAACATTCCAAATTTGAAGTCCGAATCATCATTTTTAGCATCGCAACGAGTGATAAGTTTTGTGGCATTGAGCCAGTAGTTCCGCTCCAGGTTCCCAGCAACACTGTCACAATCCAGAAATGTATAAGAACAAGGAGGAAAAGCTGTAAACTCCTTCTTGCACTGCTCCTTCCAACAAGAGTGTTGCCGTCCAATGGATGCCAGATACCACGAAGCCCCGAGAACCTAAAATTACCAAATGCACCAAATGGCCATAAGTGTTTGGAGCTCATAATGCCAGTAACATTATGATCAAAATTAACTAAATGATAAAAAAAAAAATTGTTCATCAGCAAATTACATGACTGGCTAACATGTAGAGAAGGAGGTTGTACGCAGCTCCAGCCCAAGCAGTCTTAGCGATAAAACCTGTGGACTTGATTATCCGCTGATTCAGAGGAAATATAACAAACAGCCGTGGGATGTATTGTAAGAGCACAATTAGGGAAAGGGTATTGTTGTTACGACCAGATCCTCGATTTTTCGTGGCTGGAATAACATACCGGATGACAATCTGAAGAATATATACAACCATACAATTTGATAGGATTCAATTTTATTTGCAGAAACATATATACACCAATTGACAAAAGGGAGGATGAAACAACACATATATACTTGCCTGGGGTAATGGAAGAAAAGCAGCTAAATCAACCACGAAATCAGTTCTGAGATATCTCTTTGCGATTTCTGTGCTATCCATGACGAGTTCTCCCCTGCCAAAGACCCTAGAATTGGGGGCAACGAAAGCGGTGCGGAACTTGATGAGGATGTGGAGGAGGTAGAAAAGGTCAGTGAAGGTCCGGCAAGCGGTGATTGCCGGGGAAGCCCGGTTGTCGGTAGACATACAAGCCGGGCCACCGACGTAAGGGAGGTAGAAATACAGGGGATCGATGAAGAGGGAGACGAGACAGGTGATGAGGAAGAGGTGGTTCCACCAATTGATGATTTCGCCGTTGGGATCGAGGATTTGATGCCGCCATAGGATGTTCACCAGCTGCTGCGGCTGATCCGCCGCAAGGATGATGGGCTGTTTGTGGATGCCGGTGCTGTTGTGGTGGGTGGTTATTGTTCGCCGGATGTGGCGGAAGTGGGACGCCGGCCTCGTGAATATCCTATTCATCTTCCATGGCGGACTCCGATGATGATATCGGATTCCGCTTCGGCTTCATTCAATTCTTTCTCCGATGTTTTAAATTTATATATAACTTGTGACAATAGCTTCCAAGATATAACCAACGGGAACTATTTGACGATCAAATATACCAAGTTTTCGCTGAATCAAAACTCAGAAAAGAGGTCGGAGAATGGAGAAAATGGAGGCTATTGAGAAAATTGGATGAGAAAGGGTGGTGGTTCTGTCTGAGTCGGCTTGGGGGACGTGGTGGAGCATGACCGTTGAGAGTTTCTTGGGTGAAAAAAAATGGAGGGATTTGCGATTTCTGCGGGGGTTTTTGTATTGGATTTTTTTATTTTTTTATTTATCTATTATACCCTAAAATATATATACGTACATAGTTTCTATTTTTTTTTTTATTTTTGTTACAAACTGTGGGGCAAATACGCCAAACAGAAGTACTACACATATTTTTTTTGAAATTTATGGAATATACGTAGATACCGAAACTATTTTTTTTCAATTTGTAGTTATTCGATATGATTGTCTCATTTATAATAGTAAGATAATTTTTTTACATATTGCAAATATGTAAAAAAATTTATTATATACTGGGAAAAACTGAAATTTTGTGTACAAGAGCAATTCAAAGGGTGAAAGTTGGCGTATGATAATCTAGTGATAAATTATTCTGTACCACATAAGATTATATAGCCATACATAATAAATAGGTAAAGTAGTAATTTTAGGGGGAAAGAGATAATTTCTGTGGAAATTATATAGCACCAAAATAAGAGACTGCTAATACTTAATGCACTAAAAATCAGGATACGGTAGCTGTACCGAATAATTTTTCTAATTTAGTTCTATTTTTTCTACATTTGATTTGGGGCATTGACAAAATGTGCAACCTCGGGGCATAGGTGAGGCCTATCTTGGCTAAAGAATCCGCTGGTTCTAGTACTGACGTTGCTTGGGTTGTTTGTTCATTTGTTGGGCTTTCATCATTTAACATCTGTAGCTGTATTTTCCTGAAGTCCATATTCCAAGCATTTTTCAGCCCAGAGCTTTGCTTCTAAGACATAACAGTCACCGATTCTTGCCCGTAACCGGAGATCCATTTCCCTTCATCATTTCGCAGAAGACCGCCGGCTGACGCCATTGGTGGGTTGGGCTGCACTGCACCGTCGGTATTCAGGCGTACATTCAGGAGAAGAATACGGTTTTAACGTTTCACCAATTGAATGAAGACGGCTGGTGTCGTAAAATATTCAAGTCGATCGAGCATGGGCCAGCATGGCCTTTTGGAACTCATATAATGGGCCTTTTCTTTTAATCTAGAATGGGTGAAAAAAACTTTTGGATTTGAATTGGAGAAGAAAACCATCTACAAGTGGTCGAACTACTTGATAAGGACAGCCTAGCCCACATATCCAGTAACACTCAGCCTAGCCCACATATCCAGTAACACTCTTAACAGGTCAAGGGTACCTTTGAACCGTCACTGGTTGGTAGAAATTTTGTACATAAAAAGGCCAGGCAACGAGCCAGCTGATTCGCTAGCAAAATTAGGATTCAAACTTAGGCCTGGGTGTCACATTTTGTCCACCCCTCCTTTTGAAACTCTTAAGGAAAATGGCTTTTAGATTGGCCAGATTTGACTCACTCTCTCGATTTTTAATGCGCAACCCTGGCCCAATATATCTATAGATCTTAGAAATATTTGTATCTAGAAAAAAAAAATATTTTGTGTTTGGGCAGATATATTGTAGAAATTTTTGAAGAATTTAGAAATGTTTTATAAGTGTGATCATAGAAATGTTTGTATTTGGCATAAAAAGAATTTGTATTTTGCCCGATACGTTTTAGAAACGTTTGACGATTTTAGAAATATTTTATAAGTGTTACTTCTTAAATATAAATAAACTTGATCAAATATATGTCTTGAATTAAATGCTAGACAAAATATAAAAGTATCCTAATAAGTTTAAATATTAGTAAGATAATTTATTGATGTTCTCCGTTGGTTGTGCCAAATCAATACTTAGTTTTAGAGATTTATAATAGCTTTGTAGTAAGCTTCCTCCAAAGGGTATAAACTTAATTGTTGGAACTATTTCTTCTAAAAATTTATAGGTAGTAAAACATCAAAAATATGATTTTGAAACTGGTTAATTTTTAAAACTGGTTGATCACAAATATGATAATGAAAATAATGTAAATTTACATAGGTTTCAAGTTATAGCAAAAAAGAACTCATCTCACCATGGCAAATTAAAAAAGACAAAGAAAGTAAAAGATAGCCCATTAAAAATTGAGAAATTTATTTTTTTCTATAGGTAAAAATGATGTATAAAAACACAAATAAACGTAGAAACATCATTCCTTCCTCTCCACCTCAAATTTATAAAAAGCTTCCCCATAAATTAGTTAGAAGAAGCGACCTGGACTATTTATATGATGAGTAACTAAAGAAAGTCCAAAAACCAAATCCAAAAAAGTATATTCTTGAAAGCCCGAACACAAAAAAAAAAAAACAAACGCTTTTCATTTACAAATAAATAAAATAATAATAATAATAATTGGTCAACTAGGAGTATGAAATAAAATCAAAAGCAATTAAACAAAGAAAAAACACATTTCATAAGTGACCATATACGGAAAAAACATGAGACTCCATAATTAAAAAAAGAAAACCACTCTAATTGAATAAAACATAAAAAAGAAATTTAAAAAATCACACTTTGTAACAAAAACTCAATTCATCAATTCAATCCAAAAAGAACTAAAATCATACAAAAATTTTAGGCTAACTAACCATATAAGAAATCACATCATATTACCTGACAACGGCTACAGTAGCTGTAATGCATGGGACACATAAAAATAATAGTAATAACACTATTCTTAAAAGGAAAAAATAAAAAATAATAAAGGCCAAACAAATGATCTCCGGAAATAAAATCATTTAAATTTTAATATCTTTAATGGAACCACCACAACGGCCGAAGCTAAATCAATGAGAATTTTTTTTTTCTTTGTGTTTATATAGAAAGGTAAAGAGAATATTTTTTGAAGTTGGAATTTTATCCGATTATGATGTAGTTGATCATTACTAATGAAAAGATTGAATGGAGAAGGGATTGATTAGGGAATCGATTGTCGTGGAGATGGGGATGGGGATGAGGATTTGGATTTTTTATGAACGTGGTTTTTTTTTTTGGCAAAAATAGGAAGTGGAGGTAGATTTGGACTGCATTTGCCTTTTAAGTCTAGGATATGTGTAAATAAAAATTTATTTTAAGAATATGATGTGAAAATGCCACATGGCAAATGGTGATACTTTCTCTTAAGTGTGGTTTTTGTTTATAATATAGTAAGATATATATATATATATATATATATATATATAAGAAACTGTTACCTTTCGTCACTTGCATGCAATTTGTACTAACTACGTATTAGATCATTCTCCCTCTACAAAAAAATATAGCAGTTCAGATATAATTTATTAATTATATTAAAAACAATATATAATTCAAAAATCCTACAATTACTTCTTCAGTATGATTTAAAAATAATAATTTGAACAATTTTCTTTAAGCAGGGAATAATAATAATAATTATCATTAGACGGTGTCACATTTTTCAAATTATTATTCAATCATTATTTCTTCTGTCTTTAGAAAATCTTTTCATCCCTCCAAATTATAAACACACTCAGATTAGAATATTGCCGATCCTTGCATCATCAAAGTGCGATCCCGAAAGATCAATAATGTTTCTTCGTTCAAACTAATTATAACATGCGTAAGATATTAAATTATGTTTGGATACAACTAAATTGGCCCAGTAATAGAAAAACAAAAGTTGTTGACCAATTTACAGTATAATTAGGCATCTTTATACTACTCCCTCCGTCCCATAATTATTGTCCAATTTGAGTTTTCATTTTTAGTTCAAATTGTACTAAAAATGAAATCTCAAACTGCACAATAATTTTGGAACAGAGAGAGTATTATACATATCGATGCCATGAGTTCATGAGATGCACCGTACAATAATGAAGGGATGCGGAGGCGTAGGTTTAGTCACTTGTAATTTATTTATTGAGTGAAATCTTAGTCACTTATTTAGAGTTAAATGTGTGTACTTTCTTCCTCCGCCTCTAGTCTTCCTTCGAGAGTGCTAGTCTATAGTAAATTGAGCCACCAATTTTAGTTGGTTGAACATTGACGACCTGATCATAACACCATATTTGATCGACGCGTCAAAATTTCCTAGTCGAAGTTTACATGTGTAAAAAATTTAGGTTCTGGACCACGAGTGATTAACACAACTTAGCATTTCAGATCAGTTATATGATGAAGAAGAGATATTACTACTTAGGATTGCCGAATGAATCTTTCATCCTTTATAGAAAAAGATTTTTAAAAAATATATTAAAATGATTTCTATATTCGTGGAAATTTTGCTATAATTAACTAGAACGGTTGAGTATTGAATCATTCAATCGTAACAGTACAAAATTTCTGTATGATCACGAAACCAACAACAACGGGACAATCATAAACATTTAATTGTCAGTTAATTAACATTGACAAAGAGACATAAAGTAGTATTCCCTCCGGTGTATTTTGAGTTCTTCTAAATTTTATTTATTGTGTTTTTTTTCAATTGAAAATAAAATTTTAAAATTATATATTTACATTTAATATGTTCTCCTCCTATATTTATGAAACATTTTTTTACTGTACGTCGGCAGGAAATTATATGTATCCTGTTCTTGTTTTCTTTTATGTTTGAAGTGAATTAAGTTCGGGTAAATCACCGTCCAGGCTTGCTGGCTAACAGACTTGAACTAATTTGCAAAAGGAGCGATGACCTTAAAGTTTGCATGTACCATAAAAAATACTCCCTCCGTCTTATAATTATTGTCCAGTTTGTATTTTCATTTCTAGTTCAAATTGTATTAAAAATGAAATCTCAAATTGGACAATAATTTTGGGACAGAGGGAGTATACTATTATTACACAAGATTCACTTTATACGTTTATGCTGTAGAAATCAAGATTTGCAATTTTTTTTTTTTTTTTTTTGTATTTTCTTTTCGAGCGTAGTAGACTATGCCCATATTCTTGTGGTTATAAATAGGGTAAAATTAAGTCAAAAAAATGAAGCCCTGGCTGATTGATAAGTGTTAGGCTTGCCTGATACGGATAACCCAACTAGCAGATCCCCATTGTCGAACACAAAATTTAATTAATTATTACCATTGTAGTACTCCATTGATAAGTCAATAATAATAACAACGACAGTAACTGGCGCATCCTCTGAGTTCAACTTAAAATTCATAGTACATGTGTTTGACTAAAATTTTAGTAATAGTAAGTTCGGCCTGGTGTCACGGACTTTGTTTTGGAACTGTCCCCCACCCCCCCACCCCCCCCACCCCATAATGCACGCACATTGTTGATGCTAGCAGAATAAATCGCATCCTTTCACAAATTGAAAACTCTTGATTTTATGGATCTGATCTAACGGTGTGTAGATTGGGTTGGAGGAATCATCATTGATCGTCAATGACAATGAGCTTCTTGAAGTCTAACTAGCATGATTAGTTAGGGGATCAAGCTACTTCAAGTACTGGAGGAAATTGGGGTAGCCTCTGATGAGGGGAAGAAAAAAAAAAAAGAACGTGGTGAGGAATTGCACGCATGTTCTGTATTTTTTTTTCTCAGATGATGGCGACGGATATGGATCTGCCATCTTCTCTGCTCCACTAATTTCTCCTGCTGATATCAATTAACCCTCCTGCCCGCCTGCTGTTTGTTCTTCTTCGTTTAATATATATTTCCTTCTCCTTAAAGATATGGAACAATCAAATAGTGTTATTTTTTTCTTTTCGAAATGTGTACATCAATGTTAGTACAGTTTATACTAAAAAAGAATATTAAAGATTCCTAAATTGTTCAAATTCCCCGGAAATGATCATCTACCTCAAGCACCTCTTTATTCCCTATAATCATCTCGAAACAATTCTGCTCTCTATTTGTAAAAGACTACTACGGCAATCGCACAAGATTCTTAAGTCAATTGAAGTCCACAAACTAAACTCTAATGTTTTGTAGTAACCGCTGATACAATTCATGATAAACCACGCCGATCAAGCCAACAACCATCAAAGCTCAGAGCCACAGCACCAACAACTGCCCGACTCGACGACCGAATATAAGACCAGTTAACCCATCTGCGTCTATGTATTTACACTTTAGTCATATTTATAGTTCCATGAATATGTATATGTTTTGGGCGGGGGAGTACATATGCTTTGTCTATTTTGTTTTTTTTTTTTTTTTGTTTTGGAATCTACTTACTTGGTTGACTTTCTTATAAGAGTTTCTTCTTAATGGGCAGCCTGGTACTGTTTCTACATTATAGCTGATATAATAAATATATGATTTCATAACATGTGTTTTAGACTTCAATTCAGGTACATCTGGAGTTGTTAACTGTTCAGGTCTACACAGTTAATAATAATTTTTAAAATTGTTATCATAGGGTTTATTATCCAAAATCATTAATTTTTAACAAAATGCTGAAGATTCAATTTGACAATGATAATTAGTATTGAGGTATTCTCCGCTCTGTTTTTCAATTTTTAATGTGAGGTGGGGAAAAGGAAAATCAATACAGAATCTCAAGAGTCAAAACAGTATATATATATCTAACCTCTTTTTAAACCTGATAGGCGATAGCATTCACATCTTATTGCCAATTTCCACAACTCTAGAAGGATTTCTGATGCATCTTGGTTCATTTAGCCTGGGGTAGGTTGTTATTAAGGAAGGACATATATCACGTAATGAAAATGGTTATAATCAGCCACATTTGTCCAATTCCTTTAGAATCAATTTTACTCTACAACAACGAATTAAATGAGATAGGAAGAGTGAACTGTTAATATGGGAGTACGCTGAATTATACAGTACTACTCGTCTTTTGGGTATCTTTTTTCCTTAACAATCTAAAGAAATGTTTACTGAATTATACAGTACTAATCTTTAGTGTATCCATAGTAATGGATTTCGGTAAAGCATTTGTTAACACTTCATAAAACGGCATTTGTCAAATGTCATTTTACGCATTGCTACTATTTTCTCATAAACAGTTGGTAGTATGCTACTATTTTTCAGTCTCTATTATCGTTCAATAACTCAATTTATTATATCAGCAATTGACAATTATTAAACATAAATTAATCTCCGTAGATTAAGGATTTGTTTTGCTGCTTTTGGCCACCGTGACGAAAAAGATCACAAAAAGGGTAGCCGGAGACTTGCGCCTATCAATCTCTTTTGGCTGGTGGCTGTTAGCGTACTCCATTCACATTAAAAGCCTGCCAAATCCTCCTCCACAATCTTTATGCCTCTCCAATTGCCTAATCCCTTGTGTTGAAGAATTGGATCACACGTTTGATGTGATTTTTTTTTTTAATATTTTTTATGTTTTGGGTTAGAATTGAATCGATAATCCCAGTGAATGATTAAATTTATAGTCCAAAGCACAAAGGGCAAAGCTCTCAAGATCAGAATAGATTTTAGTGCTGATTTGGTTGTCCACCTCGATAGAGAAATATCCTGGCCATTGCTGAAAATGGTGGGGTGATTGAGTTTTGAGTCAGTTTTGTAGTATTTATTTACACACATGATCCAAATCTTCCTACAGATCCAAGTCAGTGCGGCCACACACTGACAATTTACTTTTTTTCCATTTCCTTTTTCTTCCTTTTCTCGCCCTTATAAATGCACTCACAAAATTCGGGGTTTTTCCCGAAAATTCTTCAAGTTCAGTTTTTTTGGATGATGCACAACAACAACAACAACAATAACAGGGCGGCAGCGGATCCTAGTGTAGTATAATCATAAAGCACTTCCCCCCACCTGAACTGCCATCACAGAATTTTATCCTCCCGAAAAGCCTCCACCAACTAAACCCCTCCCCCAAAAAAAAAAAACATAAATAAATAAAGAAAGGAAAAGAAAAAGAGAGTGGAAGGAATCAGTTCAGATAAGCGTGATGATATTCCATTCCATTGATCTTCTCTTCTTCCTAAATGTGGCTTTGACTCGTTTTCCTATTCATCTTCCTCATGGTACCTTCCGCTTTTTCAGTTACCTTTGCTACTAATTTACTAGCATTTATTATACAACCTATAAATAATTTTTTTTTAAAGAAATGTAACAGAACGGAGTTGTATTAATTATGTTCTTCACAAGAAACACCAAAGCATATGAATCAATATTTGTAAACAGTAGTAAAGTTTGATCAATCCCCATGTGTCACAATTCCACGTTAATACACCACCTATGAGAGAGATCCCACTCAGACTGATACAACCAAACACTAAAACCCACGATGATGGATATGTCGAGTCACTCTCCACTTGAGCATTTATTGCTGATTAGTTTTGTTTGTTTTGCAATAAGGGCTTTTTATGAGTTTATCTTTTCTTCTTTTATTTTGAGGTAGCAGTAGCAATTGCGCTTGTTCTGTCACTTGTGTGGACCAAACCTCACTCAAATCAGAGGGTTTTGGAGTTTTGTGGGTCAAGGACCGTGTATGATTTTGCAGTAAACCTCCTTCTTCTTCTTCTATATTCAGTCATTTACACTTGTCCCTTTCTTTTGGTTTTTAGCTATCCGCACACGAATACACCATCATAATATATTTATTGTTGTAGGAGTTATTGAACTGCACAAGTTCTCTCTCAATTTCCTTACCAACTTTCCTCGTAACAGTTGTTTTTAAAAAAACTTGTGGCATTTCGCACCTGCTCTGTAAATTCTCCATTTCTCAATTTTCTGGGCTTTGTCCAAGTCAAATTCCTGGTCCCCCTTTATTATTTTTTTCTCTCAAGGATTTCTTGGAGTGTCTTCCAGTGCTTTGGTTTTTCTGTCCAGCAGGGACATTCTCTTATTCATCTCTACTGGTTCAAGCAATGAGATTATTGTGGTGATTCTGAAACAACTGACATGGATATTGAAGCTCGTCAAAATCCCATCAAGGTCAGACATTTAGAAATTTGTACAATATCTTCAATGTTCAAAGATAGCATCTTTATGCTTATTACTATTTGTATTCATGCTTTTTGTTTTTTTGGGTTGCAGAGGGAATCATGGAAGACGGTCTTGACTTTAGCTTATCAGAGCCTGGGTGTGGTGTATGGAGATTTAAGTACTTCACCACTGTATGTGTACAAGAGCACATTTGCAGAAGACATTAAACATTCAGAATCCAACGAGGAGATTTATGGAGTTCTATCTTTTGTATTTTGGACATTAACCCTCATTCCACTGCTTAAGTATGTATTTGTAGTCCTCAGAGCGGACGATAATGGTGAAGGCGGAACTTTTGCTCTGTATTCTCTGCTTTGCCGCCATGCCAGAGTGAGCACTTTGCCCAATGGTCAGGTTGCTGACGAGGAATTATACGAGTATAAAAAAGATGAGATTGTGTCCACTGATAAAGGTCCTGGGTTCAGCTTGAAGACTACATTAGAGAAACACAAGCTTTTGCAGAAGATATTGCTTATCTTGGCCTTGATTGGTACTGGAATGGTCATTGGAGATGGAGTTCTTACACCGGCACTTTCAGGTATAAATAGTTAAATTCATCTTCAATTGATCATTTTTTTGTTTTTCAATTAGAAATATACATTTTGAGGTTCTGAATTTGCAGATGAGAATCTGACGAAAGATTGTTCCGGTTGTTTTTACAGTTTTTTCTGCCGTTTCTGGACTGGAGCTTTCCATGGCCAAAACGCATCATCAGTGTAAGTTCCTTTATTCCGTTTTCAACAAATTCGGTTACATGTCATCTTTATGACCGCCTAAATGGGCTATTATGAGCTTTCTGTTTCTGTCTAGCTGTGCTGACAAACTTTCATAGTAAAGCGTCTAAATCCATTGAAACCTTTGCCGTATTATGTTGAAAAATGCATTTGAACAACTTTTTTGGTTTTTCGCCGAGAAACTCAACAATAGCAGGCTTGAGATAATGATCCGGGAAATGTTTGGTTCGGAAACAATTTCGACTTAGAGAGTTAGAATGTATGGCCCTGGGAGCAAAATGGCCTTTTTTCCATAATCTTACGGAATCACTTGGCAAATTGTTTAGCCTTTCTTGAGATGCTTATCTTGGCGTTTTGCCTTTGTGCTAGTTGTTATGATGTTTTTAAAAAGGGCTTGTGGTGGGACCGGAAGAATTGATTTCACAATTATTGGGGCAAATAGTGCTTTGCTTAAAAATCTAGGAGTTTCTTCTGTAGATTGAGTGTCTGGACTCTGGACAAATACCGGCTAAACAGATATGGGTTGAACCTTGAAAGATTTTGGTTTGTGGGTCACCCACTTTATGTGCCTCATCAAAACACAATCAACGTTGCACAAGTAATGGAAGTTAGGTCTCCCCACTTTTTACATTTATAAGCAGTTGGCCAGATAAGATTTAATCATTATACTCGGAAAGTGAACAAATAACATCTGATATGGATTAAGTTCTTCTGAAAGATTTGACTGAATAGTTTTGCAACTCGTAAAATAACTATCAATGGAAGTAAGAGAAAGGTTTTTTACCCTGCAGTTGACAATTTGAGCTTGTAAAGCTTTAAGGAACAGACACATGCTTGTCCCAGGGGAGTTAAATAGTTTATCACTGAATTTTGAGTTTGAAATTATTAAGATCAGGCTGAGTGAAGAAGTTAATTTTCGTATATTCTTAATGTTTGGCTGGTTTTGTAAAAGTTAGAGTGTTGAGATCAAGACACGATTCTTAATCAAGCTTTAGATCTTTCAAGTATCCTTGGCCCCTTATGTTTCTACCTTGTTTCAGAAAATTAGTTGACTCAGTATTGCAGGATCATACCACAGGCCTTATGCCTGAATTTATTCATACGCTTAAGATATTGATTGATTCCCACCTTATCATGCTTTTATGTTGCACATCATGCTTGTGTGTGATTTCTGAATGGCTTTACTTAACTCCCTTAACAAAGGAGATCTGCTCTCAATTTTGCTTATTTTTTCCTCATCTCTTCAGACGTTCAAGTTCCAGTTGCTTGCATCATATTGCTTACGCTATTCTTTCTCCAACACTACGGGACCCATCGGATAGGCTTCCTCTTCGCACCAATTGTTATCACATGGCTTTTATGCATCAGTGCCATTGGACTGTACAACATTTTCCACTGGAATCCCCATGTTTATCATGCAATCTCTCCTTATTACATGTATAAATTCTTGAAAAAGACCCGACGAGGAGGTTGGATGTCCTTGGGAGGGATTTTGCTATGCATGACAGGTAAATGACAGGACAAGTTTCTCCCAGTGTTTCACTCAGATAACTTTCTTCTAATTTAACCTTTTCATTATGCAGGTTCAGAGGCAATGTATGCTGATCTTGGCCACTTTTCTCAATTGTCTATCAAGGTATCACTTCCCCTTTTCATCAAGCTACTTCTGCAGCTTCCTCAATTGGCTGTAGTGTTAAAATGCAGATCCCATTAAGGATGTTGAGATAGAGTAGCATCGACATGTATAAATGGACTGGTTTTTGGCTGCAGATAGCTTTCACTTTCATGGTCTACCCTGCACTGATTCTGGCATATATGGGGCAAGCTGCTTACCTCTCCAAGCATCACATGATTCACAGTGATCACCAAATCGGATTTTATGTGTCTGTACCTGGTAAGAAATCTTGTCTTTCTTACAACTTTCAATTTCTAAGGGATTATTACTTTTACTTTTGTGGTTACCATACGATAGATGTTGGTTAAGTTTTTCTTGCTTTTGCCAGAAAAGATAAGATGGCCTGTCCTTGCGATTGCGATTCTTGCTGCTGTAGTGGGAAGCCAGGCGGTCATTACAGGGTCATTTTCTATAATCAAACAATGTTCTGCATTGGGTTTCTTTCCAAGGGTCAAAATCGTACACACATCATCTAAAGTACACGGGCAGATTTACATACCTGAAATCAACTGGATTTTGATGCTGCTGTGTCTGGCTGTAACTATTGGATTTAGAGACACTAAACACATAAGCAATGCGTCAGGTACTGTAGTATTAGCGAAGATTTTGTGTAGATCTCTTTAAATCACTTGGTTTTGGCCCGTTGACCCGTTGATATGGTTAAAATTTTGCTGTTATCCAGTTGTAGAGTTCATTAAAGCTGGATATTACATCAAAGAATTGGACATCCATTAAATCATAATGGGATATAACTGATACATTGTTGAACGCACAAATCATGCTATTTATATCGAGTTCTCACAAATTTCATTTCTTTTCTCCATGCTCAAAATTCAGTATAATATTTCTAATGTTGTCTTTTTTGCTGGAGCAGGTCTAGCAGTTATCACTGTGATGCTGGTGACCACCTGCCTAATGTCTCTTGTAATTGTTCTTTGCTGGAGGAGAAGTATCTTGCTAGCTTTCTGTTTTACGTTGTTCTTTGGTTCCATTGAAGCGCTTTACTTTTCAGCTTCTCTCATCAAGTTCCTTGATGGTGCCTGGGTTCCAATAGCTCTCTCATTTATCTTTTTCATGGTCATGTATGTATGGCAATACGGGATGAAGAGAAAATATGAGTTTGACGTTGAAAACAAAGTTTCCATCCCCTGGCTTCTTGGCCTTGGTTCTAACCTTGGAATTGTCCGTGTTCGAGGCATAGGTCTCATACATACCGAGCTTGTATCAGGAGTTCCTGCAGTTTTCTCTCATTTTGTCACAAACCTTCCCGCTTTTCACCAAGTGGTTGTCTTCTTCTGCATAAAGTCTGTGCCCGTACCTCATGTAAGACCTGGAGAAAGATTTCTGGTGGGGAGAGTTGGACCGAAAGAATACAGACTCTATCGGTGTATAGCGCGTTATGGTTATCGCGATGTTCAGATGGACGATGTGGAGTTTGAAAAGGATCTTGTATGTGCACTAGCTGAATTCATCCGTTCAGAAGGACTGGAGAACAATTCTAAATTTGAAGATTTCGAAGATGATGACAGGATGACAGTAATAGGGACATCATCTAGCTGCAGCAATGCTATAAGATTGTTGGAAAGCGATGATGCCGAATGCAACTCGGTTGAGATAACTAATATAGAGATATTGGGAGATATCATTACTCCAAGGGAGGAAACTCCCAAGAAAAGAGTGAGGTTTCTGGTGCCGAAAACTCTTCAAATGGCTGCTAGTGCGCAGGAGGAATTGCAGGAACTGATGGAAGCCAGGGAAGCTGGATTAGCATTCATACTGAGTAATTCATATGTGAAGGCAAAGAGTGGTTCAAGTTTCGTCAAAAGAGTGGTGATTGATATATTATTCGATTTCCTGAGAAGGAACTCGAGAGGGCTAACGTATGCATGGAGTTTCCCTCGTGCATCAACTCTGGAGGTGGCGATGGTTTACCGTGTATGATTCTTGATACTTAGCTTAATTGATGTTTACATTTTTCTTAGTAAACGACATTAAGTTAGTTGACATTGCCTCCGACCCTGTAAGTACCTTAAAATAAAGGTATGAGCTATAAAAACCAGAAAGGAAAAACGCTGTGAAAGTAAATCATGTATGTGTACATTTGTTAGTGTTATAAACTTGATATGTCCCTTTCTAGAAATGATTTTTAGGGGACGCATGTAATTGTGGATGTCAGTAAAAGTATAGAACTCGAGTAACGTTGTAATTGTGTCGCTCATGTAGTACCGTATGTGTTCTAGAATATCCATCCCATTCTGCATATGTTATGTTATCTTCTTTGTTGTTGTCTTGTTGATGATGATTCCATAGGGCAGCAAAGGGTTCACCTCCTCTGACCAGATGAGGGAAACAATGTTCGATTACACTATGATACCTTCTTGCATCATTCCATATGCTTTCATGATTAAACCTCTACGTATTGAAAATTACTGTCATGATTATATATAAGTATGGATAATCGTATAATCAATAATGAATGATTTTACTAATAACTAAGGAAAAGATGGCTTATCCAGAAAAGTGATCACTCCAGACGGAGTTAATTAGTAGGGGCACAAAAAGAAATGCAGTTAAGACAAAACACAGAGAGAGCATACGATTCTCCTCTCCTTTTTTTTTTTTTTTTTTTTTTACAACCGCAATTTGGCATTGCATTCTCTTCTCTTTCTTAATTTACTTCTACTACTGCCAAGTCCTTTACTTCACTGACGCAATCCATCCTTTATCCTTTTTCCCTCTTTTATTTGCATTTATTGTTTTTTTTTTCTTTTCTACCTTGAACTGAGAGCTTCCTTCTAGATTACTACTACCAAGTAAGTACTAACCCTTCCAAAAGTCCCACCATTTGTTTTCTTGTCCTTTCCAATTTCTAACGCACACACCCGCACTCTATTTTCTCAGAGACCCCCATTTTTAAACCTCGTCTTGGAAAGAGTTTGTTGATTTGTCACTGGTATACCATCTATCTCATTCATTAATTACTCCACCGCTATTGATAAAATCTCTGCTGATTCTGACTGTATAAAAATAAAAGGGGGAAACGAGTAACCTAACATTCTCTCCAGTTTTTGCCTTCTTTGGGCTGTACTGTTCTGTTTCCTCTGTCCTAGATCAAATGCGGAGCTCTAATGTGAGATGATATAAGAACCATGGCAAAATTCTGGATCATTTGGTTTCTGTTTCTCGTGTTCCTAATCTCAGGTTGTTCATCAGCTTCAGCCACCCCTGCGGCTAGTAAGTGCATGCACTCTTGCATTTCAAATTCCTTTGATTTGATTCCGATTTGTTTTTTTTCTTTACCTTCGAAGATTGAATCTTTTGTTACTTTTCTGCAGAAATTGTTGGTGGGGTGGTCACAAATGTCGCTTCTGCGCTTTTTAAATGGCTGTGGTCGCTCAAATCAACTACTAAACCAGGTCAGATTTTTAAACATTCATGGGATGAGTTTTTTTCTAATTACAGTTTCAGTTTTCATTTTGACAATGCTGCATTCATGTAATTCAAGGGTTTAATTTACTGTTTGATTTTTATTTTTTTAAAAAAAAAAGAAATTTCAAGCCGCTCTATGATGAAATTTGAGGGTGGCTATACTGTTGAGACCGTCTTTGATGGAAGCAAGCTCGGAATTGAACCTTACTCGGTGGAAGTATCGCCGTCCGGAGACCTCTTAGTTCTTGATTCTCAAAATAGCAATGTTTACAAGATGTCTACGCCATTGTCACGGTGTAAGTTTGTAATTTTTGGCTTTTTCCGTTTGTTTCTTTTTTTATTCTTTGTTCATATCTCGGTGCTAGGTGTCTCTTGCTTCTATCATCTGAGCTTTCCTAAATGCCAACGTGTTTCATCCACATTTTCCCCCAAGAAATAAATAACTAAAGAAAAAAAAAAGGTCTATTTTGGTTTCTTTCGAAGCTATCTGCCTAAGATTTCTTCCTTCGAGTATACTGTCATCAGCAAGTTCCTGGGCAAGCAGGTCTCCTTTATGTTTTATTAGCTTAATCATGACAGAAAAAGGTAAAAACGAGGTTCTTTGGTTAGTTTCAAAACTCGTAATACTGCAAAAAACTTTTGTTAATAAGAAGACTCGACTTTTTGAACTGCAGTAAAAATCTCTGTTTTAGAGCGAGAACTGATTCCAACTTTTTGGAGATTGTGTGGCTTTGCTTTTGTTTTGAGACCAAATTCTGGACAAATGCAAAACTTCCCTACTTTATTCCTAACGTGAGAATCCGTCCTGTCTTATTCCTTCTCTTTTCTTTTTATTTGCTATATTCAAAAGATTCTACTTCTGCCACCCCAGAAAAGCGTGAAAAATAAAATACCGGCATGGAATCCTTGTGGTATCCAACTTCCTGTCTGCATCAAATCAGGTCGAAAATTGGGAATCCAATGTGGTAACTGTGACCGATAAACCAGCTGGATTATTTGATTGCGTCATTGGTGGTTCAATTGTGACTTTCTCCTGAAAACTGAGAAGGGGTGCATCAGAGAACTCCAATGTGTATCATATATACCTGTAGGCTGTAGATTAAATGGTGCTCATGCTTTGTCAAGCCTTTGATTTCTGGTTTCTGCCCATGTTTGAATGGCAGATAGCAAGCCCAAGTTGGTTGCTGGATCACCTGAAGGATACTCAGGGCATGTTGATGGCAGGCCAAGAGAATCCAGGATGAACCATCCTAAAGGGTTGACAATTGATGACCGAGGGAATATATATGTTGCCGATACTATGAATATGGCCATTAGGAAAATAAGTGACAATGGTAAATTTTTGGTGCTCTTATCGCCATTCTCCTCTTTCTGAAGAGTTTTCTTTAGTTTGATTTATGTAAATAAAGATGTGTTCTTTATGACCTGAGCAGGGGTGGTGACAATTGCTGGGGGGAAATGGAGCCGAGGAGGAGGTCATATTGATGGCCCAAGTGAAGATGCAAAATTTTCAGATGATTTTGATTTGGTATATGTGGCTAGCAGTTGTTCACTTTTGATTGTGGACAGAGGAAACCAGGCAATTCGAGAAATTCAACTGCATGATGGTGATTGTTCTGAACACCAAGTTGATGACCAAACTAATTTAGGTATGAACGACCCAGGTTTGATCCTTGCATCCTTTCAATTTTTCAGACTAGATTAATACCCCATTGATCATTGTAGGTATAGCGGTGCTTGTTGCTGCTGGTTTTTTTGGCTACATGTTGGCCTTGTTACAACGTAGAGTTGCAGCTATATTTTCCTCCGACAGTCTAAGTGTCTGATGCCTGGAAACAAGTTTCAGTCGCATCTGGAGCATGATTTACATTAGCATATTGAAGTTTTCAGTCAATTTTGTGCAAGAACCAAGTTTTTTGAAGTAATGAATAATTTGGCCAGCCACGTAACAGTTTGTTCTCCATCTCTAGGATACAATAACTCCTGTAAAGGGCATGCCTGCAGCACCATATCAGAGGCATCATCCCCAACCAATAAGACCTCCACTAATCCCGACACAAGGCGAATATGAGAAACCAGAAGAAGATGGCCTATTTAGTTCATTGGGAAGACTTTTTGTTAACACTGGATCATCTGTTCTGGAAATATTTGGTGGGCTATTCTCGGGTTCCAGAAAAAAGCCATCTCACCATCACCTTCAACAGCAATATCATCATCGGTCCAGGCAATCATCGAATGCTTGGCCAATGCAAGAAAGTTACGTGATTCCAGATGGAGATGAGCCTCCTTCAGTAGAATCAAGAGATCATACACCAAGAAAAGTCTACCCCATGATGACAAAAGATATCGAAAAGAGCCGACACCATAAGCAAAGTCGACCTAATTACTATGGTGGATGGAACGCAGATTTTCACCAGCAGCAACAACAGCAATATCATCCTCAAGTTCAGGCGGTTCAGCAACTGCATAAACATCATCAGCATCAGGATCAGCAGCATCAACAACATCAACACCAGCAGCATCATCAGAAGCACCAGACTTCTAGATCTCAGACATATTACGAACAGAATTGCGAGGCCAACGAGATTGTGTTTGGAGCAGTTCAGGAGCAGGATGGAAGGCGTGAAGCAATGGTGATTAAGGCCGTTGATTATAGTGATCCAATGTACAATAATAACAACATCCGTTCTAGATATAACTATATGGGATATTCGTCGTATGGGTATTGAATTTAATCGCTTGTCATCGTACAGAACAAAGAAAAAAAACAAAAAAAAAAAAATGGAAATCGTTAGTGAGAGTCAAGCCAATGTTAATGTCAAAGATTAAAGTTTTGAATAGAAAAAGCTATGTTTCCATCATTCCATGTACAATGTAAACGAGTTTAAAAGAAAACCGAAATGGTGATGTTGATAAAGCTGCGCGCCTGCATTTATTGCATGCAGCATAAATGAGACAATGGGCGAATGTTATGATTATTGATCGCCCGAACAGTAACAACGACTGCGGCCGGGGGGACAATGGGCCGTCAGATTGCCGTAAATGCAGAAGATTTCCAAGGCACGGCCTTCAATCAGCTGTATTGGCAGCATTAAGGCAAGGCGTTGCGTGTGTGTGTGTGTGTTTATTTTTTTTAAAAAAAAATACGTGAATAAATCAGCCAATTAAACAAGAAAAAAAACGGAAATTTAAAAAGAGAGGGGAAAAAAAAATAGGCCACACAATAAGTCGGAAAAAATTGTTATAAGAACAATAATTGAATGTCGATGAGATATGCTGAATTGTTGTTCAGGCGGTTGTTGTGATGGGTCTTAGTGGCTTGCAATTTCTGTTGTAGCAGGCAAAGCCGACCAAACTATATCCAAGTAATACCTCTTTTGTTTCCCTAAAAAATATGAAATAAAAATACTGCACTAAAATAAATGTTGTTAGACAACAACATCAACGGTATAAAAATTACTAAACTATCTTTAACTTCCCACTAAAACAAATAGTTGTTATTAATATTTTATTCTATTAGAGGGTAACATTAAAAACTTTGTTAAATTATGCATTGAAATGTTATAACGAAATTTATTTTGAAAATTTTCTAATTTATTAAAAAAGAAACTTATTTCAAAATGCAAGGTACGTTACTGGCTATTTTTAAATTGTGAAAGAAGTATATGCTAGCTGGGTTGGGCCATCATGTTTTAAAATAAAGATACACATGGACTTAGTGTTCGGCATTTCCAAATTAAATTAGGCCCTTTTAAGTACTGTCACCAACCATGTCGAGTGAGTACGTGTACGTTAGGAGTCGTGCTCGAGCAGCAACACACGTCCTACCTAAAAGTTTTTGAGTTCGACACCTGAAAAAAAGAAGAATATACATCACAAGACACAAGATAATAATAATACCGCATTCTGAATCTTCTGATCACAAAACTAAAATATATTCGGCATGTTGCATGTATGAATGACACTATCCGCTTTTGGGTTTGGATTGGGTTTTAGATTTGTACAATATATTAAAAATTTATAAGATTTATAAGAGATATATAGAAGTTGACTTGATGACAATGAGGTGCAGCTTAGTGGTAAAACGTTTCATCTATTAACCAATAAGTCACGAGTTCCAGTCACGATGAGGGTAAGGTAAACAAAAAACCACTATTGATCCATTTAAAAAAAAAAGTTAGACTTGATAAAGTAGTAAAACTATAGCAAAAATATGAAAATATCAGTTCAGATTTCTTTTGACGAAAAAAAAAATATATATATATATATATATATATATATATATATATAAAAGGGATGCGGATTGAATTGCTTGCCGTACATGCTCACTGACGCATTATAATTTCAGTACGAATATCCATTTCCTTGCAAGCGGCAAGTATAGTCCATTACCCGCAAAGTAATTGAAATTCCGCCGTACCGCCACAAAAAAATTTACAACTCAAGGAAAAAGAAAAAGAATATGCATGGTTCACGCAAAACGATTTATTTAGAAACTAAGAATGTGAACACCTACGTGATATTAGCGTCCGTTTGACACATAATAGCGCGAAAATAACAATCGAACTAATCCTCCACAACTATCGTGATTCATAACTAATTACTACAAAATTAAAATGCCTCGGGCGGCAAGAAGGTACATATGAAAGAAGAATAAAATAAAAGAATCAACCATATGTCCACTATTTTTTGTACTTGTTTTGATGTATTTGCAGCAAAAAGAAAAAGAAAAAAAGAAAAGAAACTAATTAACATCCCTAATTATCTAACTAAACTAGGACTTCACACTGTCAGACGTATGAGTATGAAACTGATGATTGGACTTTAGGCTCCATATGTTGCCTGTGCAAATCAAATGGGACAATCCACTTCCTTGTTTTTCTGAGTCGGGCAGCTTGGTTTCTGGATCAATCCAATCAAATGGGACTACTAATCAATTATGCGAACCAGTGGTATATGAATGGCCTACGCCGGGACTTGGACCAGATCTTTTGCTCTCTTCAAAGATATCGCTGCTGCGATGACCGGCGGCGATAGGGCCTTCATTTCGGTAATGTGATTCTGTATGATCAACATGAGGATTATGATGGTGACGACCGTGTTTCCGGTGATGAAGATGTCGGGCTTCGGTGTTGTCGAGAAGCAATAAGAAGCACAAGGAAAGAGTGACAACTATCACGACTACTCTTATTTGCTGTCTAGCCATGAAAGGCAAAAATACGATGTTGGAGGTAAAAGAAGTAACGATTTCTTCAGCTGTAAGGGAGATGACAAATTTGGTTATGAAATGCGTGTTTGGACAATGTATATATATATAATGTATACGAGGTTGGTTGAAAAGGTTGTTTGACCTGTGAAGTTAGGATGTACGTAATGGCTAGCACTATATATATAATATATATTTGCATCCCCGTCTTGATACAAATATACAAAGTCCAGAGGGGGGAAATAAAGAAAAACAAAAAAGGTGGTTGCTGAGCTTGTTGACTAATTGGCAATTTTGGGAAGTTTGGGATGTACGTAATGGGTAGCAGGATATATGTGGGATCCGGTCCAAACACGTTTTTGATGCCACGATCGTATGAGGAATTTCCCTGATTGGAAGCACACGAGAGACAGAGAGAGTGGAATTTTACATAACAAAATTAAGGATTTGGGATTTGGATGCGGAGACTTGGTGAACAAGTTGGGACTAATGTACTTATTTTCCAAGAAATGAGGCCAGTGAGCCGAGTGGCTACTACGGTGCTAAAAAGCCAGCTTCTTTTCTTACTTTCATACCTGGTCTAAATGCTTTCCGTTGACCGAACTGGGTTGCGCTTATGTACGGTTCCTACCCAGTCAAACCTTCTCGCAGTAGGTTATGCCCTAGAAATTTGAAGTGAATATTTTTCAAAAAATTTCAAACGCCTTTATAACAGAGTTGGTAAAAAGTTCATACTGTAATGAGTCTTTCCCTCCTGATCCCAGCTAGCATGACTATTGACTTGGAAATTTGGAGAAAAAAGAACGGAGGAAGGTGGAATTAGGAAATATTGCTAACAACCTCCCATCATCCGTTGGGATGATGAAAACAATAAAGCTTAGATAACGATTGACGTAAAAATGACTTGATCGGTGGTGTATTTGCGCTGACCCTGATTGGAAACTTTGCTTGGCCCAAAACTTTGAACTCAATAGGGCTTTGTTATATTTACCCATCTAAGGAGTGACATTGGTCCAAATCACAGTTACTAAAGTACTCCCATTTCCATTGTTTTCAGGTAAGCCCATAAATGCTGACAGTTCATGGTAGAAGCAGCCCAATGACTCCACCCTTCGAAGTTGCTGACTTGACTGAGGGATTGAGAAGTAAACATTTGTTCTCCTAAAACACATCCAACAAGTCAATATTGAGTTTTCAAATTTGTATTTAATGTTTCAAATGAGGTAAAATTTGAATGAAAATTTGATTTCTCAAGTTGGAAAAATGAGAGTTAAGGATAGGGACTTCGTCCCACATTGGAATCAGGAGGAGTTGGAGTTCACTTTATAAATAAAAACCGAAAAATGGAGTGCAAGTTTTCTTGCCATTATTATACTCTATATCTCCCGCTCGCATGCGACCACGTAGGGAGGGTGCAAATGAGGGTTCGATTCGAGACCAAAATAGCTTAACTCATGTGCGCGCACGATAGTCAACTGAAACGTTGCAATTATTTTGCTATTATGAATTATCAGAATGAATTGGCAGATTTAATTCCATTAAAAGGCATAAATGAATTAATTTGACCGTTGGATTGGTCAAAAACGTTTGGAGGTTTTGTCCCATGAATACTCTGCATTTAACAGAATTAAAGTAATGAAACTGTTGCAAGGTTTGCTGCCATTTGAAAGGTTTCTCCAGCCTACAAATAGGCATGCATTTTCCAAAGTTCAACACACCTTTCTCTAATCTCTTCTTAGTTTTCTTTCGCGCCTTCCTTTATTTATATTTCCGGTGTTCATCATAGTGTTCTTAATTCTAGTTCGCTGGCGAAATTTTCTTTGTGCTAAGAAGTCTTTGTGTTCCGTTGTATCTTAGGAAACAGTTGCTCGGTCCTCAAAGCATCTAGACGAATACAAATCTGTTTTAAGGAGATCATATTTTCACGAGCCTCAGATTATTCTGTCCTTATATTTTCTTAGCGATTATGAATACTTGTGATATTTTTTACCAACATTTAATATGGCCTAGAGCAACTGAATTTAGAACATAGTAATGGGGATGTTGGTTTCTTATTAATTTTCTCATTTACAAAACTAAGAGTACAAATTTTTTTTATGAAAACGATATGACCACAAAATTGAAAAAGGAATGGGCTCATGTAAAGTATCACAAATTTGTGCAAATGGAGGGAATACGTACTGTTTGCCCACAGTATCCACGGCATTCTAATTGGGGGATAAAATATGAAAAATAAAGTTGAGAAAATTTTGTAGTGTCCAATGATTTTCTCTAATTTTGTAGTTACAGTTTTCATTAATCTAAAAATTATCATAACTTTTGATCATTAACTTAACCATTTAAATAACAACACCACAAAAATTCTCTAATTTTGGTAATACGTTTTGCAAAACACAAAAAGAAAAGAAAAAAAAGGGTAAGTTGAGGTTATCTAACGATTACAGTTGTTAGATAATATACAGGTATCCTCTAATTAATCTACATATTTTTTATTTTTTTTAAAAAAAAACGACTACAGTTGTATGCGATTGTGCGGAATAGTTACCGAATCAACCGAATCTGGCGCCTGCATTTAGCAGAAGTGATCGGACCCTACACATTTTCCTTTTCTAATTAACGAAAAGTAGGTAGGTATCCAATGCGGTAGGTAAGCCTGACCCGACTGGCCAAAAAGTAGTAGTGAATCTTTGCGGAACCAATCATCAACACCTTCGCCAACCCGAATGGAATCAACAATTTTCATAAACTCTTGTGTCTTGGCTATCGTTTGAACTTATTTTTTTGAAAAAAATATAAAAATTAAAATTTAATACCTAAATGAATTACCTTACAGAAATTAAAATCGTGAAGAGGTGATGTTCCTCCTAAAGAAACAATGAAACGAACAAAGCACGTCGGTATCATCGAGACACGTTCCCGTGATCTTAGTTCTAGGAGTAAAACCGGCAACAAGAACTACAAGTAAAACCAAGTCAAAGTATTTGTCTTCATGGTAGTACCAACCTTTTTTTTAAAAAAATAATTTTATTTTCGTCCTTCTTGTTTAATTGGAGCTATAGTATATAGTTAAGTTTAACAGTAACGGGAATCTATCTAACACAGAGCAAATGACAGATGAGCAGCAACTAATACGCCCCTTTTGTCTCTTACTATTTCATAATACGCCCCTTTTTTTTTCCAACACCTACCACTAATAATCGTCTTCGTAAATGCCCCACTAAATGAAAGCTTTTTGTTTGAGAATTATGAGCAAAAAAAAAACTACCCACCGGAAATTATCACTCTTATTATGATGGAGAAGAAGAAAATAATGTCCATTTTTCAAGTCGTAAGAGTAATGAAACATAATCATTTTGTTAAATGAAAAAGGATATATACGAATAACAATTTTGGAGATTAGCAGTATTATTTCCACCAACTACGGCCAAATGTAGTATTGGGTATGGCCCCCAGTGACTGGCTACAGCTGTAACGTGAACAGCAAAAAACGTTCGGCACTATACCCCAGTCCCCAGCTAGCGGCCGCTACCCCTTGTTCACCGAAACGTGGCAGTTATTTTTCTTCCTTTGTCCCGCCTCCGATATTTCCGTTACATTAGATTAGACGCCAGTTGGCTCTCCCACTATAAATCAAAGTCTTTGGCCGGTCAATACCGTATGGAAGTAAAGATGGACCGGTGACATCAGTTAGAAAAATATACAGAGACACAGGAGCCAAGTTTCCAAACAACACGCAGTCACACACTGAAGACGGAAAACGAATTGGGGAAAGTGACGAGAGATAGAGAGTTAGGGCCAGAGTTTCCAGAGACTCTGACACGCTCTGTACATCTCTATTTTATCTATCTTTCCCGTTTTCCCAGAGATGATGGCAGCCACTCAGATGGACAACTTGCCTGAGTTTTCTCCGGCGGTCGGACACTCCGATTATGAAGATTCGCAGGATGATTTCGGATACGCCGGCCGGGGGAGGCGAGGATGTTGTTTCTGGTTCCCCTGTTTCGGTCCCGGCCGATCCGTCACGCTTTGGGAACGGATTTCGACAACTCCGGCCAGCGAGAAAGAAGATGACATCGGTTGGGGATGGGAATGGTGGGACAAGGGTTTGGACACCTTCAAGAAAGTGAGAGAGTGGTCGGAGCTCGTCGCCGGACCCAAATGGAAGACTTTTATCCGGCGATTTAACAAGGGCAGGGGAGGGATGAAGCCAGCCGGTGCCAACGGCGGAAAATTCCATTACGACCCCTCCAGTTATGCCTTGAACTTCGACGAGGGCCCGGGGCACAATGGGTATCCCGTGGAGGATGATGATCGTTTGTTCCGTGATTTTTCTTCCCGGTACGCTTCGATACCGTTGACGGCGAAGCCGTCCTTCGTAGAAGTGGGAAAGGACATTAGCGCCGTCAGCGGGAGTTGACCGTAGATGGGGAAGACGGTGGTTGGCAGGCGGCGCCTTCAGATGCAATCAGTTAACGGCTGAAGCCTGAAAGTGCGGCGGGAATTTTGCCAATTAAAACTGAAGTTACGGTCTCCCGTTGGTCAAAGCGGAGGACTTGACTAGTTGTGAATGAAGGCTCAAAAGAGCTCTTTCATACTCCATATATATATTTTCTCCTTCTTTTCTTTGTTTAGAGCTTCATATTCTTTGAGTTAAAATTAGGAATTCTTTTGGTAATCCCATAAGTGTAATAAAATGATGTGTTTGGTTTTGTGTGGGATTGAAGTGAAGGATTGTTGAATAAGATTTCTTTCTATGAAAAAGTTGTACATCTTGTGTGCGTTTAAATGGTTGATATGGTGGTGGTGGTGAGTTGTTCAATTTTTCTTGTTCCAAATGCACATCCATTTGAACTTAATAAGCGGTGGTGACTACTAATTAAACACATAGTGAGTAGTCTGCCATTCCTAAAACGGTAAAACCACAGTGTCTTGTATGGAAAATAGCATTTTGGGTGTGTTTTTAATCTTTTTGGGAAAACAGACGATCAATATATGAGGAGGTGAAAGCGGATGGTAATTGAACAGAACAGAGAGAATAAGCGAAACTGGGAGGAACGCGGGGGGCTGAACGCGTGGGTTTCTTGAGATGAGAAAACACCCCTAAAAAGGAGACAAATGTACCTAGTAGATTCTACTGTATATGGTGGCCGATGAAAAAGGTCGGTTCAGCCGTCAGAAAATCAGACTACTCAGCTTGATCTGAGTCTGAGGTGGATCACTCAACGGTTACTTGGATTGTGGCCCCACCTAGTGGTGCTCTTTTGTTACTGTTTTTCTTTGTTAACTAAAGTGAAAAAAAAAGCTAGACTAAATTAGTCGTTAGAGCATCTCCAACGCGCGTCCGCCAAACTGGGCAAACGCATTGGATTTGGCGGAACGGGCACTCCAACGCGCCGCTCTAATGCGCTCTGCTCCGCCAAAGTGCTCCGCCCTCCTTCAAATGTGGCGGAGCACTGAAGCGGGTGAACCTTTCTTTTTTTTTTTCCTCTAAATTTGGGCTGAAATGTGGGTTTTTTATTGGGCTTATTTTTCATTTGGGCCATTTAAAACATTTAGGACTTTTTAGTTGGGTCAATTTGGCCCTAGTTATATATTAATTAGTTTAATTATTATAATTTGATTATATATTTGTTTTTAATTAATGATAATTAGTAGAATTAAAATCTAATAATTATAATTTATCATTTTAATGAGAGAATTTACGTCTTAATAGCAAATATATGTATGTGTAATTGTACCTTTTAATAGGAAATATTAACAATCATAATTATAATTTTAATGAATGAATTTAAATCTTAAAAGTAAATATGTGTGTATTTTAACATGAACTAAGATACCATTGTTGATTTATTATAAAATCATAAGACACATTATTATTAATAAAATCACATAAAAATAAACTATAAACAATCAAAACAAATACATTGTTTTGATTATTTATAAACTTAAATTATACAATAAGAACAAATAAAGGACATCATTTAAACTCACAAAAACCAAAAACACAATAACGATAAATTCGGCCGTCATTCTAGATTTCATTATAATACTGGCTGTTAGATTGATTTTTATATTATCTTTCTTATCTTCTTTTTATCTAATTTACAACCATTGAATTTTTAGAATGTGTAGATATATTATAACATGGATTAAAAATACATAATCTATATTACATAAAGGAAACACTACAAACAATCAAAACAAACACGTTGTTTTGATGACAAACTTAAAATTACATAATAGAAATTAAAAGAAATACATCATTGAAACTCACAAATAAAAACACTACGACAATAAAAACAACAATTAGGAAACTAAGCATTAATACAAACGACAAGTAGACGGTTTCACAAATTAATTATCATCACTACCATAATAATCATTCAAATTGTCTCCACTATGTCCGATATCATTGAGAAATTCAAATTGTCCATCGTTTGATGGTGTGCCAAACTGTCCCATGTTAAACGATGATTGTCCTTGAGATTGTTGTTCTTGTAAATCCCTTGCTTGTATAATTTCGAGCTGCTTTCTTTCCCAATATCGACGAATCGATACATTTGGAATAGAGTTCAAGTCCATCATCAGCACTTTGTCCTCTTGTTGTTTTTTTTTTTGTACTCTAAATTTTGTTTTTGTATTTCAAGTTGTTGGTTTTGGCGTTCATCTTGTGCCTTCATAAAATCAAGCATAGCATCAGTTTTTGAATTAAAAGTACTAAACAACTTACTCAAATATTCTTCTGTTTTCTTCTTCAGTTTGGCTTTCTTTACTCCCATCGGGCGTCGAGACAATGGTCCACTTCTGCTACCACTATCGTATCTTTGTTCAGGATTAAGAGATGACAACATTGGAGACTCGGGTGTTGGTTGTTCGGGATTATGATTTTTGGATTCCGACGAGTCATTGATTGTAGTACACTCCCCAGAACCATATTTTGGTTGGGGGACATTAAATTTGCCAAAATTTTGTAGCAAATCAAACACATGGCCAAACTTGAACCCGGTTTTAAATTTTTTTGTCTGAATAAATAGCTATTCGGCTTGTTTCATCTACAAAAGAAAAACAAAATAAGACTAACATACATAAAATTCTTTCAATAATAGCACATTACGATTAAAATGAAATTGAAAACTATAAAAAAATAAAAATTATAAACTCACCCTATCTCCGAGTTGTGTCCCACTAAGGTTGCGATTCTCGATTTGTTGTAAACATCCATTAAACTTCTTAATACCTTCAATTATACGAATGTGAGATTCGCATGATCTAAAACTTCTTTCTTCCATGTCAATCTTCTTGTTCTCGTTATATGCGGAACTTACTCTCTCCCAGAATGTTTGTGCTTTCTGCTTGTTTGAGTCAATTGGATTTTCTGAAATATGGATGTAACATTTCACAAGAAGTTCATCTTTTGCCCTAGTATAGTTAACCCCCTTTTTAGAAGCCATTTTTTGTTGTTGAGAGTGTTTGAAGGTATAGATTAGAAGGAGAAGTGGATGCGAATTGGAATGAAGTGTTCGGATAGGATTCCTTTTATAGAAAAAAGTGTGTATATTGACCAACAACAAAACAAATGCATCGGATTCCTTTTCTTAGACTGAAAACATTGGATTCCTTATGCCACCGACAATAAAATGCGTTTGACTGAATATCCAACGTTAATTCAAAATAAATGAATCAGATTATTTCATTTATTGGAACCAACTATCAAGCCAACTTGGACCATCATTATTCATTATTCAATATTCATCAACTTGGACCATCGTTACTCATTATTCATCATCATGGACCATTATTAATTAACTTGGACTATTTAATAAAAAAAAAGCATAGGACCAATAGCTACCGTCAATTATAAGAAAACATTGTTCCTTATTGTATCGAAAATAAAATGTGATAGATTGAATAGTCACCATCAAGTCACAAGAAAACATTGGATTCTTTTTTTTGACTGAATAATACTTAATCTATTACGACTATTATTAGTCATGCCAAGCCAACCAAAAATGTGTAGGATTCCTTTTTTGACTGAAAACTCTAAATGCATTTGTTATCAACAAGGACCATGAAGTTAAAAAAGTAATGGATTCAGTATTTGACAACACATTAATCATCAACTTGGACCATTTAATGAAAAGGCATAGGATTCCTTATACCGGCAATTCTCCATCGTCAATTCAAAATAAATGAACCGGATTCTTTATTTTATTGGAACCAATAATCACCGTCAAGTCAAGAATAACATTGATTCCTTATTGCACCGATAATACACGTGATGACTTTTGGGACCGACAATACAAAATGCTTTGTACTAAACTTGGACCATGAAGCCAAAAAAAAAAAAGAAGCATAGGATTCTTTTTTATTTGAAAAGAAATCAATAAATTAGAATTATTAGTCATACCGTTAAGTTAATACTTTGGAATCAATTCCTCCATTTGTCTATATAAACAGCAACCAACATGTTATACAATGCAAGCATCTTCTATTCATATTTTCTATTCCCGTAGTTTTCCCAATAATCATTGAAATGAGTTATCTTCCACCATTTGATCATGATTCAGATGAGGAGAATTCAGATTCAGAATTTCCTCCATTTGAAAATGATTTCCATCTACCAATTGCTCATTTCATAAACAGTTCTAATGTTATGTTGTCACACGCTATCTCTGCTGAAAGTAGCCAACCTACATGGGGGGGTTCGGTCCCAGGCCATAGAGTCGTCCATCGTGATCGAGAAGGTGCAGATCAAACTTTATACCAGCATTACTTCAGTAACAATCCCACCTACGACGCGGACACTTTTCGTCGAAGGTTTCGCTTGTCTCTCACTCTTTACGAGCGTATTGCTAATGCAGTAAAAAGTTATGATAGGTATTTCAAAAAGCTCAATGATGCTCTTGGTAGATCTGGACTCTCAAAAAATTAAAAGATAACGTCGGCATTGCGTCAATTGGTGTATGGTGTCCCGGCAGATCAAACTGATGAATATCTTCAAATTGCCAAGTCAATAGCAAATGAATGCTTAAAAAAATTTTGTCGGGCAATCGTAGAAATTTTTGGCTCTCAGTATCTGAGGGTACCAAATGCTGCTGATATCGCTTGGCTGCTTCATTTTAGTGAACAACGTGGTTTTTCAGGTATGTTGGGTAGCTTGGACTGTATGCACTGGCAATGGAATAAATGTCCTAGCGGATGGGCCGGATAGTGGACGTTCTGGACATCCAACTATCATTTTAGAAGCTGTAGCGGATTATGATCTTTGGATATGGCACGCGTATTTCGGTATGCTAGGTACTAACAATGCCATTAATGTGTTAGAAGCATCTCATCTAATGTCTAATCTTGCAGAAGGTATTGCTCCTCTGGCTAACCATTCGAGGCAAACAGTATGATATGGGTTATTATTTAGCTGATGGTATATACCCCAAATAGACTACTATAGTACAGTCATTTGCAGCACCAACTAATCCCATGCAGCAATATTTTAAAACGAGACAAGAGGCATGTAGAAAAGATGTTGAACGTGCATTCGGAGTTCTGCAAAGGAGATTCGCTATTATCGCAGGTCCCGTTCGTTTATGGCAAAAGAAAGTGCTTCATCATGTAATGACAACATGCATTATTCTGCACAACATGATCATCGAAGATGAACGTGATCTCAGTGCACCAATTAGAGATAATGTGGAATTTCCTACTTCAAATGTTACGCTAATGCCTCGTGAGGGAGACCGCTTTGAACAGTTTCTGGCACGACACAGAAAAATCAGATACAGAAATGCACACTTTGAACTTCGTGATGCTTTGCTTGAGCATATATAGGAACAATATTCTCATAGTAATAATTAGTGTTATGTTTTTTTTTTCTCCACAAAATATGCATTTGTATTTTCATGTATGTGTTGTTGTTAAATTAATGTTTGCAATATTTTCGACTTGTATTTGTTATGTATTTTTAATGATTTAAATGTAATATAGTAATGGTATTTTATTATTACCATTGAGCCAAATGTTTTTGTTATTTTACTATTTGTAATTTTATTTATTTGGCATAATATATGGTGAAAAAATTACTATTAATTAATTATATAAAAATTATGTAATTTAAATTTAATAATTAATATTACTAATTATTATTTAAATTAACGATCATATGCGTAAATTATAAAATTTCTTAAATGTAAGAATAGAATAAAATACAAATAATAAAATTTAATTTTACAAAAAAAATAAATAATAAAATATATTGAGAATATTCCTTTTAAAGGGATTTTATAGAGAGAATGAGTTAGAGATGCTGACATTATTTAAACTGTAAAAGTAATAGGATTTTACTGTTTAAACTCTAAATATAGAATTTAGAGGAGTTTTGGGTTGGAGATGCCCTTACCATTGCCAACGAGCTAATGACACACGTCACAAACGGTGATAATTCCATCAATTTAAGATACAGTAGTACTAGCATCTACCAATTTCTTTTATTTATTCTCCCTTTAATTTTGATTACAATAATGCATTTCATACTACTCCTGTTGTCCTAACTAAATTATCTTGAATAAAAATCTAAACTGAATAATTATTTTTAGAAGGAAGGAACTACGGAACAAACAAAAATTTTCCAATAAAAATTAGGGGGGAGATAATCAAAATTGCCGTTTCAAAGTTAGTATTACGTTTTGACTGCATGAAAGAAAAAAAAAAATCATGATTGTGTTCACTCCCGCAGTTTTGAATGACTGTTTTGTCAGGCTCGTATCGCTGTCGTACCTTTTTTTGTTATCAAAATCGGATCTTCTGATTGGCGGAAATAGAAATAATTATTGAGATGAGACTGGAGAGACAAGTAGGAGCGAGTTCGTTTGGGATTTATTGGTGAGATTTTGTATTCTTTCATTATACACACAGGGTTGCCAATTTACAATGGAACCGGACTTAACTACGTTGTTACATCAAGGTTAACTACAAAACTTTTACTTTTAATCTTAAAATTATTTCTTTGGGCCCAAAAAAATACTAGTAATCAGATCTGTTTGTTTGTGAGCACAGTTTTTATTTTCTTTTGACTATTGGGGGCGAAAAAATCCATTACATGCTGATACTGGACAAATTAGAAAAGCATGTAGTTGGTAGAGTTTTTCGATTTGATTGCCTCATCAATCATGACGGAGGGACAGCTTCAACTCTTAAATCTGAAAAATGAGAATTCGCCGATTCAAATCGGACGGATTGTTCCCAAATAGTATTACGATTCAAATTACAAATAAATAAATAAATGATGAACGCTCTATGATGCGGAATGAATAATTGCTTCAGATACCCCAAAGTTGGACAACATATTGATTACTTGTGCTTCACAATTCTCAATCTTGATTTTGAAAAAGTCCACTACCTCGTTATGTAAAGTTTTAAACTTTTCAAGCCCCCATCCAAACTATAGTTCATGAACTACTAACTGGTGCCATGAACCGCGCTGCCTTGGACATGGTACAAGAACCAAATTGGTGATTCCTCCAAGCGTTGGAGATGGTCTTATGGAAGTTCTGGAAAAATTACTCTGCCCCACATTTTCGTTTAGTTGTTCACCCACCTCGTATTGTGTTATATTCTCATAGAAGTGCTATGGTTAACGATGTCCGTCTAAATTTTCCCTTCGTCTTGAAATTATGTCTAGTTAATGTACTAAAAATAAAAATATAAATTGGTCATTAATTTTAGAACAGATGAAATATTTCGGATATACTCGCTGATTTGAGGCTCTAAACAACAACAAAGAGGACGCATTTGACCCAGTCACAAGCAAGGAGGCGATTGATACGCTTGCGGAGAAAATAGGCCTGTAACAAATGACAAAGGTTTAATTTTCATCGTAACACTTGATGAAAAAACAGGCCTGTATTAAATCAGAAATGTTTAATCCTCAACGCAACTCACCTGAATGCCGGACAACTGTATGCTTCCAAAAACACAGAAACTTAAAAAGATAAAAACTAAAAAGCAAAGTGGGATTATGCAAAAACTAAATGAAGCCCAAGACAATTTCATCATTGGGATGTATCTCATTTCCAGTTCATCATGATCACAGACGATGTCAACGTGAAGAAAGTTAAATATCTGAATCACCTAACCTACATAGTTGTCGGATACTACTGATGCATAGCTAATCCCCCTTGTTAACAAAGGACATATGGATGCAACAAAACTGAGTAAACTCTTATTAGTTATAAGAGCAACATGCACTGAACAAAAAAAATAATGGTCTCCTTTTGAAGCCACTGATAACAATTACTCGTGTCCTAAAATGATTGCCATGTTTGAAGTTTCACTTTTAGTTCAATTTGTACGAAAAATGAAAATCTAAACAAGATAATCATTTCAGGATGAAGGAAGTAGTTATTACAGAAAAGAGAGATCATCGACAGAACACCCCACCCTTATTAAGCTATCGGTTTTGAAGACTGAACAGACACGAATAAGCAGTGACACATACTACTAGAAACGACAATCATCAATTTGTAATTTTTACACACACAGTACGCGAATTAGGATTCTGTATAAAAGATGATGCTCAGATTTAAACATACTTCAAGAAGCCAAAAAGAATAATTGTGTGCGGATTCAGAGCATTTTATGCTTTGTATCACATTGTAGAACTCTAATATCAATGAATGTCACAACATCTTCCTACATCATCAGTATCCAAAAATTCCTACGAGGAGCAAAACAAATACTGACTTACAGAGATCTAGTGACAATCAACCAAATGAGAATGATAACTTATAACATGCCTTCTGGTTTCCTCATCCATGGTAAGTCTTTGTCGAAAGCAGGATTATCTTCTGTTTGGTTCTCTGCAGAACTTGCAAATTTGCCCTTTCTAGGCCAAAGCCAGATCTTGGAAACAGAATAACTATCTGTTTTGGCTCCAATGCCAATCTTCTTTCCTTCTCCATCTCCACTAACAGAAGGTCGATTCGCTTGTTCTCTGCCTTCCTGAAGGTTCACTTCTTGACCATTCGGCTTAGGGGTCAAAGCCACCCTGAGATGAGCATCACCAACCACATATTGGTATGAACCCATTGAATAGCATCTTCTCGCATCTAAGTTACTACTACTAGTCTCTCCTCCAGCTTCCCCTCCTTCACCATTCAATTTCCTAAACTTACCAAGCCTCACAGGAAAAATTCCCTTTTCCGTGACAACTTCTTCAATTTCAACTGTCTTCCTGCGAGTTGGGACTCCATTATCAACAATGCCAGTGCATCCATCATCATCCCTTGGATCATCAAAATCATAAATTGGGTTCTCCATTGAAAAACCGGGATTGAAAAGGGTCCCCCTACAAAGGGGACAGGTCGAATTTGATAGAAGCCAAGTATCTATACAATTGATATGAAATGCATGACTACACATTGGAAGCAATCTAAGTTGATCTTTCTCAGAAAATTCACAGAGACAAACAGCACAATCGAATGGTTCCTTAGCTCCCACAATCTCTTTGTACACGAATACAGGTAATGCATCAATAAAAGCTTGATCTAGACCGGAGTCATGCAAATTGAAGAGTTGTTGCAATTGTCTTTGAAGGGCCTCAGAGTTGGAAACTTCTGGGTATTGGTTAGAATGAGAGGACGCTGAAGATGATGGATTTCTGATGAGAAATCTAACTAGAAGGTGTAGAAGACCAGATATAAAAAACAGTACAGCTAAAATTACTATAATAAATAATACAGCTGGGCTAATCCTAGTACCAGATGATGATGAAGAAGAACTTGAATACTTGTGAAAATTATCACTAACAACATAAGGAGGGGAAGATGAAAGGGGAAAAGGAGGTGGGTAGGTCAAGATACCATCTTTCTGATTCAATTGATGCTGAATCCAATAGGTTTTCAAATGGGTATGCTCAGAGAGCCATCTCTGACCTCTAACTTCTGACATTGAACAGATCAGCTTGAGACACTCAGAAACCATATCCTTCCCTTCGTACACTAGACCCAAATCATTTGCTCAGCAAAAAACCACCCCAAAACAACCATTCTTTTCGCATTTTTAACCTTTCACTATAAAAGAAAGGCAATGCTTTTGACCAAGCCCCACAAGTGTAAGCCCAAAGTTTGCAACTTTAAAAGCTTTCAGATTCAACAGAATAATAGTATTAGGACAAAAAAAAGAAAAGTGGCAATTGTAGCTTGGGTGGTACCTAAAAGCAGCAATTTTCGTTGCTGTCAGATTGCAAACTCAGCTCACTAATAGTGCAATTATAAAGAGAAGATGACGCCCCCCTTTTCTTTTAAGAAAGAGATTGAATTTTCCTACCTTGATTCCGAGAGAGAGCCCTTTTACATCCACTCTAGCCGCAGGGGAAAAAAAACCCTAAACACATAGCTCCTGGGTCATCCATCAGGGATCTTGAAATCCCTCTTTATATGACAGAAAAAAATGTAAATTGATACTTATTTTAAATTGCCTCTCTCCTTCTATCCATGGATGAATATATTATACAGTATACACGACTGACTGATGAGTAGTTTTTCTAATAGGACAAGGCCACTTATCCTATAAACTATTTGTAATTGTAAGTGACAAAATGGGAAACTGGAGAAAAAATGGGTTTCTTTCTTTCTTTAATCTTATCTCTCTATAATATTAAAAGGGGGTTGGCAGCCATAGAAGCCGGAGATTCAATCTGTCAAACGGTGAATACCACCACCACCACCAAATGTCCAAATGGAGGGAGAAGTGGAGTACTGTAACAAAAGAAAAGTGACGAGTTGTTTTTCTTTCTTGCATCTTGGTGGGCGTGCAATTTCAATGGACTTTAAAAAAATGTTGAGGAAAAGAGGAAAAAAAAAGAAGAAACAAAAAAGAAATTCATTCCAGTGTACAAATACAACGCGCCAAATTAAAGCGTGGAATTTTTGATAAATTCGACTCGACAAGACAATGATGGGCTTGGGTGCTAGATTCTCGAATTATCACAGCCAAACTTGAGAGATCCAAATCCATTTTTGACATTGGACTTGAGAAAAAAAAAAAAAAAGAAGTCACATCCATGTGCTCTTTCATTGAAGTACGGTGACTGTTTCTATTGAACTGAAAATTTTGGCCATTTATCTACCAAAAAAAAATTTCTTTTGGCCATTTCCGGATACTAGCATTTACAACCATAACTTTCAGTATACGTATTTTTCTTTTGCATATGGAGAAGGCCATATTCCCCTTTCAAGGGAGTCAATGAAAATAGGAAAAATCAGGTAAGCAAATGGAAGAAACGTGTTGCCTATTGCGTCTTGTACAAATGACGTGTAACAATGTAGAAGGTCTTTCGTGAATGCTTAAGCCTTGAAGACATTAGGATGATGATGCTTGTGTTGCATGTTTGGGAGGTTTCCCGGTGAAGGACGTTGCGTCGGGCTGACTTCATTTTTTTGATCTGTTGACAAATTTTTTGGAGTATCAAATCAATTCAAGATAGCCATGATTAGGGATTGATTATTTCCTATAATTCTATTAACCAATGATAAAATAAAACCTTAGCTTTGTATCCATTTAGAATAACCGAGATTGTATTCTATTCGTATGTATTATGTACAATATACATGATATATGTAAACAATAGCAAACCCTATACAAAAGTTATTATAGTAATTACAATTATCGCAGAAAGCACTAATGACTTGATAATGGTAAAAACTTCCATTTTCTGATGACTTACAACGTATAAAAAGAAAATTTTGACAGCCATTAATAAGATTTACCTAAAATCTCTAGTATTTTTACTATGCATGTGTTATTGAAATGTCATCCAATTCAAGTTCATTGTCTAAATTGAATAAGCCACTTTTTGGAGATTCCTTTTACTTTTGCTTCAATTATTATGGACTCTGTATTGCCACCAGTGAATTGCAAATTTGCAATCCGGATCACAAGTGCAACGTGCACCAACTACGAACTGTGAAGGATATTCCCGTTTGGGATCATCGACAAAATGATGGCGTGATCATGGATACGTTGTCAATTGAAAAAGTACTGGTGAATACAGGATAAAACAACCATCAAGGTGAAATAAAACAGGTGCAAGGAAATTTACTGGGTCGATAGATTGAGTGAACTTTGCTGTTCATGTTTCTTTTTCAGTGATACTCCAACTACATGAAGTTTTATCAGCACCAAAAATCTGATGAAAGACCCTCAAACAGGCTGAATTAAAATACTGGAAGACAAAAAGAAAATAATGATTCTTGCTGAACGAGTTTTGTAAAAAGCTTCAGTAGGGAATTCTAAACCTTCTTGAAGGTAAGTTAACCTTTCGGTTTTTTTTTTTTATTTAACTTACAAGTTTGTCTCAGTCCCTTCTTCGAGGGAGAAGTTTAAATTGCATACATTTTAACTACAGAACGTATAATCTAAGAATAATATGATTCGTTAAACAAATAACACTAAAACAGGACTTCGGAACTTCGAAATCCCTGCTTTTCTAAAAAGCAACAATAAGCTGGAATGTTAACAAATGCTTATGCCTTCTCAAAGTCAAAGATTGATGTACTAGTGACGGCAGAAACATCATCAAAGGATTTTTCTTCATCTTCTACGAGCGCGTTCAACATCTGAGCGATCTCCTTCATGTTTGGGCGAGCCTCATGCGAACGATTAACACATTTAATCGCGATCTGTAACAAGTTAACCATCCTCTCTTCATTAGCCCCTTCTCGAAGTAATTTCTTATCAAAAACTTCAACGGTCCATTCTTCTCGAACCACAGACACCACCCAGCCTGCCAGGTCTAATCCAGATACTTCATTCTGGACCAGTTTTCCTGTTAGCAACTCTAAAAGAATAACACCGAATGCATAAACATCCGCCTTGAACATGGCTTGCTTTTCTCCTTTTCCTTGGCAGCTACTGATGCTGACGGCATATGATGGATCTCGAGTATCAATCATTAGGCCGTACTCACTTACATAAGGTTCCATATTTTTGCTCAGTAATATGTTTGATGATTTCAGGTTACCGTGAGGAATCCCATCTTGTTGAAGCTCTTGATGCATGAATGCCAAGCCGTCTGCAATCCTGGTAGCCAAATCCAATCTAGAGCTCCAATCAAACGTCCGTCCCACCCCAGGGAGAGTTCCTGAGAGTCATCCAGTGGTGTATTCAGTTAATGAGAGTTCTGGACCTACTATATGATCAGATGTATTGATCGTTTTCCATGCTAAATCTACCTGAACAGGAGTCTTCATTTTTTTCAGAATTGGTGCATGAATGTCTGTTTTCCTATTACTTTATTAAATTGTTTTTCCAAGATCTAGATTTGCAAACTGATATGAAGAGGCAAACCAATTCAAAACATCTATTTTGGTAACATTGAACAAGCATGCCACATAAGATCAAAAGCTTGTAAACACATACATATGAGGTTAGGTTTCATACCATATAGAAGGTTGAAAAGACTTCCATTCTGTTGATATTCATAAACCAAAAGCTTTTCTTGCTTGGAAGAATAGAAAGCCAGGGCAGATAACACATTGGGGTGTTGCACCCGATCTAATCTTCGCATCCTCTTTTTGAAATCATCGGTAGGTATTGCCCAATCCTTAATTCTTTTCACAACTACAGTCATTCCAAGCTCTTCCGAAAGAACCTTGTAGACACTTCCGTGTATTCCTCTTCCGAGCAATTCAGCAGGTGCTCTGAGCAGATTCTCGAATTTAATGCCATTCACATCCGGGCTTGAGAGTACTACAAGCGATGACGAGACAGTAGAGTTCTCAACTGATGCTGTGGATATCTCAGATTTGCTATTAAAAGGGGTGGACTTGAGGTTGAACGGCGTATCTCCTGACTTAGAGAAGTTATCATTAACCGACGCGGCTTCATGATCAACTGAATCAACCTGAACTTCCTCTTTCTTGCGCGATTTGCATAGACAAAAGATGGTTAAAAGGAGCACAGTCAAACCTAGGATGAAATAGCCAGTGAACATGAGAATCTTATCTTTTCTGTCGCTGGACTTGTGAGTTTCGTCAGACGATTCTGGTTCCTCTTGCTGGCAACTATTGGGGAGGGGACTCCCGCATAATTGAGCATTGTGCAGGAAGCTAGAAGCCGGAATGTTATCAGCGCCTTTGGGTATAGGTCCACTGAAATCATTGTAAGAGACATTAATTATCTTCAAATTGGAAAAATCAAAATTGGGAAGTGTCCCTGATAGATGATTGTCTTCAGCAGTGAATTCCACCAGTCCTGTTATCTTCGACAAATCAGGCAAAGAGCCAGAAAAGTTATTCCTTGATATATCAAGCAGTTTCAGATTCTTCAACCAGGAAAACGATTCGGGAACTCTGCCTGAAAACTGATTTCCTCCGAGCGACAGGCGTGTGAGCTGTGTGCAGTTTACAATCTTCTCGAGTCCATCTCCCATGAGGTTGTTGTCATCGAGACTGATCACAGTAACGCTTGCAGCTACAGATGTCACGTCACAAAGCAAAGAAGGATCAAAAGTTCCTGAAAGATTTAGTCCATTGAGGGTAACATTCTTCAGCGCGTTCTGTTTATCACAGGTTACCCCCTTCCAGTCATCCCCACATGGATCGAGCGAAGATAGATTCCACGGCAAAGCTTGATGATTTGCAGAACCAGTGGTGTTGGTGAGCGAGTGGATCAAATTACTCAATGCTGTTTTGATCTCTTCCACGTCGCATTTCACCGTGAATATGAAGAGGAAGAAGCAAATCAGGAACGCCCAATCGGAAACTTTTGTTGAAGCCATTAAGCTGGAACTGTGATCATCAGTCTTTTTTTAAGGGAGATCTTCGATATTTACATCACTTACAGGCTCACTTACAGGCTGGAGCAGGAGCTCCTGCAGGCCGAGTTTCATAAAGTTAAAAAAGTAAATCGTCTTAACGTTACTATAGCCGCCTGCCATTTGGCGGGATTCACATTTCACAGTCGCTTCACAGTCCACATTTAACCAGTCTCAAACTTTCATTGGCCGGCATAAACCAATGAGATATTGTAATTAATTGTGATTTCATAACCTCCTCACTGGACTATTCGATGGAACCCGAAGAGAAGATTAAGGAAACCCAAAACTAACATATCCAGGTTCTAAGACTCCAGCTGGAAGAAAGTTACATATAATTCAAATTAGTTTGAATATTTCTTCAAAACTTCTACGACAAATTCAGTCTGCGATCAAATTTTGGGCGAAGCTTTCAGAAAACAGCTTGAAGTAGTGACACAGAATCTTCTTAAATGAGTAATCTTTTGTACATATTCGTGTTCGTTTTAAACTAATCACCAACCAAAAAGAATATTCCACATATTGATAATGCATACAAGGAACAAGGCAGATGCAGATTAGATGACCAAGTCAGTGTACTAATATTCTTTTGATTATATTCAATAGGCCATACACTGCGACATCCCAACTCTAGATTGACTCCACGAAATCTTTATGGCTGAATTTGTGGGATACAAAGTAGGCCTGCCACAGTCATTTATACTCAACTAGCCACAACTAACGTGATCAGTTTACATCGTAGTAAAGAAAACAACACTGCAATGGAAAGAGAGGGCAATATCATCTTGAAAGCCAGGATCGACTGAAATCAAAATTACTGCCCATAGTACCAAGCTCCCCCAACCATTATTGCAACAGTTGCACCTTGTGCAACCACACGAGCTCGCATCAGCTTTTGACCCAACTGAGAATTTCCTTGCCTGAAGCTTATAAGTCCAGCGGTCAGAACTCCCGCTGTGATGAATGCGCCTGGAAGTAAAGAACCAACAGATTCTTTAATACTCGAGCAAAATAAACTTGGTTTTATAACAATAAACAATCAAAACTCCTTGCTGCTCCACAAACAGTTTGAAACAGAACAGTTCCATCCATTCTTAATGCCTTCTAATTTCATGGCAGTGAAAGAGCCACTAGCCGTCAAAATCAGCATTTCAAAAACTTGAATGAAGCAGAAGTTTCTATAGGCTTCTGGGGTTGAAAATATGAGTTCTCCAAATAACTAAGAGGGGTACCATTGACATATGCAGTTGGTTTTGAGAAAACAAAAAATGATTAAGAACATCATTAAGCCCCTATACTTTAAACTTCCGAATGAACATTATCGAAGAATTTTCCCATCATTTGGGAGCGGAAAGAAACAATCTCAAACATCATCATAGTCACTCACAACAGGAATATGAGTTGGATCAGCCCAATGAAGAGAACACTTTATCGCCTATTAATCAACAATGGTTTCTAATTGATTAAGATTAATCAACACAATGTCCTCCTAATTAAAATTTGATCTCATGATCTCTTTTAAATTACAAATGCCCATAAAATCAAATTTTTCAGAGTAGAAGGTAAATAGGTAAGGCAACGTCACGCCTCTGGTAATTATCACAGCACCATTTCCTCAAACTATCACGTGGTTATAAATCTCGCACCAAAAGATTTAGATTCAGCTTCTATTTCTGCCCTTTCCTCGAACTATCATATGTTATAAATCTTGTGCGAAAAGATTTTGGATTCAGCTTTTATTCTGGTCTTATAATCTCAGTGTTAAAAGAAGTTATTGAGTTTCAACAAACAGTGTAACCCACCAGAAGATCAAATCATCTCAAGAGTCAATAAGGGATTGCCGCAGTAGGGCGGCCTTACACACCTCACCTGCATGATGCGGGTTAAACACCCAGAAGGGGATCCAAAAAAGAAAAAAAATCATCTCAAGAATCAATGACAGAGGATCTACATATTCACATGGATTACATCTCCCGAGGTTATTTGACGCTTTCATTCTTATTCCTTCCTAAACCAACTATGGCATTCTTTGGCATTCCAAACATCAAAGCCATTATTCACACGAGGCAATAACAATCAAGAGACAGTTCTCCAAATGAAGTACGGAACGCTTGAGAACTGTAATATGGCAGAACACTAGGGCTAAACAACAGAAGTGTTTGACTCAGAATTTAAAACGAGAACAACAGAAAGCATTTCGGATAGATTGAGTCTAGTTAAATGAACCAAACCTCAAGCATCATCCCAAAAATAACCACGTCCCAAGCATTGCATTTCATCGATTGAACCATTTCACTTCGGGAAGACATTTGGACTAAGTCTCGCAATAAAGTCCAACGGTTGAATCTTTCCAATTTCCAAGAAATCAATCAAACGGGAAGATCCACATAGACAACGAGAGAGCATACTAACTCAATCTTTTCATTCCATTATATAGTAATCAAACATATCTAATCCAACCATTGATCGATAAAACCAAATCGATAGCGAAAAAAGAAGGATAAAAAAAAAAAAAAAGAAAAGGAAAGAGGGCAAAGAGAGATACCGATGGGGACGAGAGGATTTCTCTTGCGCTTTCTGTCCTCGAACAAAAAATCCAGCTCCTTATCTTCGCTTGCCATCTTTTCCACGTACTAATTGCTAATGGCTGCTCAACTCCCGCCTTCGAAACCAGAGGGAACGTCTTCCACCGCCTTTACAGTTTTGATCTTTCGATTTCCCAACCAACTTAAAAGCCGGTGCCTCTGAAGTGGAAGCTTATTAAGGTTGCGACGCGAGTTGCGACACGACTACCCCAATTCCCCCTTCCATCTTTTCGTTTGCATTGGTTATTGCAATTACAACCCTGTAAAACTACTTATTTTCTAATTGCTACATAATCTTTTTAGGTGTCAAGAAAAGAAAAGAAGATTTATTTATTTATAATGAGATTTATTCTTTCTTCCATTTTATTACTACATTATTAAAAAGGGGGAAATGTTTTCTTAAGCTAGATAATTTTATTTCCAATGAAATTTTAAATTAATACTTTCTCTATCCCAAAAAAATAGTTCAGATTGATTTTTCAAATTTGAACTATTTTTAATACAAATTGCAAAACTCAATGTTGACTATTTTTTTGAGATAGAGATAGTAATTATTAATTTATTTGTATAAGTTACCAATATCAATTTCTCCATAAATTAATAATATCTATAAATAATAAATTATTAAAATTTCAGAATCCTAACAAGATCAATTTAAAATAGTTTTTACAATACTCATTTTATAACTTTGGGTTTAAACTTGAGGTTATTTGGACAAATATCTTCTTGGTATGAGCTTAGAGTTAAAATAGGAAAACCTCAGAGGGAAATGTGGATTTAGCTATTCATCCAGCCCTAGAAAAGTAAAATAATGAAGGAAAAGAATAAATAAATAAAACAATTATGTTAAGCGTCGACCGTCGACGTCCCGGTCTGGTCAACCGACTCCTACTGTCCAACATACATGAATATAAACGGAAAGTTCAACTCGTTGGCGGCAAACAGCGAGTATTGATTCTGGGAAGAAATGGGTGTCCACGGCCTATGGGACCTTCTATCTCCGGTTGGTCGACGGGTTTCCGTCGAAACCCTCGCCGGGAAAAGACTCGCAATTGGTAACTCGTAACTCATAATTTGAGACATTATTTCAACACACTAATTGACGAAGTAGTTAATCGATTTTCCACTCACCCTTGAACTCAATTTGGAAAATGTATTGAATGTTAGATGCGAGTATATGGATGATTCAATTCATGAAGGCTATGAGAGACGAGAAGGGAGAGATGGTCAGGAATGCTCACTTGTTAGGGTTTTTCCGCCGTATTTGCAAGCTTCTCTACCTCCGTACTAAGCCGGTCTTCATCTTTGATGGCGGCACGCCGGCTCTTAAACGCCGCACTGTTATTGCGCGACGACGCCAGCGCGAGAATGCTCAAGCTAAAATCCGCAAGACCGCCGAGAAGCTTCTTCTCAATCAAGTGAGTTGTTGTGGCAATTTTCACTCATTATGATCATCATTGTCAGTGTTTTTATCCCCCTTAACCTTTTCCATTTAATGCCATTATCCTGAGGTTAAATTTAATATTTGTTTCGTCCTTATTCATCGATGATATATTATGCGGCAATTTTTTGGGCAGCTCAAGAAAATCAGATTGCAAGAAGTCGCTGATCATCTTGAGAATCAGAGGAAGAGTAATGTTGACAAAGGCAAAAAGATTGCTACAGAGGAAACAGATTTCGTAGATAAGACGTCAGCGGCAACCAAATCGTTTGTGGATTGTTGCAATCAAGAAGAACTAGATGAATTGTGTGTTCCGAGTTTTATTGTTTCTTCAATGTTTAATTATATATTAGATATTCAAAGTACATTGGTCTTACTTTTCCTTTTGATGAAAGGTTGGCTGCGTCCATTGCAGCTGAGGAACAAGAATGTTTTCCTGTTGCTGAGTCCTCATCTGCTCATCAGATTCAAACGGAGGATGAGGATGGCTACGAGGATGAAGAGATGATACTTGTAAGCTGTTCTTTCGTCACTGTACTATAGCTTCATTTCTGACCCTGTCTTGTTATATACTGAGATTTGAGTATAAAAGCTTACTGTCGCATATTGAAGTGCAAGGTATATAATAAGTAATTGTTCAGTATACTCTTGCTGTTTTATTACTTGGTCTTGACACATGAATACTTGCTTCAATTCCTTAATTTTTCAGTTATGCATCTGAATGAGAGCGATGTTTCTCCTTTGCAGCCTGCAATTGAAGGAAAAATTGATCCTGCCATCTTAGCTGCATTACCTCCATCTATGCAACTTGATCTTCTTGTTCAGGTGATGCACCGATGTGCTCATTGTTTGATTGTCGTCCACTCTCTCAGTCTCTCTTGGTATCTGATTTCCCTGGCGGATGGCACTGCACCAAACAAAGAAATCAACTTTGACTAGTAATGTTTGTCCTTTACTGATTCCAACTTCTTTTGCAGATGAGGGAGAGATTGATGGCAGAGAATAGGAAAAAATACCAGCGGGTTAAGAAGGTAGATGAGCTGGACGGCCCACTGTTCTCATTTATGAATCTGCATGTGTTAACTACATTACAACGACCCATGGCTTATGAAAACAAATTTGTTTTTCCCAAGTCGCAGCTAACTGCTAATTTTTTTTTGTCTATGTGGTGCTTATAAAGTGTCAGCTTGTGTAATCTAACGTAACCTCTTGTAAAAGTGGTATGCTGGATGTTTATAAATTTTTTCCTCAGGATATTACTACTTTTATTTTCTTTAATCTTTTTTCCCTTTTTCTTCAATTACATGAGTAGGTCCCTGCTAGGTTTTCAGAATTGCAGATAGAAGCTTATCTCAAGACAGTTGCTTTCCGTCGTGAGATAGATGAAGTTCAGAAATCTGCTGCTGGAAGGGGAGTTGGTGGGGTGCAAACTTCAAGGATTGCATCTGAAGCAAATCGGGAATTTATATTTTCTTCAAATTATGATGGGGACAAATCGTGAGTGTTTCAATTTATTCAATTTGACCTAGCTCATTCAGGTTTAACTTTGAATGCTGCTGGATGGTGCATTTTCTCTAAGCTTCTTGCCATTTTTTTTAAAAAAATAATTTAAAATTGTATGTCATTTGCTCTTATCTAATAACCTCACATATATGCTTAGGGTGCTTACATCTAATGGAGAAGCAAGTAAGAACAATGACCAGAGTATTGCACCAATAGTGAATCCATTTAGAAGTGCTACTGATACTGTAGCATCTTTAGAGAAAAGCAGTGCTGTAGGAATTTCTGCAGAGGAACCTCAAAAAGGATTGGAGAATGATGTTGAGACATATCTGGATGAAAGAGGTCGTGTTCGAGTCAGTAGAATGAGAGCTATGGGAATCCGTATGACTCGTGATATACAAAGAAACTTGGATCTCATGAAAGAGGTCGAGGAAGAAAGAGTCGAGAAAACTGGCAACTTAAGAGATCAATCTGCTGGTCATGGTGCTACTCAAGACAGTGCTTCTGGTGAAATCCAGTTTTCCCAAGCCTCTCGTGAAAGGACTCCGGAAAATGGCAACAATGAAGAAACTGTTCTGGATGCAGGAACTTCTATTGAGATATCTTTTGAAGATACAGGGCAGCATGAATTAGGCAGCGAAGACGATGATCTCTTTGCCCAGTTAGTAGCAGGGGATCCTGTTATGGATTTTTCTTTGGATGATTCTCTTTCAAAGAAGCAATCTGTGGATTCTGCTTCAGATCTAGAGTGGGAGGAAGCTGGGAAAAATAAAGGTGGTAGTAGCGACATAGAATTGGAGGGCAATTCCAATGAGGCAAATGGAATGAGCTTGGAACAGGAATTGGAATGGGTGGAGGGTGGTATTGAAAATGAAGGTAATGTGTTGAGTAATAAAGAAGTGAAAGGCAACTCTCTTCTGGCAAATGGAAGGAGAACAGAACAAGAATTTGAACGGGAGGAAGGATTCGGAGGCAATCAAGAAGATATTTCTGCTTCCACTGGATGCAAGAAAGTTTTCTCTAAAGGTTCCCTGGAAGAAGAAGCTGATTTTCAGGAAGCAATTCGGAGAAGTCTTCAGGATCTTGACAGCAGAATAACACTTGATGACTCTAATGTAGTTAAAAAATCTATCTCAACAGCGGAATCTGTCAGTTTGGTGGTAGATGCTAGGTTTACACAGAAAGAAGGTGACTTGAATCATGGAGAAGCCCCTTCAAGGTTTGTTAGCATTCAACACAATGACCCCGTTTCTGAATTTCAAGAAACTATCAACGGTGCTGCTATTGTGGTGAAAGGAAATTCTACAAGGACCAGTGATCCCTTGGAGGCCCGTCATTTAGGAGGAAGTTGTGGTAAGATGGAAGTTTTGCCAGTAAACTCTCAAGATGACCTGGGTTTGCAAGATACTAATCAATATATGGATGCAAAGTGCTTTACGGAGCAAGAACTAAGTGACCTGGTTTCTTCTAAAGCCAATGGCAATAGCAAAGTGCAACCTTCTTATGCTTCTGGCAACGATAATATGATCACTTCAGGTCCTAATTGTTATGTTGATTAGTTTTTCTGCTTTTTTGGTCTCAGTTATGCAGCAATTGACTGATCCCTTTGTGGCATTTGGTTTTGTCGCAACAGGAGATGACCAGTCTAAACAAGCTACGGAACCTGAAGAAGCCTGTGAGAAATATTTGGTGAAGGATGTTAACATCACTCAGGAGTCAGCTGCGGAGGAACTTCATGAGTTTCTCTCCAAGGAAGTAGAGGAATCTTTTGATAAAGTTACTTCTTCGTACGATCGGAAGGAAGAGGTTGAAATTACACGGGCTAGTTTGGCGGAGGAAATGTCAATTTTGGACGAGGAGTGCAAAGAACTTGGAGATATGCAGAGAAAGCTCGAGAGAACAGCTGAATCTGTAAATAATGAAATGTTTACTGAATGCCAGGTTTGCTATTCCTCCCCTCTTCTCTTTTTTCTTGTTTTGGTTGGTACTACGAATTGATGGATTTGGTGTTCAATTAACAATTACAAGGTATCTTCGGGGTAAAAATGATGGTGTGTATTTCTTCATACATGAAAATTCCTCTGAGCCTTAATCACACATTCCTTCTAGCATGTTTGGTTGATGCTCTCTCTCTCTCTCTCCCCCTCTATCTCTCTCTCTCTCTCTCTCTCTCTCTCTCTCTCTCTCTCCCCTCTCTCTCCCTCTCTCTCCCCCTCTCCTTCTCTCTCCCTCTCCCTCTCTCCCTCTCTCTCTCTCTCTCTCTCTCTCACACACACACACACACAGAGACATGCATTTTGCACAAATTTTCTTCAACCGGCAGACACCTGTTTGATATGTATTTTTCTTCCTTCTGTGTATCTTTTTTGTCCCTGTGAATAGAAATAGCATGCTTATGTCCTTTTGGTTTGCAGGAGTTGCTACAAATGTTTGGTTTACCTTATATCATTGCTCCCATGGAAGCTGAAGCACAATGTGCATATATGGAACTCGTAAATCTAGTTGATGGTGTAGTCACTGATGACTCTGATGTGTTCTTGTTTGGGGCACGAAGTGTTTACAAGAACATCTTTGATGATCGCAAATATGTCGAGACCTACTTTATGAAAGTCGGTATTTACCCCCTCCCTCCCTCAAATTTTTGAAGCATTAATGCTAAAGTTATCTCTGAGGACTTGATTCTAGTTTTAATGTCTTCCATTCATATTTAGTAGTGAACCGGTTCTGTAGAATAGGAATTAAACTTTGTGTGATTCTTTTTGCCCTTTTTACATGTTAATTTGCAAATCTTATGAAGCTTCCAATCTTCTGGCAACCTAACATCATACAATCCATGGATTTTCATTTTTTTTTAATTTGGCTTGGCAGGATATTGAAAATGAGCTTGGCTTGAATCGCGAAAAGTTGATTCGTATGGCTATGCTTCTTGGAAGTGACTATACTGAAGGCGTGAGGTATTAACTTATCAAGTTTCTCCTTAGCAAAATCATCCTCCCTGAATTTTATACCTAGGATTACAAGATTTCATTACATTCCCTCTTTCATTAATTTTAATTCCTGCAGTGCTAATTGTTGATGCTGCTTTCTTCAAATCATCTTAGATGAGAATGTTGTGACTTATTTCTGGGTGCTCTTTACCTACAATTCTTTAGCGGAATTGGCATTGTAAATGCCATCGAGGTCGTAAATGCTTTTCCTGAGGAAGATGGCCTTCGCAAATTCCGGGAATGGATCGAGTCACCAGATCCTTCAATTTTAGGAAAGCTTGATGTGCAAGCAGGAGGTAGTGCAAGGCAGATAGAACCCCAAGTTAGTGACATGGAAAGTTGCTCAAGTCACAAGGGGGTCAAAGGCCGTGCATCAAATGGGAATGCTTCCGGGTCAGAAGATGAAGTTTCAAAAATAAAGCAGACATTTATGGATAAGCATGTCAGTCTTTGTTTCCCATTTCCTTTCTTTTCAGGCATCATTGCTTCACTGTGATTTTAATCATATTGTATGCTGAAATCATGACAAACTGCAGAGAAACGTGAGCAAAAACTGGCACATTCCTCCTTCTTTCCCAAGTGAGGCTGTTGTTTCAGCATACAATTCTCCTCACGTAGACAAGTCTACAGACCCATTCTCTTGGGGAAAGCCAGATCATCTTGTGCTTCGCAAGTGAGTTTTCTGCCCGCATTGCGTATGACTCTGGAGAATACTTTTAATGACTTCAACCTTGTTGATTTCTAAAATTGTTTATAGTTTATGCTTGTTGAAGGGGATTCTTAAGCACTTTTGTTTATAGTTTACTCTTTTGGCTCCACTCGTATTTCCGAAGTGATTTGCCCTCTCATGCAAGCCTGGGGTCTCTGATTGTTGTTTTGTTGCTTTTTGGGAAATTAGGTTTTTGTTTGCCAATATTTTAGTAACTTTACACCGTATGCATACTAGCTCCTTGCGTATCTGTTTGTTCAAACTGTATCGGTGGATTACCGGGATAGATTAAAATCTGAGCTATGTTGAAGATAATTGCTTATGATTTATATTACCGCACAGAGTTGGGCTACTTCTGAAAATGATATAAAACATAAGGTCTAGGGGAAACGTTCTTGCTTGGGGTTAAGGATGCTGAAGTAGGTGGCACTCCTTTGTCATTTCCATGAGATAATTCAATTTTTTCAGTTGATTACTATGCCAAAAATGAAATTCCTATTATTTCAAGTGCCGACAATGTTCATTGCTGGGTATCTGAATGACATTTAGTTCTCTAGATGTGCGTACAGAGCTCAATTTCTGATTATATTCAGCATTTGTGCAGGTTATGTTGGGAAAAGTTTGGATGGAGCACCCAGAAGGCTGATGAGTTATTGCTTCCTGTGTTGAGGGAATATGACAAGCGTGAGGTTGGGACACAAGCTTTCTCCTTTGTGTTGGAACAACCATGTGTCTGTCCCTGATGGTTTATCTGGGTGTTTGCCTCGCTATCTCTTTTGCACTTTAAAATTACTTGTTGGAAATTTATTGAAGAATAGGCATCGTGTGTGAAATCTATAGGTAAAAAGAGACAAGAAACAAATTGCATAAAACAGTTAGATCTAAAGTCAATGGGGTGTTGTATTTATTCGCCCTCCAAAACAAAGGCGGGAACCGAGTCTCATCCATAAAGGTGTAGGGAAGTTGCTTCAGAAGTTCAATGATTGTTGGGATAATAATTTTTTATACTTTGTATAGATGTCCCCCACTTGTTGGAAATAGTTTCCCATGTCCTCTTTTCAAGTATCTTGTTCACTAGGAATGCTTTATATTTCATTGCTTCAGTGTTTATTTATTCGTTCATGCGATTTGCTTTGGCCTTTTTTGTAGACTCAACTGCGGTTAGAAGCATTTTACTTCAATGAAAGATTTGCTAAAATTCGGAGTAAGAGGATCAAAAAAGCTGTCAAAGGGATTGCAGGAAACTCGGACCTGGTGGATGACTCAGCACAAGTTGGTTCCACAAAGAAAAAGAGAAGAAAAGTGAACAAAGATGATGGAGATGGGGTTACTCCAGGAAAAGCTTCACAAGGAAAAGAATTTGCTGATGCTAGTAATGAAGTCATTGTTTCAGAAAAGCTACATGGAAAATTGTCGAAGAAGACCAGAAGGAAAGCTAATCCTTCTTCGGAACTTGCTAAATCTAGCTCTGATGATGACATCTGTAATGACAGAGGGCAAGATTCCCAAGGTAGTTCCAGAGAGCCAAGTCAAGTACGCAGGGTAAGTTTGCTGTTGTGTTTTGTTTATATTCTGATTGGGTACAGACCTCTGAGAGATTGTCCTTGTGATTACATTAACCTCTTATTTTGAAAGTTTTGATTAGTTCCGATATGAGAAAAAGTCCATTCTTTTGCGGACTCGTGACCACCTTTGCAACTGCTTTGATTTTGTGTTTAATTTTGGGCCTAATTTATTTGGTGGCCTTTCATTGATAATCATAATGGTTTTCTTCTCCATCTTTTATTAATTCAGTATTCTCTATTGGATCCTCTTTCACTGGAGATACTGTTTTTATTGATTTTCTGAAACATAAGGGCTCGCTCACATCATTTGCACTTTTCTGACCATTCATACCTAATTTTCACATGCTTTTCATGATTCTGTTTCATTTGACTATTTTGTTAAAATTTCAGTCAGGACGGCCTCGAAAAGCTGTGAATTACGCACTGAATGATATCGAACTTGATGAGCCCAATCAGGATGATGGAAACCCCAATAAGGAGAATCTTGCTGGGAAAGAGCCATGTGCAGATATGCCTGAGGCTGGTTATTCAGCAGCTGTTCCCAGCAAAATACAAGCCGTTGGACGTACAGATCCAGAATTCAATGTGGAATGCACTGGATTGGATGAGAGTTCACATTTGAATGAGGCTAAACAAGACAAGGTGACTGACCAACTTAGTGCATGTCCAGTTGCTGACTCTCTTACTGAGTCACAGTTGTCTGGGGATTACCTTACCACAGGGGGTGGATTTTGCTTAGATGAGGATGATACGGCTGAGAATGTGCAAGGCTTATCTACACGCTCAACAAGTGTGGAAATTTGTGATTCTGATCCTTCTAAAGGTTCTGGCTTAAAGGAAGATGGAAGTGCAACGAGACCAATTAAAGTGTAAACTCTTCAGAGGAAGACAAAATAGGGGAAGGTGAGGCTTTGTCTGGTAATGACAGTTCCCCTCATCATAATCATTCCGGGCAGAATCCAAATGAAGATGCTCCCGGGAAGGGACCATTGAGATTTTTACGTGCGATGCCAAATTTGAAGAGGAGGAAGAAAAACTGAATCACCCATATGGAAGCTTTGCTGAGAAAAAGAGGTTAGTTTGGTGACTGAATTGTGGAGGTATCTGATTGGCTCATCTTTTGTAATTATTTGAAGTTTTGAACGAGTCAAATATTGCCATGGTGCACGTTATATAAACCATGGAGCTTTAATAGAATAAGTTATTTGTTTGATTGTGAAGAGCAGTTGGTTCATTTTGAAGCGAGATTAGCAATGGATGTTAGTTTGGGTGATATGTACAGTACAGTGATTTGACTTATAAAGGGTAAGAAAAAACCGTAAGGGGTGGAAAATTTCCACTTCACGTGAGATGACTAAAACGAATTGTTGGCTTGTGGCTTGAGATCTTGCTTGAAGTGGAAGAATTCTCTCTTGGGCAGGGAGTTCTCCCTCCAAATCAACTTACCATAAATTATTGTGGTCGACATCTTGAAATTTGTAGCTAGTTGGACTTTGACGGATAGGAAAATGATAAGAGAGTGGATTGGGAGTTGACTAGTGATCGGAGAGGTAACGAAGCCAAGAGGTCTCCTTCAGGCCGCAGAAAGTACAAAAGAACAGAGAGTTGAGAAAAGTTGAATTGGCTGGGAATTGAATGGTTAGATTGCAGAAAGTACAAAAGAACAGAGAGTTGAGAAAAGTTGAATTGGCTGGGAATTGAATGGTTAGATTGTTAGATTGTTGTCTTTTCTGGTGATAGATCAATTTCGATTTTCACTCGGAGTTGTAAGGGAGAATTTTACCCATATTTAAGTGGGGTTTATTAAGCGGATTTATTTTATTTTTATTTTTTTTAAGAAAGAGAAAAGTTGAATTGGAATGGAAATACGTAGAAGATAGAAAGAAAAGGTTGATTGGAGTGAAGGGCAGCAGGCTGGGGGAGGAGGGGACTTTTTCATCACGTTTGTGTAATAACACCAATTTCTTTACTGGGCTGGGCGGTATCATCCGCGTATGGCACGTTACTGAAACTTACAGAGTCTTGACGGCCCAGTTACCCGGAAACAGGAAACTGGACGTCCCACTCAGTCACTGCCCCCACCATACTTATATCCCTTCTGTAGATCCATGGCTCCACCACCAACTTGTTCAGTTTTTTATTCTGCCCTTTTCATTCCTGAAGAGTTAACACATTCTCTTCGCTACAGCCACAGTATATCCGGCAAGGCAGCAACGACTGAAGCCATGCAACACCGGCCAGTGGTTCTCTTGCCATCCGGCTAGCATTATTTGACCTCAGTGGGCAATTCATATGTGATGGACTATATTAGTCTTTTCCTACATTTGTTTGGTTAACTACTATTTTTTAAGAAAAAATAATACTCATTGACTTGAACTGGATGTAATTTGAAGGAGACCAAAAACTTAGGGCCTGCTTGATAAAAATTATTATTTAATACTGAATGTTTAATACTGAATTAGAAATACTGATTCATTAAACAGTTAGAAAATAAGCAATAAGCTAACTTTTATTGTTTATATTTTATACTACAGTTTTAGCATCACTTATTTCATTAAAAAGTTCATTTTTTTATTATCAAATATGCTGAATTAAAAAAGTATATAATCTAATAATTTTAAGCATTAAATAGCATCATCAAACAAGCCCTTAATCAATTAGTTCATCAAATTCATTTCTCCTGGACCCATACCAGTAAATTAAGAGCGGAAACAAGTTATTCAGTTCCTTAATTCAAACGTCAGGCCAATTAATTTCAACGACTTGGATCTTCTGATAACATATTGATTTGAAAATAGCACACTTTTCCTCTCTTCTTCTTTCCTTTTTCCTGCAAACCTGCTGGAAAAGTTACACAAAAATATCGATTACGTGCTAGAGCCAAATTTGTAGGTAACATTGAACAAAGTCGTTCCTTTTTTCAGGTTCTCGGGCCTTTGAAAATTGATTCGTTAAAAGACTGTGATAGCTCCGCTAAGACGGACGCTGTAAGAAGTTCATTGGCTGGCTACGAAAATGTTCAAACTCTAACCTTGAAATTAAAATGAAAATATCTAGACATCATGTAACAAGTGAAGAAAATGAAGCTAATAGAAAAAAAAATTGATATTACATCAATCCTTAAGCGGGCCCGAAAAGAGCACCAATCAATCAAGCATAATAATAATAATAATAATAAAAAAAAACAACCCGTAATAAAGGGGAAGAAACGGATTGTGTAGCAAAAGCAAACATCCGAGAAGAGAAAAAAAAAAAGGCTGTCACTGATTTAGTAGACCGGCGTTGTTATTATCATCAATAATACCGGAACTAAATTAAGTGGCCGGCGGACGGAACAGAGAGTAGTAAACGAGAGAGGATGGCGGCGTCGGTGGCCGGGAAATCATCGGGAAGGTATTGTTACAGAGAAGTGCTGCCATTCGCGATAATGGTAATAGTGGAATGCGCCAACGTGGGGAATAGTACTCTGTTCAAAGCAGCCTCCGATGCGGGAGCCAGTTATATGGTCTTCGTTGTGTATTCATTTGCCATTTCTGTGCTTTCTCTTTTGCCCCTCGCCTTCCTTTTCCACAGGTTCTCTCTGTTTTCCGGCATCTTTTTTTTTTTCTTTTTTTTTTTGTAATTTCTTCTCAATTTCTTCAACAAATGAGTGAATTGCACATATGTGTTTTTTTATTCATAACACTGCAGGAAAACAAGACTTCCTCCCCTGAGTTCCGCACTTATGGGTCGAATTTGCCTCCTCGTGGTTATCGGGTATTCGTATTTGATTAGTATTCTTTCTGCAGTTATTTACGATTGGATGGTTATATTACGGTTAGTTTTGTCACCAAACAACATTTGCTCTGTTTCCTTTCTGATTTGTGAATGTAAACACTTATTCTCAGGCTTACAGGTCAAACGCTTGGGTACAAAGGCATTCAGTATAGTTCTCCAACTATGGCTTCCTCCATGAGTAATCTTACTCCCGCTTTTACCTTCGCCCTTGCCATCGCATTCAGGTCAAATCTTCCCTCATTTTTTTTTTACCAGATTCCAATCTTTACCATCACAGCAGTAAGCCAGTAACAAGCGAAAGTATGTAGTACTTGGTTGTTTTTATATGTGATCGGCCTTAATCTGAATGTATGGTTATCAACAAGATAACTTCCAAAGCAGCAAATATTTTCATAATACTTTCCTTGTTGGTCCTTTCGTTAAAGTCTGCGTGTTTTTACTTTTTTTGCTCTGTTGATGACAATGTTAACTGTTGAGTGCTTCAATTTTAGTTTTTCTGGAGTAGTAGACATGTCTCAAAAAAGAAAAAAAAGCTCGTTGGAGTAGTTTACACGTTGGATCAGATATTTTTGGGAACAAAAAGTATGTCCCGAGTTTTGGTACCCTTTGTTGGTTAAAAGTTTTGGTCACTCGTCCTTGCATCCAGTCTCATGCGTTTAATGCTAGAGATACAGTATATAGGACGATCATTTGGGACCAACCAATATCTTCATAAGTAGATTTTCTGGGTTCCGATCAAATTAGAGTTTGTAATAGAGACTACTTATAAATCTTAATTAATGGATAGTTGCAAATTATACTTGAAAACGGCTGAAATATTCGTGCGTTCATTTGCGGATTTAAACAATTTTAAATGGAAGTAAACACCAATGGACCACCATTAGGATAAGCGCATATATATACATATATATATAATTGAAAGTGATAAATCTTTCCACCTGCCCATTTTCCTGCGTAAGTGATGGCCCGCAACTATGATGTTTTTGCATCAAAATATCCTGCCCATTTCTTCTCAAAAGGTGGATAAATTGTCTATAAACGAAATCTTTCACATAAGAAGCAACTTCCTCAGGAAATGGATTTGCCGATTTGGAGGCTAAGCAGCAAAAACAATCCTTCTTTTTTCATCAATTCACCCAAAAGAACTCTTAATTATTACCTCCTGAATTGGAAGGTAGAACATTACGTTACAGTGCAGTAATGATTCTAATCTCTCGTAGGATATTAATGATGTGAAGGGAAAGCATTCGGTGGTTTTTTCAAGTTGGGGAAATGGGGATATTGACTTTTAACCGTGTTTATTTGCCAGACTCTAAAATCCTGGCTCTCGCTACTAATATGTAGACCTCCCAATAAATCTTCTCAACACATGTAAACAAGCCATACAACTAATTTGATGTGATTGTCCTACTTTTACCATCAGAATGGAAAAACTGGCTTTGAGAAGCCTTCCAAGTCTGGCCAAAATCATAGGCACCGTGGTATCTATATCAGGTGCACTAGTGGTGGTTCTCTATGAAGGTCCAGCAGTAGTACGAGGTTCTTCACATCCAAAAACACTCAACTACAGTCTGGGCTCAGATGAACAATCAGATTGGGTGATTGGTGGTGTCCTCCTTGTTATTGACTACATCTTGATCTCCATTTGGTACATTGTTCAGGTAGTCCATAACCAACATTGTTTTGTTTTGCATCGATTTATATGTAAGCAACTTTTTATGCAATGTACTTTGATGATGGAAGTGTCTTTTTTTTTTTTTTTTCCTAGGCTCAAACAGCCAGGTTGTATCCAGCGGAATTTTTCATTGTATTTCTCTACAACTTAGGCGTGACGCTGTTATCTGCTCCAGTGTATTACTTTATGGAGCCGGACTTAAACGCCTGGCGGATAAACTCTCAGATAGTTATCATCTCTCTTTTGTATGCTGTAAGTAGGAAACCTCACTTGTGAAGTAAATTCTGTTGTGGCATTGAGTTGGGTTTGACTTAATTGATCACTTCCTATTAACTGGTGTTGCAGGGCGTAGTTAGCACAGCATTTGGTATTGTTGTTCATACATGGAGTCTGAGAGTGAAAGGGCCGGTCTATGTGGCATCATTTCGACCATTGTCAATAGCCATTGCTGCTGTTATGGGTGTACTTTTCCTTGGCGATACACTTTTTCTTGGAAGGTATGGATGCCAAAGTACATCTCCCTTGTCTTTAGTTTTCCTCTGTAAATTCTTAAAAATGGGGAAAATTATTTTTGCTACGGGTCGTGATTTTCTCGTTCGCATGTTTTATATATGCAGCGTAATAGGGGCAATCTTGATCGCTATCGGATTCTACGTGGTACTCTGGGGCAAGGTGCAGGAGGATATGTATGAGGACTTGGGAACAGGCAGCATTGAATCACCTGACCCAGAGGATGTCCCTCTGCTGAGATGAATTGCTTGGGTATACCCGAGTGAGAAAGAATATGACCCTCCACTTGCAATGCAAGTGACTGCAGAAACAGGAGTTGCAGTTTTGTGCTTGTCCTGGGAGTGCATCAAGAATAGGGCAACACATCACGGAGGGGGTCATATTTTTTGGACTATCATCCTCCCTGTCACATGTATAGCTGCAGGCATTATTCCTATAGAACCTATTGCATACACTTCTGTAACCGGTGTTCATATATATGTCGAAAATGGACATTATTAATATGACCGCATAACTATGGGGCCTTCACAGAAGTGATCCTTTCTTGTAATGTGAAAGCCCGAACGGTTTGTTTTCTTGTTGTGTCTTTGTAAATGAGTAAGATAATGAACTTTTGCTTAAGGAAGTTCATCTTTGATTCTGATAATTCCCATGCGATGCGAATATGGAAATGGTTTTATTTGGGAAGGAGTGGCAGTAGCCTCGATCACATCTTACCTGCAGCCCTCTGCATAGTTCTCAGAAACCTCAAATATTGGACAAGAGCAATTATATGTAGTCATGTTTCCCTACAATATATATATATAGTTAGTTACTGAAGCTCAACCTATCCAGTATCCAGTATAAAAGGCATATTTACTAGTTTCCGTTTTCATTTCATGTTTCTTTTCTTTCTTTCTTTTTTTGCGTAGTTATTGTATGCTTTTCTTCTTCTTTTTTTTTTTTTTTTGGGTTAACTATATTGTATGCTTCCTTGAAGTATTTATTAGCATTGGACCCATCAAGACATTGGCAAGGCAAAAATACAAAAATAATAATAATAATGGTGAGTAGCATTTCGTTCACTCAGCCTTGGCGCGGAGTAGTTCGTTGAAATTAACATATAAAGAGAATGGTAGGACACAATTCCCCTCCATCCAATCAAACTAGAGAATAATTATTATATGAGATCAATCATCCCATTCAGTATTTAGCGAGATTCCGCTCGTTTTTTTTTTAACTTCCCAGTTATTTTCTGCCGGAATCCCAGGCAGTTTCAGCCCGGAATATTGATCGGAGAAATTAATCACTGGAACTAAGAAGTGATCAGGAAGAGAAGATGAGCACGAGGAGCAGAAGGATATGTTATGGAGAAGTGGTGCCATTTATGGTGATGACATTTCTGCAATGTGGGCAAGTGGGTTTGAGTACTCTGTTCAAGAAAGCTTCCCGTGACGGAATGAGCTATATGGTCTTCATCTTGTACTCCTACACCATTGCCGGCCTCGTTCTACTTCCTTTCTCCTTACTCTTCGAAAGGTCGGTACATTAGTTGATACATTTTAAATTTCTCCCCTTCGGTCGTCATTTTCCATGGCTTCATGAATTTGAACATTTCTATATGTATGTATATTCTCGCCAGAAATAAGAAGTTGCCCCGGCTCAACAAACAGATAATTGGCAGATTCATTCTACTTGGGTTTCTCGGGTACGCGTCGCTGGTTTATTCATTATTGTTGTCATTCAAATTGAATTCTTTTTTGTTTTTAACGTTGTGGATTGAAAAGTTTTTATGATATAGATATGTGACTCAGATGCTTGGGTTCAAGGGGATTGAGTACAGTTCTCCAACAATGGCTTCCTCTATGAGCAACCTCACTCCCGCCATCACCTTCGCGCTCGCTGTACTATTCAGGTTCTTATTTCTTCTCTTTTTTTTTTTTTTTCCCTTCATTTACTTGCATTTTCTAGTTACGGTACTCGTGTACCGCGAGGGAAATTAGTAGCTGTAACCAAAAAAAGAAAAGAAAAGAAAAAGAATTTCAGCACTTTGTAATGATGTCCTGTCCGAACTATGGATCGGATTAGAGCCCACAACCTGAAAATGACCGACCACATGAAGACCCCCAACAACTACGTTACTGTTTCTACAATAATTCAGCTTTAGGTGATTGGTCCCCGATTATTTATTTATATAACTTCAAAAAATAGGGGTTCATACAATAAATGTGCTTTATTATATTATATGTGTAAGAATACCCCTTTTTAAAAAATAAAAATTAAAAACAGAGTGAATATTTATCAAACTATCACAGTACTAATATATAACCTTTGTCTCAAAAAACTTAATTTACATTGAATTTTAAAATTTGTATTAGTTTTAGTTCAAAACTCAATACTATTTTTATTTTATTTTTTTGGACAGAGAAGTATAGGAATATATGGATCACAATTTATAACATTCTCTTATTTTGCCAAATTAAACAAAACAAAGAAAAAGGATTGGCTTTTCATTTTCATAAAATACCCGCACTCCTCGTGTTGCAGACTTGCGGTGCCATTTTGTTAATTATTTGCTGGTGGCAAGTCATAACTTTGATTATATCGTGTTGACTGAAATGGTTTCTGGATATGAATTGAAAAGTTCAAATAAATATATTGAAAACATTTATATTCCGGTTGCTAATTTTCTACTGGTTCGAAGTGGTATGAATACTAACGTTAACCCGATCTACACTTTTTTCTGGTTGCTTCATTAGGCTAAAATAAACATATTCCTATAATATGACACAATGTTAGACTTCACTGAATTTTGCGTTTTATAAATACTTAAATGCTTAGGAGTTAGGACTGGGAGGGGTTTGCATGTTGTAATTTGAGCATGAGTTTGGTCTTTGTGAATTAGGATGGAGAAGGTAGACATTGGAAGTTTAAGCAGCCGGGCCAAAATCCTTGGTACATTACTCTCAATTACAGGAGCATTGGTGGTGGTGTTATATGAGGGACCCACCGTGATTAGGACTTCCATGAACTCTGGTTTATCATCACCATCATCATACCAATCTCTGAATTCAGAGCACTCCAATTGGGTCATCGGCGGTCTTCTTCTGATTGGAGACTACATCTTATTCTCCGTTTGGTACATTGTTCAGGCAGGGACTTACTTCCTCCCCTGATTTATTGGCACCATCCCTTTCGTCCCTACTTTCAAATACTCCGTTCGTTCCAAAATTATTGTCTAATTTAGATTTTTATTTTTTCTTAATTTAAATTATACTAAAAAAGAAAATGCAATCTGGACAATAATTTTAAAACGTCATATATTTTTATTACAATCGTTAACTAATCAACTCTTTCGTTCAATTTCTACAGACCCAAGCTGTTCAGGAATTCCCGGAGCTACTTCTGGTATCCATATACAACTTAATCGTGGCAGTAATTGCCGCACCATTTACGATTATCGCAGAACCGCACATCAGCGCATGGACAATGAGCTCTAAAATGATGACCATTGTGATCGCATATAACGTAAGACCTTAAACTCTGGTCTTACCCAACCCAATTTGATTCAGACATAAAAAAATGTTGGTACTTAGTAGTACTGTAATTATTTGACTCGAATTTGATCTTGTGTACTAATCAGGGACTATTTGGAAGCTCATTTGCCACAGTCCTGCTGACATGGGGTCTTCATGTTAAGGGACCTGTATACGTGGCTTTGTTTACTCCATTTTCAATTGTCATCGCAGCAGTCATGAGTGTTATATTCCTCGGCGATTCTCTCTATCTCGGAACGTATGTATAACCCTTTTATGTGATCTGTTCTTTTCAGAAGCAACTATATATAATCCTGTAATTCTAGTATTGACTGACTGAATTGTTTTAAAAACCAATGAAACCTAATGCAGGGTGATTGGAGCAGTTATAATGTCGCTAGGGTTTTATCTTTGCATTTGGGGAAAGGCAAAAGAAGAGCAGACGGAAGAGGAGGAGTTCAGCTTCGATTCAGGACATGCTCAACGTGCTCCTCTGTTACAGTGAAATTCAGACTGGGAACCGTAAGATAAATGGACAGACAGAAAGTCAATGTTCCAGTTCTTATTGCAATATGCACCAAAGATGCGACTTTTTTCTGTGCCCCTTTCATGTATTTAGGCCATTTTTAAGCTTCGTCATTTGTTAATTTGTTGCCAATAGTCAACGCTAGCTGCTACTTTCGAACCATGAATACACCTTAAATATGTAGTTATACGCTACCTTCTTATTGTTTTTCAATAAAAAGAACCCGTCCTGCAACATAATCAAAGACTAAAATCGATGACTTTATATACTAAAAAATATTTGCCAATTAGTGTCAGCTCAGGCATAAGGTCTTGCTACTCTTCAGTCTAGTTGTTCGAGTCTTTAGATTCGGAAAGATTCCTACAAAGAATCCAAATTTGAAACTTACAATTGACTGATTCAGTCGAATTGTGGGAGCATAACATCGTATTCAAAACCTTGTTTTCGCAAAATTTAGAAAGATAAGCTGATAAAGAAGAGGAAGATGGCAAGGGAGCGAAGGTGTTACAGAGATGTGCTACCATTTGGGGCACTGGTCACCATGGAGTGCCTCGACGTTGGCCTTAAAACTTTGTTCAAAGCGGCCATATCTTTATAGTTTACGCTTATGCTATTGCTGCTTTCCTCCTCCTCCCATGTACTGTCTGCTTCATCAAAAGCTCTACTTTTTTTTGTTCTACTAGCTTCTCTGCCCCATAGAAAAGTTAAAACTTTCTCAATTTCGGAGAGCAAGATAGTTTATGTTTTTTCGTTATCGATAATTAACTGGATCATAATCAATGTAATTAAATACTGTAACTTTTGTCCCATATTTTCTTACGGTCAGTATTCTTGGAGCGACACTAATACCTCTTGGATTCAAAGCGAAGGAAGAGACGGAAGAAGATTGTACTGGCCTAGGGGTGTTTACGGACCGGATTAACCCGGATTACTACCGTATTGAACAGTTTGGTTTGAGCAGTTTGACGGTGTGGGCCTGTAAATGTAACTTTTTTCATTTTGGGCAATAAATTGGGCGTTTTTGGTTATTGGACATTTTTCTGGCCTTTTTTGGGCTTTTTCCTGGACTCTTTATCTAGGCTCTTTCATATGTAGGGTTTTTGTTTCGAAGGGAAAAAATAGATAGAAAATAAAAAGAATGGTTTAAGATTTAGACACATGAGATCTAACTAGACTTGAAATAATGAGAACAACATTATCATGGTGACTACTTGGACATTTGTGATATAAATTTTCATCTGTTACTATATATAAGTAAACTAAAAAAATTATTATTTAATATATATATATATATATACACGGTACAGTACGATTTGATATATAATTTTTCAGTCTCAAACCGTAAACTGGACCGTTATGAACGATTTTCAGTTTTTAAATTCACCGGTTTAAAAAATCAATTATGAATCGTCTGTCAATACGAACTGATGACCGGTTTGAACGGTTCAACCGGTTTGATCCAAATTATGAACACCCTGGTACTGGATTAAAGTATTTTGGAGCCTTCTGAAATAAATCGAAAACTCACCCGTGCTGCAAACTTTACAGAAAGTAATTGATGATTAGTAATGCATCTTTCTCAAGTGGTAAACATACTTCCTATAGACGTCCAACATTTAAACCATGTCAGATTATGATAAAATTGGAATTAGGCACCTATAGTTTATTGGTTTAATATTTTGAGATTTATAATTTTATATTATGTGGAGTAAATTAATTTATTTATTTGTTAAAAAAAGAAGAAGTGCAAATGTGAATCTCCAACTGATCTTATACATAATGCAAAACTTTAAACACGTGACAACAAATGATTAGTCGAGACTTAAGACAAGCAAGAAAGTAACAAGGAAGCACCACATCTGAAATCACTTCGCCACTTATTAATTTCACGACTTTTGTCTTTTATAAAAAAATACTCTCCCGTCTCTTAATTATTGTTCCGTTTGGCTAAAATAAAATATTTTATCTTTAATCAAATTTAATTATATTTTAGCTTAAACAACCGAATATACCCCTACATTATATTTAGTCGGTAAAGATCAACAATTCTTTTTCATTCGTCTTTTTCATCATGGCTGAATAAAATCTTCTTCAAAAACTCAAGAGATATATTCAATCAAAACTCAAGAGTAACAAGTGAAGAAAATTTATATTTATTCAATCTCTTCGTTCTTCTTCGTAGGGATAAAAGAATTCAGGTACTCTGAAGTCCATGATTGCCTGGGACTTCTACCGCTAAATTTTGGTTTACTATGAATGGCCAGAAACATTACCATGAGGATAAGTCCAAGTTCCTAAATTTGTTTTACCATGAATGGCCGGAAAGGTTCCTGAATTTGGGTATGGGACTTACACTCACAGATGTTAGTGGCGTCAGCAGGGAAATCACCACCGGCCATAAGGTGGCATCTCTGGATTTCGTCCTTATTATTCTCTTCCTCGAAGCACTGTCAATTGTTGATCTCTCGTCAGCTCTCCGATACACAGTTCAAATCCCCAGGTAGTTCTTAATAGGGTTGCTAATTCAGTCGGTTCGGCTCAGTTCGAGTAAAATTCGGTTCGGATTAATCGAATTTTCTCTCACAAGACCCGTCCGAAACCGAACCGAAATATCTATTACACCGAATCGAATCGACCGAATTAGTAATCATGTTGGTTGGTTCAGATTTCGGTTCAACCGAACTAATACAAGAGCAACTAAATTTCAAGAGTTAAAAATTCACAAACACCAACAGAGGATTTCCCCTTCTTGTCATCAGCAATTTGGCACCCTCTTTGATGTTGCAACGACTTGAAAATATCATCACAAAAGCATCAATATCATCACAGAGGTTTACACAAGCCAAAGTTCACAAAAGCCAAATTTCTTTCTAACACAGTCTGACTAACACAAGCAAAATTTAATTATTCTAAATGTGAGAGAAATAGAGAATAAAAAAGGAATGCCTAGAAAGACAAAAAAATATTTCCAATTAATCCTTTCTCTACAAATAAATTTAAAAAACGTGTTGTTTAATCCTCAAGGCTACAAAAGCAAGAAAATTGGTACAAAAAATTGAAAAATGAAAACAAGCAAGGGAGATACGGAAATCCTCAGCCATCCACAACAATGAAATATAAAATAAATAATAATAATAATAATAATAATAATAATAATAATAATAATAATAATGAAAAAGAAAGGAAGAAAGGAAGAAAGAAGAGAGGAGGGCGGCGGCGTCGAAGAAAGGAATAAGAAGGAGAGGAGAAAATAGGATTGGAGGTTCATAGTATATCTAAAAAAAGGAAAAAGGAATGGAAGAAAGGAAGAAGGAAGAGAGGAGGGCGGTGGTGTCGAAGAAAGGAAGAAGGAGGAGAGGAGAAAATAGGATTGTCGGGATTCATGGTAGATCTGAAACAAGGAAGAAGGAAAGGAAGAAAGGAGGAAGAAGGAGAGGAGGGCAGTGACATCGAAGAAAGGAAGAAGGAAGGAAGAGAAGTTTATCGGACTGAAGAAATTGACAATGCAATAAGAGAAGTTTATTATCGGACTGAAGAAATTGTGCGAAGTCAGGCCCTGTTGAGAAAGCAGAAGTTTGGAACACAACGAGGAGAAGAAGAAGGATGGCAACCTCCTCCGACTTCATGGATCAAAGTTAATTGTGATGGGGCAGTATGCTTGAATAGTGGAAAAGCTGCAGTTGGTGAGATCTTCAGGAATGATAAAGGTCACCTCTTAAGAGCATTTAATCAGTTTATTGGGATTTCTTCAATCCAAAACACAGAATTGGTGGCTATGCGTAAAAGTTTGAAGTTAGCTACTCAACAAGGATTTCATAAATTGGTTGTTGAATCTGACTCACAGTTGGCCATAAAATTGGTCCAAAATCTTAATGAAAAAGTTCATTTGGACCCCGAGTTGAGAAGAATGAGCGACATGTTGAAACCCGGTTGGCAGATACATTTCGTGTACACGCCCAGGGAAAACAACCTCAGTGTGGATATCTTAGCAAAGGAAGCTCTAAGTAGCAATGGGAAATTATATTCTTTTGATGTTGCCCCGACATGTATAGCTATGTTAGTTGAACAAGAACAATTGGACTATAATAGTCATGGCAGGAGCCAAAACTTATGGTCGTAGGAAACTTTTTTTTCCATCTTTTAACCAAAAAAAAAAAAAAAAGAATGAAGGAAGAAGGAGGAGAGGAGAAAATGAGGAGGAAAAAAAAAGAAAGACTAAACCTAAAGTGGACAGAGATATATCTATAACCCCCATTATAACAAAAACCATTTTTCTCATAAAAATCCAAGTGTCATTATTTACTCAAAAGTCTCCTCTCCCAATTTTTCTAAAAAAAAAAACAAAAAAATAAAAAATAAATAAAAATCCGAATGTCAGTTTTATACAACATACTATAGAACTCATAAGGGTAATTTGCAATTGTCAAAAATAAAAAAAAAAATAAAACATGCTCTAATTTTCATCTAAGTGTACATCTAATTGCAGGAAAAAAAATTAAAAAATATTAAAAAATTCGAAGCCAGTTTTCTCTAGTGCCTTTTCATCATCAAAATGATGTCAATTATAACGAAGGCCATAGTAAAATTATACACTAATATGTTCATTTGTCAGTTTAGACGGTCATTAATTAAATTAGTAAATAATCATAACGTAGTCTACATTGTGTAAGGGTTTTTCTACTGACAGTGTCAAGTTAATGAACACGATGGTAGTTTCGGGAAAAAAGTTATAGGAAAACTAAAAACTATTTGACATTAAATGAAATATATTTATCATAAAAATATTTTTAGGTTGTTTACTAATCTTAAAAGAAAAAAATAGAGACTGCATTCATGGTTCAACTACTTTGAACATGTATCCAGCTAACCTTTATTAAAATCTTTTTAAAATTGATTATGTGAAATTTCAATGTCAAACCTGTGCGAATGCACGAGTCCAAAACCTAGTATATGTAATAAAAAAATAATTAAAAATTAATTAATCGGGTTATTCGAGGCCGCCCGGATATCATTTCTCAAAACCGAAACCGAACCACCCAGGCTAATCGGTTGGTCGAGTGGAGCCGAAATGCACCCAATTAAACCGATTAGTCGACCGAGTAAGCCGAATGAAGATCGGGTTGGGCGGTTCGTAGGGTTGGGCCGATTAACTAGCAGCTCTAATTCTAGGGAGTTCCGATGAATGGTTTAAAGTGCTGGTTTTGCCAAATATTTTTGATTAAGGGACAAATGCGTAACTTAATTTATAAAAAGTCAAATCGAATAATAATTTTGGGATACAATTTTTTTTTGTAAAGTGGACAATAATTATGAGACTGAGGGCATATGTGGAATTGAAGGAGTTTCAAGCACGTTGGTACAAATTATTATTTTGTGTGAAAATATTGTCCTGTTTATTATAGGAAATTAGCAGAAAAATTAAATAATTATTTCATAATAAAAATAGTATACACTGTAAGCAAGAAGGAATGTGCTAGAACAGGTAAATAAGCTCACATGAAATTTGTTGAATGTATATATATTGTATTGCTTAGTTCAAAAAAGAAAAATTAGCCCATTAATACTGGCCGTGGTTTACTTGTCATGCTCCCTCCACTTTGTTAAAGTTGTTTTCCTATCAAAATATTTGTAATTCAGTTAAAAAAAATTAATGGTTTAGGGAAAACACTCTGTTACGTATCATCAATTAGGTTTTTGGCTTTTGCACATTGAAAAGGAATTAAACGGGGTTAAAAATAAAAATATATATATTTTTTTAATCGAACTTCAGACTGGAAGGATGGCACGCACACGCCACGCTCCTAAATGTCTAATGGTTGTTTTTCATTTTCATTAATTAAATGGAGTAGATGATAACACCGTCGGTTACAACTAATCAAAAGAATAATATAATTTGGATATGATAATGAATAACAAAATAATTAAAAAGCCTTGTTCAAGCAACACTCTTACGTCACCGTTAGCTTTTTTTATACCTTTTAGTTTCTCTCCACAGGAAATAGAAAAACCAGCACTAAAATTAATTTTAAATAAAAAATGCATAATAGTGGGGGCAAACAGCTTAGAAGAGGCCTAATTTGGATTATTAGTCGAAACTGTGTAAGCATAACAATCGCGGTCAAAAGCTTTGTTATCTTCACACCCATTCTGATTGCTTCCTTTCTCTTCTGTCTTGTCCTAATAACATGTCTTTTTCTCTGGTAATCAAAGCCAAACCAATTAGAGAAATCGATTCAATCAACCATCAACACGCCATCCACAGACTCCAATCAACTACCCAGTTGAGATAACAAGAAACCCCTAAAAAAAAGCTTGCCAAATACTAATATCTCAGTCAATTCGGATATACTAAACTAGAGGTGGATTTGTTCTACCAGGAAATTAGTGAAGAAAGAATGAGTGGAACAACAATGGTGAGGGAGAGAGTGTGTTACAGAGATGTGCTCCCATTTGGAGCAATGGTTTCGATGGAGTGCATCAACGTGGGTCTCAACACTCTGTTCAAAGCGGCCACCGATAAAGGAATGAGCTACCATGTCTTTGTCGTTTACTCCTATGCTGTTGCTGCTCTCCTTCTCCTTCCTTCCACCGTCTTCTTCTTGAAAAGGTGCTTTAATTAGCTCTGTTGTTTCCACTTCTTCTTTTTTTCTGTACTGAAAACTAAAAATTTCGTTAATCCCGGGGATTGAAACAGAGTCTAATTTATGTTGTTTCATAAATAAACTTTCTGTTTGGGGAATCACTCATTAATTGACTGGATCATCATCAATTTTTTTTTTTTTTTTTTGTGGGATTCTGGAACAGATCAAATCCAAGAGTTGAACAGCTTCCTTCGCTTAACTTCTCCATCATGTGCAAGATTTTCCTGCTCGGATTCATCGGGTATTTTTGATGTTCTGCTTTGTTAGCTCGCTGAAATGAAATTTGCCACTTATCTCTGTCATGATTATAATAAATCTGTCTGTTATGTTAAATTATGCATCAAGATTGTAAAATCTTCTTCTTTTCGTACTTTCTTTTATAATTTATTTTGTCTTTTGGTGGTGGTGGCTACCTGGGAAGGTAGATGCACATCTCAGATAATGGGGTACACCGGAATCACTTACAGTTCTCCGACGCTTGCTTCCGCCATCAGCAACCTTGTCCCTGCTTTCACTTTCATACTTGCCATCATTTTCAGGTTAAAACTTTCCTTCTATTGTTCCTGCACCCTTACCTCTTTTCTTTTCTGGCCCACTCTTGACTTTTTCAATAATTGCATCGAACAAAAGTAGTTATTTTCAACTTGAACAATAATAGTAGAGTTAATAAAATGTAAGGTCTTAGATTTATCCTCGAACAAGGCTTTTAATTGCTGGACGGATACTTTAAAAAATTTCAGTGCTAAGGAGTTCAGGACAATAATTTGACTTGCTATCCGTGATCGCACAATAACCAATGGCTCCAAGATGCTGATGGTTTTTAAGGCCTGTGTCTTCTGTAACTCCAATATTCCTGAATTGACCTCTTTTACAACTTTTAAACATAATTTACTAATCTGTTTCTTCGGGAAAAAAAAAAAAGTCCCTTTAATTTTTGAAACGGACGGCAGGAGTACTAAAATGTCCTCCTGTAAGGAAATTTCCTTGAAAATACGTGTTTGATTTATCTGATGGAGCCCCATATGCAGGATGGAAAAGTTGGCATTCAGAAATTGGAGTTGTCGGGCCAAAGTATTGGGCACCATAGTATCTGTTGGAGGCGCATTCATAGTGACTCTTTACAAGGGTCCAAAGATTGTACTGTCTTCCCCATCATCATCACACGCAGCAAGCTTACATAACTCCGCTTCTGTTCTTGCATCTCAATCGAATTGGGCATTGGGTGGATTGTTTCTAACTGCTGAATATATATTGGTTCCAATGTGGTACATCGTTCAGGTTGGAAAGCCTATCTCTCTGAACAATCAATTACATATACTAATGGTACCTGTTGTTAAGGATGTGCTTATCCAATTTCACATTGTTTCAGACCCAAATTATGAAGGAATATCCGGCAGAAGTAATTGTGGTCTGTTTCTACAACTTGTGTGTGAGTATCATGGCAGCAGTTGTGGGCGTATTTACTGAACCGGACACAAGCAAATGGCGAATTAGGCTCGACATAGCATTGGCCTCTATCATATGCTCTGTAAGTGATAAACGGCTAATATAAATCGATATGAATCATGATGTTGATGTACAAGATATTTTTATACCCCTGTATGGTCTTGTGCCTTACCTACAGAAATGGACAGGGAATCTTCGGTTCGGGCTTAAACAACACCATTCACACCTGGGCATTGCGTTTGAAGGGCCCGGTCTTTGTCGCTATGTTCAAACCACTGTCAATTGCTATTGCAGTAGCAATGGGGGTCGCATTCCTTGGTGATACTCTGTATTTGGGAAGGTAACTAAAACCTTAATACATACACCGTCAATCTCTATGCATTTTCTTCGCATTTTTTTGGTAATATCATCAATGACTCTTACAAGTTCAACATACTTTTTTCTTCTCACAATGGGCAGTATTCTTGGCGCAACAGTGATAGTTCTTGGATTCTACACAGTGATGTGGGGTAAAGCAAAAGAAGAGATGGACGAAGAAGAGTGTAATGAATATAGTAATTTGGAGTCATCAGCCACAGATAAAAAGTCACCCTTGTTGCAAAATTACAGGAAATGATACCATAACAATCAACGTATATTTCTCATGTAAAAGAGGTGTTGACTACTGCAGATGGTATAAGAAGATCTCTGGAATCAAATGCATCTTCATTAGGCTGTACATTTTGTAAAAGAAGTGGGATCTACTACTCCATCATCAACTATGTGCAAAGATAATCAATTTTCTCACTTACCAAACCTCCAAGTGATTATGTCGTTGTAGAACATAACCAATTGCACAATTATCAGGCCTGAGCAGTTAATTAATTGCCTATTTGGTTAGTTACTTCATGGAGCTGAAATTGCAGTGTTAATACAATGCAGCATTAATAATGTGCTCGACGCAGCCGTGAAGCATAATAGGCCTACTTCATGCTATCAAATTTTTCTATATTACTTTGTTGAACTTTGACAATTGACATCAACTAGCAAGATTCTTTGTTGCCTGATCCTTTCTTGCCTACATACCAAATAATACACTTTGGCAAAAAGAATTTCATTCAGCTCAAAACCTCACACCATTTATATATGAAACAACAGTCAGATTATATGCTTGCTAATTACTAGTACCTGTTTCTCAAAGAAAATACTCATTCCATTTCGAAATGATTATCTAATTTGGATTTTTATTCTTATTTCAAATTGTATTTAAAAATAAAAATCTAAACTGTCTAATAAGTTTTGAAAAATATTTTACATTTCACTATTTTTTTTAGGACTGATGGAATATTCGGGATAATATTTGGGACACGTACTATATCAAAAAAATTATTTTAAAAAAGGGGTGGACTTTGTAGTCTCCGATTATTGAATTAGTTAGCTAAGGTAATTCCATTAAACTGGATCAACTTACAGCCACAGGCACGTGTATCTTCTGCTTTCAACTTTGTGAGACTAAATCAAGTTATGAAGTAAACTTATATGACTTATGATATTGGTTGTTAGACTCATAATCACGCGTTTTAGATTCCCACTCTTCGCGTAAGAAAAAACAAAATGGCTTGTAGCAAATTTGTAATGTTTTAGCACTTACCTTTTGTAATAAATACTTGATTTTTTATTTCTTAAAAATAATTTATTTTATTTTATTTTTTTGCATACTGCAGAGTGTCCATCGTCAACAACAGTGACTAATTCCTCTCGCTCATGGTATGCACCTGATGGGTAAAAAATAATTTGTTGAACAAGTGAAAATAAATATATAGAGAGGTACACATGAACTACAGCCAAAATTCATTGTGTGTGTGTTTGGCCTAGTCAATGTAGTAAGTAAAAATGCACGTTTTATATTGGTGAGCAGAAATTTTGTTACTTCTCTAGCAAAAGTTAAAAAAATACAACGTCCACGCACTCCTACTTTTACAAAAGTTTTCACTGTGCACAGAAAATCGATGGAGGCAGTAAAAAAATCAGGTCTGGTGGTTGTACTTTTGTCTTCCACTCTTCCGGCCGAAATCAACTAATAACAAAGTAACAAGCTAAGGAAGATTCTTGCATTAACTTTAGAAAGCTCCTCCCAAGAAATCAGCTTCTTCGTTCAAATTTCAAAGCCCCTTTCAGTCCACCTTGGGTTCTCTTTATAGTTTATTCCTCTTGTTTTTCTTTTCTCTTTGTGTATACGTCCCAAATCCTAAATTCCACACCTTTATCTTCTCACCTGTTCTCCCATGTGTTTTTTCTTGATCTCTTGAAGCAGCCCAGTTCGATAAGCTTTTGTTCCTTATTCGATCCATAATTTATTGACTTAATTCTCTAATTGGGTTCCAATTTCGCCGTGTGCAAGCTTTTTCCGTCTTCGGTCTCAATTGGGTGAGTTCTAACTTCTGCGTTCTTTGATTTCTTAGGGTTTATATTGAGATTGAATGTTTTGAACCTGTTTTTTGTTTCCCCTTATTGTTTTGTTTTGTTTTTTAAGAATTCAATTTTGAAGCCCCATTGTTTTTGGTGGGGCCATAGAGATCTCATTTCGTTCTATAAGTTCGATTGGTTTTTGTGCCGGCAGTTATTATGTGAAATTGGTTCAGTTGCGACCAAGTGATGTTAAATGCCTGAAATATGTTTTTTTTCCCCTTGCAATTTTGTGGTAGGAAATTGAATTTGGAGGCAATGTCACAAGGTTATGCCTTGGAGCTTTACTTTGATCCAGCACTTGAAAACCAGGTCTTGAAAGCTTGGAATGTGTTGGCTCGCCGGCAAATCAGTAACCAGCTCATAGAGATTGAATCCAGACCCCATTTCACTATCTTTTCAAGCCCTTTTGTGGATGTTGCCAAACTCGAAAACATTGTCAAGAATTTTGCTTCAAAGCAAGAACCTTTGCCACTGACATTTTCTTCAGTTGGAAGCCTTGCTAATGACAAAAATGTTCTCTTTCTTGGCATTACTCCATCCTTAGCCCTCCTCCAGTTTCACCATCAACTGTGTGATGCAATGAGGAAAGAGGGCATTGAAATTGGGGAGGATTACCGTCCAGACACTTGGATTCCGCACTGTTCTGTGGCCGAAGAAATACCAAAGCCACGGATGGCTGAGGCATTCACTGTTTTAAGGGATTTGAAGTTGCCGGTTGCAGGATATGCAATGGATATTGGGCTAGTTGAGTATCCACCAGTTCGCGAGCAGTTCTCATTTGCACTAGGTGGTAGTACAGCAGAACCATGACAGTTCATAATATGTTGCTGTTGGAGTATAAGCATGTGGAAGAATTAGGTATCAAGCTTTTGTTCCACACGTCTTATCCTTGTACAAACTGACTGTAGATTGCAGTAATGATGCTATAGTGGCGAAATCAAAATTTATGGTAGATGAACTTAAAATGATTCTTGGTAATGTTGCTTTTCTTAAGAATCTGATATTATTTGTATTTGATTTTCTTTTGATATTCATTTCCATTATTTTCGGGTGTTTGAGGTCCCTTTTATGGTAAGTTGGACTTGTTGTGAAGTCAATTGTAATGAAATTCAGCACTACCTGTTCCAGTAGGCGCTGAAAGATTTGCCCCTATACGAACATTTTTAGATGAACTGAGGCTTCCATCCTAATGGAGATGTTAGACATTCCATTCGGATTAGGCATACAACATTGTCTCGTTGTTTTGTACTGGTTCCTTACATGATAAAACTCAGTCTCACAGAATGGGTTCCGCACCAAAGAGTGAAAGGTATACAGCATAATGAGTATGATTCAGAGGCAAATTTCATCCCAGGTTCTACAATTAGACATTATTTGTTTTATTCATATCAGGTATTTTTCCCAGCGCCAGTTGCCACGACCCACCCGTCTTTTATTCCACCTTACTCTAATTTCAGCTGATCATATCTGTTAACCTAATTCTTTCAAATAAACCTGCAGCTTAGCTTCTTTGGCATTAGCCCTACACGAAGTGCTACCTATGCTTGAAATATGTACAAGTACGCCTATAGTTTCCTCATTTATTGCTTGAATATGTATCAGAAGACAGTGTCCTTGACCTTTTCGTTTCTGTGAAAGTGCAACCTGTGCTGATCTTGACATCTTGAATCCTGCTGTAATGTATTGAAGTGTATTAGTGAAGAAGAGTCGTTTTGTTGAAGTATGGTTGCATAGATCTTGTTCAATCACAAGAGATTAAGTTCATTCTAGTGTTCATGTCCCGGTCCATAACTTCATAGGTCAATGATTATGGTTCATTTGGAAGTGGAACCGGTTCTATTTCTTCAGCTTATTGATTTCATTTATATTATTGTGTGTGTTGGAACTTGGAGGGAAGTTGATGGTTCTTTTAGGACAGCCATGTAATGGAACTATAGGAATCTGCTTCTGCAGAAGACACTGGAAAAGACATTTCAAAGTAAATTTTCTCAAGTCCTGGGTTGGAATCATGCCCGTGCAATTTTGACAATCTTGTTAGACTAATCTTCTGGAATTCTTTCACCTGTGATGTTCAGCACCTGTGAACTCCATTTAGTTTTATAGGCTTTGATTGAGATTTTGGTTTGATAAGGAACCTTAAAGATTGGAAGCCTTGAGTGCGGGGAAGCGGCTGGCTGAACTCAAGATGATCATTACATGGCTAAGATACTCAAGATGATCATCTTTTTCTCCAAGATGATCATTGAGACTTACCTGTAGTCAAGTCCTAGAAGCATATGGCATCTGATATTTCAGTTCCAAGATGGTCATTAAGTCCTACTGGTATATGGCATATGGTATTTGGTCCTAAATTATCATGACTGAGTTTCCATTGAGAATGGTTATTAAAAACTTGCGTCTTTGAAGATATTCATTTGCCTTGGTAAAGTTAAGCAAGTGAATAAATACTTGGATAAAGCTGGTAACCATCTTTATAATGTAAAGAATAGATTAGTAAAATGTCACAGGTCATCAAGAAGGCATTTGCCTTCTAAGTTCTAACTTGTTTTCCTTAATTCTTATGCAATCTTATGAACCAATATAAAATTAGAAAAAGAAGATAGGAAGAATGATTTGATCATGATTGGGCTTTTGGAGGTTCTTTAATTGGTTGCATCGTTGAGTTTCCTGCTTGTACGAGCAAAAACTAACTCTGAAATGGGTAGGACGATTAAGCTTCCCTAACTGCTTCCTTTTTCTCATCTTACAAATTCTGCCACAGTTCGTTCTCCTTCGGCCAACAATGCCATTTGTTGGGTAACACTAAGCATGGTTCTGATAAAAAAGATGGGCTGCAGGTTCTTCAATCTTTATATTTATTCTCTTCTCGACGAGAACAAATAATATTGAGCTTTGATGATCAGTACAACAAAACTTCTTGGAGTTTTGGAGTCTGCATGGAGCTCATAATTTGTTGTTCCTCCCAACTGCATCAGTTGAATCGCAAGGCGTGCTGTTTAGATCGCAGGGGCAAAGGGGAGTGTTGTCGGAGCACCTCAAGTAGAAGCTCATTCCAGGCATCAATGGGTCCTGGCAAGCACCAATGAACGCAATCACTGTAACCCTTCTTCTTCCTTCGCCAGTGCAGTCCTGGGTGACCATCCGGCCTCATTAGCATAGCTTCGGTGACATCCAAGAGACCGTAAGCATTCCCATTTTTCTGTCCCGACTTCCTAGCAGTCTCAACTTCTGTCACTTGGATGTTCCTGTAATCTAGATCCTCAACATGGTCCTTAATCTCCTCGGTTCCAAACGGGTGGGTCCTGAGGCAGCTCCCCCCAGTCTTCCAGGTGCCGTTCTCAAAATGAGACGGCGAGTATGTCCTCAATAAAGTGAGAATGCCAGAGCAATCTTTACAATCATTGATGTAGTTTAAAGCAGCTCTGAAGGCTCTTTGGATGGCAAAACCAGGGCCAAGGTTGGTCACTTTTGGATCCTGGCAGTAAATGCATCCAATAAGTTCTCCACCTTCATACAAATAGTTCTCCCTGAGGAACCATTGGGCGTCCGAGATGATGGCAATGTCGACAGCCGGTAGGTTTTGAGCCCAGTTGAGATCAATCTTGTCGAGATGCAGGTCGAAAGCGCCGGTCACTGAACTGTTGACTACTGTCTGGGAAGAATTGACAAGGAATCGGGTCCACAGGACCATGAGAGTGAAGTTGTGTTTTGGAAATTGCCATGTTGTGAACCGATCTTTTGCGTCCTTGTACACTTCATTTGGTGATTCTTCCTGCAAAAGAAGGGGAGAGTTCTCCACATTTGAATTCTACAATTACGAGGATGCAACACCATCATTAAACCAAATTTCTGTACTGAGTTTTTGGTGTATCAAAAAATAAATAAATGAATAACCCTGATTTCTGTCCAATATTGTGAGAAATTATATTCTCTGGATTCATCGTGAAAGTTGTCCACCGACCAACATCATTTATGAATCACTCATCCTTTTTTTTTTTTTTTTCTCTTTTGTGATTAGTCAAACAAATAAAATAGTAACATATCCCAAATTAAATAAGCATGCCGGTGAGTATCTGTACATCATTATTGTGATATATTCAAAATTATCTCCACAACTTTTTATGAAGTATACGTTAATTAATCAAGTTATATGAAAAAATATGCTAACGAAGGAAGTTAAAAACTTTTTTGAGATCGAAATTTTATGTAAAATCACAAATGTAAATTGACCAATTGCAAGATTTACCACTTTTGAGTCAGCAAGGTGAAAATCATGTCCACGCTTTGATGGACGACCTTAGTAAACACGATTCAGTAAAGATCAATTAATTCATGATAAATATTACTCCAATGAGGAATAAAGTCAAATTGGAATGCTACTAATCAAATAATGGGTTGACGTTTGGTTCATAAATGCGTCCACTCTCCACCGATGGATAATAACATTAAATGGGTCCATGAAAATGATGAAAACCACTAGTGCACCACCACCACCAAAAAATCACCCTGAGGATATATTTTGTATGAATGAGAGAATAAGGCGGATTTGCCAAAGGATCACTGACCGTTGACAATTGACAAAGGAGCGATTCCATCTGATTCCGGCCAACAGAATCGCCGATGAACGCCAGCGTTTTCCCGCGCACAATACTTAGAAACTTACTGGGGTTGAACCTCGGCAGCTCGCAGCCGGCCGGTTTCCATCTCCACCGAATGTAGTCGGAATCCGTTCGGCCATGCAACAGACAATTCTTCTTATCAGGGAGTGTTTTACAGGTCAAATTCGTATACAGAGGAGGTCTCTTCTCATCCCATATCCATTTACCCTTGAATAACTCGCATGTTTCACCACCTACAACATACGTTAGAATGGGGAGAAAAAAAAGAAAAAAGCTGCTTCACCATCAATTTCGAAGATTTAAAAATTACCAGTGGAATAATAACCTAAGCGTCCTATGGTAAAATTCACCAAGTTGGGAGGCCACCGTAGACGGAAACCTCCGAGTAATGTAACAGTAGCCAGACACAACCCGAAGATAACCAATGAAGGTGTCTTAACAAAGCTGAAAATTTGATCTTTCCCGACCATCATCATATATATATGTACGCACTTCCAGAATGAAAAACATCAAATTCCTTAACATGATAAGCTGGCGTCAATTAATGGACCATATTTTTGTTGTTGAATGAGAAAAGAAAAAAGAAAAGGGGGATTAGGCTAAAGAGAGGAGGTTGATGAACCCGGCAATGAAAATTGAAAACCAATAAGCAATTAAGGTGCGTTGTGCTAAGTGGAGGGTGCATGAAATGATTTTGTGTGTTAAATTTTGTAGCAAAGTTGTGGAGCTTCTAAATTAGTAAATCCAGACACGTACCACGCACCACTCATTCATCCCTCTTCTTTAACCCCATACGATCCTTTATTCGTAATACACACACAACACCGAATGAATAAAAAAGAAGATTTTCTTCCAAAAATAAAAAAAAAAAAAGAAGATAGTTTCGTTGACAAGTGGAGTAAGCAGACAGAGGGCGGGTTGACCAGCTTCCCGGGTGCTATAAGCGATGGAAGATAGTCAACGTGCACAAGTGACGAGCCCGGAACACTCTACAAGCATGACTTGTTATAGATTCAAAATATAAGTGGTTAAGTTTTGAGAATAAATTAAAAATATGAATTGTTTTATGATTTCAAGGTAAGTTAATTAATATTTTTTAAACTTTATTCTCAATAAATGATATAAAATATTTTTCATTTGTTCTTATTTATAATACCCTTATTAGAAGTATAAAAGATCATTGACGCATAAACTATGATTGTTTCTTTAATTTACATATAAAATTTAAAGTGATTTATATTTTGAAATGGAGCGAACACTATTATACTCAACGAACAACCACTTAATTCAAGTAATAATAGTACGATGAATTTAATTATTGTCTGAATTGCATTAACATGCTTTAGTAATTGAAGTATTTGTTAGGAGATATGTCAGATTTGTCTTTTCAAAGATACTACAGTTTGATTAGAATCATTCATAGAAATTGAAGTATTTGGTAGGAGATATTTCATATTTGTCTCCGCAAAAAGAAACTATACAGTTCAAACCAAGGCGGAATTAGGCTCCATAGATATGGTGGGGCAAAATTTTCAAAAATCTTAATTCAATAGCAAATTTTTTTTATTAAATTTAAAATGTTTTCAAAAAAAATTAGAAAATTAAAAAATTTATTTCAAAAACACTCCCGTTGAATTGATACTAAATCTGGTCAAAGTATATGAATAGTGTCAAAGGACCAAAAAAGTTATATTCTAAAATGTAGACGACTATTTTAGCTAAATGTTAATATAAAGGACCAAAATGTACATGTAACCTAATGTAGAGGACTATTTTCATAATTTAGTATGTGTGTGTGTGTGTAGACACACTAAGGAAGCCGTTGGTTTGGGATTACAAAACATTCACATGGTCGTGGGATGAGCCTAACTTATCTACGAATAGATATTCCTTAGTTACGGACTGTGGTGTAGTGTCTAGATTCGGAAATTTAGTAACTAAATTAAAGTTCAGATTTTTAATAAGAAGTTACCACATCAAAGCAGAATACAAGATATTGATCTGGTAACTTCTTATTAAAAATTTTTGGCTCCAAATGCACCATATTGCATTAAAAATTCTGCCACGTGTCATCCCTTTTTAAAAGAAAGAAAAATTCTTATCTAGAAAAACAAAAACTACTTTACAAAAATAGTTACACAATTTTAACTCCTAACATTTATCATTTATCAATCAAATTAAAGCATTTAAATTTGCCCATAAACTTATCCCCTTTATTACTCCACATTCCTTTGTATGATTTCTGCATCGTTGTACTTTTCAATATTTTTTCTACTTTGGCAGATGATTTTTTTATTTTTATTTTTATTTTTGGCTAAAAAGGAGAAAAAAAAACCAAATGTGTAGCTATTTTTTTTTTTTTCAACTCAAAAATTTATTTATCTATTAACACAAAATTAAAATAGAGGGGCGCCCAGACATCTGTCCGGGCCAATCATCTAGTTATTCTTAAAGCATGACATGTAGACAAGATGTGAAATCCAACCGGACAGGAGAAGCCTCAACAAGTGAATTAGTTTCGGATAGGGTAGGGGTGCCCAAACATTTACAAGGCCTCAACAAGGCTACAATTACAGACAGGCCCCTTTTTGGCGGATGAAACTAGTAAACTATTGCCCACTATATAGGTTAGCGAACAATTGGGCTGGAATATGGCCAATATTTTTAATTTTTGTCTTACCGAAGTCCTAAAAAATTGCTACAATTTTGTAGATGATCTTGGCAATTTTATTTTTTTAAAATTATATTTTAAACTCCAATGAGAAACTATTAGAAAACGAATGGATGTATCGTTGTAGTCATTTTTGCATGTATGTATCATTACTCTTAAAACAAATATTATTTTTATTCAAAATAACTTTTTTGGAGTACAATAATAAAAGAAGAAAAATTTGATTAATCCGAAAAATTTAGACCACTATATTCTCTAGTAAAAAATGTCGGTAATATTGTGTTCCAACCATGAATGTACATCATTTGTGTATTCCATTCAAAAATAATCCTAAAATCACGAATGAAACTGATCAGTAAAACGTTTTCTTATTCCTTCTCTGTATGGATTCATTTCCTTTACATATGTAGTTATAATTTATAAATTTGTTCCAAGTTCAACTTTACATTAAAGCAATCCATAATGCAATTATGGGTAGTTCTGTTTGAAAATTTAGAAGATAGTCAAATAGAGTTATTCATTGGGAACTTAACTGAAAAGTTGCCTGGCTAAGATTAGTTAGTTTAATGAAGTAGTATAACGAGAACGGTTCCCGGAGTGGAATGGATCATTAATGACTACTAATAATTGTAGCCAGCAATTTGAAACTTTTGAGAGGATAACAATTGCCCAGGGCACTTGTGTTCGATGGCTGGTCCAGAACTGAATGAGATGTCTTTAGCAGCTTGCAATTGATGTTGATGCTTCACCTTCACCATGTCCGCCATGTTTTCCATATTATTAATCTACATACCTAGTGATTTTCTTCTTCTTATTCTTCTTAAAAGAAATAATACTCGACCGGTCACACATCAAACTTTAAACTATAAATTTATTTGATCTATGTACGTGATATTTTATTAACTGTAATATTTATATATATATATATATTCTTTTTTGTTTTAAAGCGATTATTTATTTTTAAATTTTTATTTTTAATTCATATTATTCTAAAAGTGAAAATCCAAACTGAACCATGAAATTTTAGGACGGGAAAAATACAAATCTAACCTATGATACTAGTAGTACTTACTTGGCATGGTAACATGGCATATTGATGATGCATTAGATCCTAATCAGCCAGATAAGTTTAAACCAACAAACTGGATTATACGGGTAATAATGTACTAGTACTTGTTGATAAAGGTGGGGTAATAATTACGGCGTTGTTTTTATTATGCCCAGTCTCGATTCTATGTCATCAAAGTCATTAAGACACAGGGACAGAGCTTTTAAATTTTAATGTCTGTATTATTAATAATAGTAGTACACCAAAGATGTCAATGGTGATGTTTAACAGCGAAAACAAGGGAAGTCTCACATGGGAAGACTACGATATAATGTGACACACCACGGTCCGCATGTGCCCCCTTTTGCCTCAGATTACGTTACTCCTTTCCTTTGTAATTAGTCGTGCTTTAGCCAATTACTGTACTACACAAATACAAATACACAAAAACTCACGTAAACGCATTTATGAGCCGTAACCTGGGCTGTCTGGTAATGAAGCTCTGAGTTGTGCGGGTGAAAAATGAGAAATCCTTTTGGCTCTGTTAAAAAATGGGTGTGGGATTCCTTTGCTTGGTTGCTAGGGTGCACCCACTTGCTCCATCCCATCTCAAACTCTACCCTTTTGATCTTCTTATGTTTTTTGGTGGTCTCATTGATTGATTGGAGAGGATGGAAACGCTTTTAGCTATTTACTGGGCATGCAATTTGTCTGGATGGATATTTTTCCCCTTTCCAGTAATCTGTTTTTAACCGATGTTTACTATACACACAGTGATGGTAAAAAATGTTGTGTTACATCCGGTATGGCAAATGTTATAAGATAACAACACTTATCATTATCAGTGGCGGAGTCAATAAATTAATCATTAAAGAAGATGCAAAAGTTTTTTACAAAAACCCTAATAAGTCAAGAAATTAATGTAAGAGATGCGAAAAATTATATAATACATAGTTTTCTATTAAAAAGTTAGAATATCTGTACTAATTAAAAAAAATTGAGCAGGTATCATTGCGCCCCTTCGTCCCCCTAACTCAGTCACTGATCATGATAATTAATACTAATATAGTTAATGGGGTTGGTGTCCTCAAGGAAGTCGAACGGTGGTGTAGTTCCGTGAGGGCGGGAATGGTGAGCGAAAGGAGGGTCGGTGGTTTGGGTATTGGTCGGGACAGAGTTTTTATGCGATGGGAATTCCCGTCAGAAAAATGGGTAAAGGTAAATTCGGATGGGGCTTTTAATCCGGTTTTTGGTATGGTAAGTGCTGGCGGAGTAGTGTGAGATCAATGTTTTAGATGGCTTGAGGGATTTAGCATGAATATCGGATTTTACTCTATTACATGGGCTGAATTATGGGGACTTTTTCAAGGTCTCAATTTGGCTTGGGAGTTGAATTGTCGTAGTGTTATTGCGGAATCAAACAGTTTGTGTGTTGTCTCTATGATTCAGGACGAGGAATTGGATAAGGGATTACATACTACATTAGTCCATGGTGTTCGAAGTTTGTTGAGCAAGCAATGAAATGTACAATTGGTTCATGTCTATAGATAGGCTAATTTTATGGCCGATTATTTGACGGGAGTTGCTGCACGAGGTCCGGGAGGCTTTCAACGTCTTCCTATTCCGCCAGCAGAAGCACAGAAATGGCTTTAACATGATATATGGTTGGGTTTTCATACCCACGACAAGTTTTAATATCTTGTAACTAGGTTTCGGCCTCTTTTCTTTGTATTAAAAAAATAAAAAGTATTTATATCATATCGAGTATAACATAAAAAAAGAAGTGACAGAAAAATCTTGTTGATAATGCATGATGTAAATTGTCGATAGTTATTAGAATACTTAGGAGGAAATCTTTATTGTGCAGCTTCATTTTTATGGAAAAGATTTGTTATTGTTTGGAGTCCTCTTTTACTTCTAAGTAGTTTCTTAATTAATTGAGTTATTTTTGGGGGTGTTTCGGGTAAAAAAATTTAAAAGAATTTATGTGGACAAAAAAAATTTACTTTTTTTTTTGGACAAAACTAATTGTCTCGAATTTGACAAATTTGAGACCTTAATTGAACGAACACTCGGATTTTCCAAATCCGAAGCAATAAAATATAATAAAAATTACTCCCTCCGTCCCATAATTA